CCCTAACCAACAGCTACACAGAAGCCCTAGCCAATGCCATGTCCTCTTAATCCGCCGTGCCCGTCCCAGCCCCTTGCCCTCTCCTCCGGCCCACCCCACCGCACCAGCTGCATTTCCTGGCTGATGTCAGCGCCTTGCACGCCTGGTTAGCCGCCCCCCCGCTGAGCTTGTTGGCAGTGGGGTGCAGACACGTCTGCTGGCGGGACGACAAGACCGTGGAGCGAACGCGGTCCCTGAGGGCCCGGGAGGGGGGGGGAAAGGCGAGGGGGGAGAGTGTTTGCTCGTCATGAAGTTGTCAACTGCCGAAGGGAGAACGGGCGGAAATCACATGCAAGAAGCAAAGTGTCAACTGCCGACGCAGTGACGGCGGGCGGGAGGGAACCTTTAGTCAGTGCAAAGCAAAACCTTTAGTAAGTGATACACTACAAATTAGGTAAAACCTGTTCATGGAAAAGCACCTTTGCGCACGTTTTAGCAGGGAGAAAAGTGCATTGTCGGCGTGGGGAACCTTGAGTGCACCGGAAGGCGGACATAGTGGTGGTGATAGTGGCCGTAGTCAGAGGGGAGGGGCAAGGGCGGGACAACTCACAAGGGCCAACACACCGATGTTCGCTCCGACATTTCGGTGGGCAAGCCTCCCGCAGCATGACAGCAGGGGTAGATGCTTTCCCTCCATCTCCCCCAGCCCTCCTTCGAGCTCACAGGCACACCATGACCCACCTCCTCTCCCCGTGGCCCTTGCGCCTTTTTCTGTGCAACCCCCTCGCTCTCCCTCTCCCTCCTGATTTGCAAACGACTCCCCGGGACTCCGCAATTCGCCACGTGACACGCATGCACTTGTAAGAAAAAAATTATAAAAGGAAGCCCTGACAAGCTCACACAACAAAAAAACGCGCACACACACGCAATTCCTCTGGAACTGGCGTCACTCCATCCCTTCCTTCCCTGCCCTTCCCTGCCCTCCCCGCCTTACTTATAGCTTGAGTTCCGCAGCTCCTTCATCACTTGCGCCAGTTGACTATGCGTGCGGCTGGAGTAAATGATGATGGGTAGCTCCGGCTTACCAGCCCCGCCACTACCACCGGCAGGAGTGGCTCCAAAACCAGCCCCCGGCTGGGGCATCCCACCGGACGCAATCAGCGACGCTGCTGCCGCCGCCGCCGTGCCGGACAGCCCCAGGGCGGCTCCGAAGCCCATGCCGGCCTGCTGTGCTAGCGCCGCAGCGGCCGCCGCTACTGGGTCCGGGGTGGGCGGCTGCGGGCACCAAAGCAAGGGACGTGTGCACATGCAAGTACATGTGTGTGAATACGCGTATCTACAGCGACGTGCACATGTACACGCGATCCGGTTGAGAAAGCGCACCGGAGGTGTCACATGACCAGAAAACGTACTGCCAAATCTGGCGGGGGGTAACATGGAGGTATTGTTGACAGCAGGTCTTCCGGCTGCTGCACGGAGTCCAGTTCTCTGTCCTTCTTCCTGTTGCGAAGGGCTGGCGCCTACAAGGTGATGCCTCGCGCCCTAGCTGCGCGGGTTGGGTGCTCCGGCCCCGGATGGCCCTTTCCAAACCTTCCCAGCCCTACACGTGGCCAGCCGGCGGCTCATATCCACGCGGGAAGGCGCCTGGGCCCCTCCCCTCCCTTTGGCCGTAACAGGACGTAAGATCCCTCCTTGGGCAGTATTCCCGCCATCAGGCCCGCGTTGCAAGGCACGGACAGGCGCGACAACACAACTACCGAGCCCGAACCCATATCTCCACATGAATACCTGCCCACGCAGCCCATGCAAGCCAGGCGACTCCACCTCCAAAGCCCTACCCAGAATCACGCGAAAATGCACTCGCACCATGCCATGTAAGGCTTCGGCCTGTTGCCCCACTGCTCCATGCATGCCTCAGCCTCAGCTCTTCGCCAAGCAACACAGAGCACCCACGTATCCGCCCATCCCATCCACTGCACCTCATCCAGCTAGTCCGGCCCACCTTCAGTGACTCCCTCCACGCCAAGGTGGAACACAGCAGACATAGCGTCTTTCCCGTGCCTGTGGGGCTCTCCAACAGCGCATTCCGGCCCTGTCGGGGTGTGGCGGTTTCAGGTGTGCAGTGGAGGGTCAGTGTGTGGTCGGCAGGGAAGGACCGAAAGGCGAGGGGCACGGCTCGGCACGGACCGGTTACCTTACCACCAGTGAGCAATCAGCCTGCAGGTCAGACCATCCTGAAGGCGGCCCCGTGGGTATATGACGTAGTGGCATGGGCGCAAAAGTGGGTTACACACAGCTGAGCCACAGGGAATGGGGCGTGGCAGGTAGAGGTCTTGACGCGTGTGCTTCACAGGCAGCAATTACTCCTTCCCCTCCCTGTCCCCCTCCCCACGTCAGATGCCCAATCAGCAGCCGAATGCCGGAGGGGGGAGGGCGGTGCACAGCGGAGCCGGTTCGCACCGCCGCCATCACGCATACGGTACGAAAGCGCACATGCACACAGAACTATTTTAGACACCTATGTCATTGCCATTCGCCATTCACCGCCGGAGGGCCCTCTGATCTCTCTTTTGCCTGCAAGCTGCGTAGAACCGCTGAGATCTGCAAGCCGCACCCACCAGGCGCCTAGGGCCCTGTAAACCCTAAACATGTGCAGTAGCACGTAGGACGAGACTGGACTCTTCACTTGGGTTCCCACCACCTCTTGTTTCACCTCTTGTAGCGCCTTGATAACGGACTCCATGTAGTTGCGCTGCAGGATCGGGACGGATAGGGGGAGGTATTACTGCAGGAAAGATTACCAGGTGCAGAGGTCCCAGAGCCGAGACGCCGGCAGTTGTGCAGATTTCTGCTTCGAGACAGGCCCTCAAAATGAAGCGCATACTGTTGGGATGGTGGGCACCGACCTCGCAATCATGCGCTGCGCTGAGAGCCCCCCGCTGGCGACCTCAGCCGCTGAGGGGGTCGGAAACCCACATCGCTTTTCAAGGGGAGCGGCAATGTGGGCCCAATGGCTACCTGCGTTGCGGCTCACATCGCTGCAGTCTCGAGTCCTCTCCCGGGGCCAACTGATACGGACTATCCAGCCCGGGCCGCGATCTGGCCCCGGGATTCCATCTCAGGAACGTTTCTTTGAAGCATGTCGAGAAAGTTCAATGGCCTGAGCCTGTTGGCTGTTTCCCTTGGGAATAAAGGGGCGGCTCACGTGTTTTACAGGGGGCAAAAGGGAGGCGCCGAGTTTATGCTACGTCTAGACAGTGTGTGACTGGGTTATTCTTTCTCCAAAACCCTAAGAAATGGATGACATGCTACGATTGATGTGCCACGAGTTACGCATGCCGGTAACCAGTTGAGGCGCCTGCAGGTCCGCCCGGGCTGAGGTTTTCCGCCAGGTAACCGGATGTCCTTCCTCGCGCACCTGGCATGCGTACGGCTCAAAAGGGAATTCTACAGGTATGCCGGCAATCTGCAGGGTTGTGACCTTCCGCTCTGGCTTCGCCAATGGCGCCTGGCCCGACAGCTGCTCCATGTGAAGCGCTGAGAATACCCGCTGCGCCTCGCTAGACGCGAGCAAACTTTAATTTTAGCCTCTAGGTCATGACAGCGAAACTTGCATCCAGCTTGCTTTTCTGAGACCTGAAACAGCTATTTATCACTGTGCCAAAACGATTTAAGCATGGCGATTGTCTGCCTCCGGAATACATGAGAGTGATGCCCCTATAGGAAGATATAGTATGCGTAAAGACAGGTGGTTTTGTGCAAAAATACGGTTTGCATAGAAGCAGAAAGCAGTTTGAAAACTACTCACGCGGCACACGTAATCATTTCGTGGAGGAAAATATGGCAATGTAGTATTCTGCAATATCGCAAAAAATTATGGTTCAGCCAGCCCGTTGGCGGGAGTCCCGAGCTGCTAACTGGCAGGTCACAATGATACTAAAGGAAACCTACACGAAGACGAATGGTATATATAATGCCTTAAAGTATATGCAAATTCATAAGGTGGGTGAGAACCCATGCGTTCATAAGCACGTCCCATGGTTCCGTCAGGTCCATTGTGATCCATTCATATGTCATCTCGCTATAAACTTGCCATGCAATATTATATGTACAGAGCATGGCATTGCACTGTCCGTGGTGGTATATGGAAGCATACCGCACCTCTATGGTCATGTCTAAGACTTGGAGCTCCCCCACCCTGCGGTCCATCAAAGCGTCGATGCGGCTGTTGGCGGTGCTGCTGCTGTTAGGCGTCACGCAGAGGCCACTCACAGCTCAGCCAAATGGCAATCCAGGCGCGCCTCAGCCTTCGGCTGGCGGCTCGGCGGCACCGTCTGGACTGGAAAGCGACGTCCTTGCGCTAGCACGAGAACTGTTCATCGAAATGCACTGCTTCTGGTCCAACTTCGGGCCTGACAATCGGTATGGCGGCTTCTACGCGACGTTGGGCAGGTGCGCCGTGCTGAGGCCACATCCCGGCCCATTGGCGGCTTCCTCGTTTCAAAGTCAAAGCAATGGTTTGCCACATGGTTTGCGTAGCAGGACCGTGCGCAGCAGCGCCTGCTTGAACACGGCCTTTGTTGCCATATGGTTGCTGGTCCTTCTTTTCGCCGAACGAGGTCTCAAAGCCAAAGCGATGAGAACGATGTCGCGTGGCGGGACTGGAATTATTGCGTTTTCCGGGTTGCAGGCTTGTTGCATATCCTCCGTCAATGGGCGGAGATTGCACCACTAGGCCCCATTAGGGTCGGGTGTCTCGCCACCAGTGGGCGGCATGATAGGGGGCCGAAAGCATCGCGATTCATGCGCGAAACCTCCAAGCTCATCGTGCCATATGCACACACAAATACCACATCGAAGTTACAACATGTTAATGAGAAGACTGCCGCCCCACCACACCATACTACACCACTTACAGCCGGCAGCTCGCCGCACTCCCATGTTGCCCAACGCATCCCCCGAATCGGCCGAATCGCACCCTAAGGCGGGCCCCACAACTCTACGTTCCAACCACCCATCAACCGCGCCCCGCCCCGCCCGACTGTTCCGCGCAGGCAAGGCAACCCCATCCAGCCAACCGCCAAGGGAGTGGTTCAACAGGCCCGGCACCTCTACTTCTTCTCCGCTCACCACATGGCGCTGAATGACCCATGGGTCGGCCCACTGGTCCTCAGCGACCGTGGAGGCGCCAGCCCCGGCAGCACGGCATGCGGCGCACCCTTAACCGACTCCGCGCAGGGCCCAAACTCCAGGTCTGACGTTTTCGTTCATCCTCCTCTTTTTCCTGCTCCTGCTGCTCCCTTGCTCCTCCTCCTTGATTTTCTGGCTTCCTCTCCATTAAAGCCCATCCCTACCACCTCCCTTCCCCAACCCCCTTGTGCTTTCTCTTTCCAACTCCCGTTCCCACAACGTGGCGTTCTACGCCAGCGGAGCCTCGATGTCCGACCAGCAAGCGCTTGCTAAGAAGCTGGCTGACCAGGCCCATGGTTTCCTCACGTTGCACATGCGCAACCCCGCCACCGGCCTCTTCTACACCACAGTTACACCCAACGGCTCCGACGTCATCGACGCCGGGCCGCTGCTCAATGGGAACCTCATGGCGGTGTACGCGCTGGCCGTCTACGCTCGCGCCTTCAACTACACCGCGGCACGTGATGAGGCGTTGGAAACGTTTCTGGCGCTCGATGCGCTGCTGTACGACAAGCAATACGGCGGCTACAACGAGCTGTTGTCCGTACCTCCGTGGGGCCCGAACCCCAAGACGCTCAACGGGCTGTTGGCGCTGACGCAAGCGACCATGGAGCTGGCCCGAGTGGTGCCGGAGAACCCCACGGTTATGGACAGGTTGCGGGAGTGTTTGAGGCTGTTTCCGGAGCGCGTGGTGGTGATGCCGGAGGGCTACGCTCGACAGGAGTTCAGTGCGAATTGGAGCACCGCGGTGGGTGATGCCAGCGGCGGCGGCGGAAGAAATGAAGTATCGTACGGCATGCAGCTTGCGGCATCGTGGGTATTGCTGGAGGCGATTCCGGTGGCGTACGGCAATTCTGGCGGTGGCGGAGGCAGCGGCGGAGATGACGCCGCGGGTTCAGTGCGGGCTGCGGCCTTGAAGCTGGGGAACACGGCGGTGATGGAGGGTGGGTTGTTCAGAAGGCTGCGGGAGCTTAAGATGGGAGCGGACGTGGCGGCCGGCTTTTGCAACTAGTTAAAGAATTACGAAACGACGAGCTTTCCGCTGCTTCTGGCGCAGCCTGTGCATGACTTTCGCTCTGGCTTATTGTGCGCACTACGGCTTGACCTGTGGAAGCAACCTCATGTCTGAAGCTCGGGTAGACGAGTATTGCAGTTCCCTGTCCTCCCCTTCGGGACCCCGCCAAGCCAAGATAAGCCCAGCCACCACCCGTGTCCCTCCAGGCTATCACTACGGCCACGGCGGCTTCTTCTTGTCTGGCAGCTGGAACCGCACCTCCGATAAGACGTGGGACAAGTTGTGGTGGGTGCAGGCAGAGGCGTTGCCCGCCCTGTGGCAGCTTTACATCTCCGCTGCCAGCAGCGCCGGCCCGTACGACACCAGCAGCGGCAGCGGCGCGGCGACGTACCTGCACTACCTGAAGGAGACGCTGCAGTGGATCCGCAACTGCCAGAGCGACAGCAAGTACGGTAAGGTCTTGGCGTTGGCGCGTGTGGTGTGCAGATGTGGGCGGTGAGAGGGCGGCAGCACCGGATGATGGGGTGGCAGCGGAAGCAAGGCAGGAGCCGCTCAGCGCGGGGTCGTGTATCCGCTCGGCGGGTGAAAACGTGATCGGGGTGCCTGGCAGTGAGGGCTGAGATGCTGGATTGCGCGACGGCGGTGCTGCACTTCTTCACTGCTCCGCGTGGGCCCGGCTACCCCAGTGCCCTCTGGATGGCTATCCCCTGGGGGGTTCCCCTGCTCCTCAGCGCCACTCAGTGCTTTGGAGTCCGTTGGTGCTTTGGACATCAGAGTAGACAAATCAGAGTAGGCACGTCAGGTGTTTCCCCCCCGTTGTGACTTGGGCTCGGGCGGGGCACCACCGTTTGACTCCCCTGTTGTTCGCTGCCTGCTGGTGGTGTGTCTCCCACACTGAACACACGACGGGTACCTGTTCCTGCTTGGTGGTTGGCTGACCGGACCCCTTCTTCCGTCCTTTCCCTTTCCCACTACTCTTCCGCACGCGACCTGCGTTGCCTCCACCTGCGTGTGGCTAACCTAAGGCGAGTGGTACTGGTTGACGTACGGTGACTGCTCGGTGGCACAGTCGTACAACTCCGGCGGGTACGAGTATGCGGGCAGCGTGAAGGGCAACATCTGGAAGGCGTCGTACCACAACGGCCGCGCGTTGCTGACCCTCATTCGGTACCTGCTGGGGGGAGCGCCGGGAGTACCCGGTACGTCGGCCAGCAGCGTGGCGGTTGGCAGTAGCAATGGCAGTATAAGTGGAGGTCGCGGCGGAGGCAGTAGCAATAGCAGCAGTAGCAGTGGCAACTCGAACACCAATAAAGGCAGCGGGTGATGAGCCGCATGGCACCGGATAAGGTCCCTGGTGGTCGATACAGGCTCTCTCCACCGAGGGGCAGGGGCTCTACCGATAGGTAACCGCTGCGCCTTGCCACCACCTCCGGCTGGCGTTGTTGTTGCTGCTGCTGCTGAAAGCTTTGTACTTGCCCTGAAAGGAGTCGCACATTATCGGGGTTGGGGTGGAAATAGAGCTGTGCGTTCTTCAGTGGTCGCTGATGATGCCTGGCAAGTTCGGTGGGTTAACTTTGCTACCTTTGGACTGGTAATGGTCTTTTTCGTTTCCTTTCTTCCGAGGTCCTCACACGCGGCAGGGGCCGTGCACTCATGCATCGACAGTACTGTTTGTTGACGTGTTTTGATGAGCGCAGTGCACACATGGCTGCGGTATGCGGCGCAAGGGGGAATGGGTTCCAGCTTGCTGGTCAGGTCTTGCTCATAATGCTATGGGGGAAGGCGTGCCATCTGTTGCAGCAGCGGAACGATAGGGGGATTCCTTTGAAGCCCTCCTCGCGCGTTTGTCTGTCCGCGCACAGCGGCATCACAGCAGGCAGGCTGCACAAATGTTGTTGGGACAGTTGATTTGGGGTCCTCTAGCTGCAAAGCAGTCGCTTTGACGGGGCTTGCCTACGAACGAGTACCCGAGCGATGGGTATGTGTTGCAAGGGGTTTGAGCAATGTTGGGCACTGATTGATTTTGGTAAGGTGTGGCGGGGACTATTGGTGCGCACCTTGGCTTCGTTCTTGGCCCGTCGGGCTGGTTTCGTAAGAGCAATCTAGGCTGACGCATAGAGCCGTTCTGGCACGAACTGCGTGCGGCTGTGTGTATAGTATATCTGGCCTCCAATTACTGCAGCGCTCTCAAATGGATTAGCTAACGCTTCTGAGAGTGCATCTTTTTAAGAAAAGGTCCTGCAGCATCCGAGCGTTAAAAACCTAGACTTTCTCCAAAAGGCATCGATACATAGACAGGTATTGAAGGCGAAGCGGAATGTCCTCAAGACCGATGACATGCTCGCAAGGCAAGGAGTGCCCTGGGCTTGCTGTCGGATTAAAGTAGCATTCTAGCGTATCAAATATTAAAGACAAAAGTGTTAACAAATTGCCATGAACATATATCCCCCACAACGGATATCCGCCACGGAGCGCTTATGTGACCATTTTTTGATTTAAGTAAATGTCCGTTACTACAACCGGTTCCAAATCGGTTCCAGGTTGGCTGCTAAGTCGTACACCGCCGCCAGAATTTAAAGGCCTCGAGATATACAGAAGTGTATTCGCAACGGTCACGAGCACGTTTTAGAGGCAAATGTGGTTGTAATTGCCGATATCACCAGGAGTTCTGGTTGAGAGCAATGTCATATTTGACGTCGCGTTTACCAGGCCGAATGCTCGTCGTTAAAGATTCACACGTCTGCTTGCTCATTGAAAGGTAATTCAGGAATCGCTTGCCAGGGAACGTTCCCGGCAATTCTGTGGACGCTTTGTATATTTCATCCCTGCACACATCTGCACATCTTTATACGCAGTTAGCACGGGCCGATGATGATATTCATACTAATAGGATCAACCAACAGACTCTTCTGGTGATATTCTTAGTTCTGAGGCCCATGCATGCTGCGGATTCAAATTTCCTTGGAAGGCTCCTTTTCATACGGCTTGGTTCGCATCCCTAGCTTGCATTTTTTGCATCATGTCAAATATGATTACACGCTTTGGGTCTCGGTTGTGTTCACGCAGGTAGTCGAACGCAGTAGGTCTCACATCCTGTCTCATGCTTGACATTGCTGCGGCAAATGATGACTCATCTCGCTTCATAGCCTCAAATGTAGAGGCGGAAGTGTCCGTTATAGTCATAAGCCTCCAAAGCTTTATTTTGCGAAACCCATGCATTGGACCCGAATACACATGTCGAAGAATAGAAGCGTCCTTGGTACAGCGGTCTTCTAATCACATACCCCACAGATGCCACAAATGCGATCATTAAGCTCAGTGCCGAGGGTCAGCGCAGAAATCAGAGAGGTCGACACCGTCCGCATTTCCCCCGAGCCTCAAAGTCTCAAACCGACAGGAAAAAACCTGAACGCAGAACACAAATCACCCCATGTCAATCTCCTCCCAGCCATGCTCCACAATCCTTATGTCGCAGCAACTGTGGTAGGGGTGAGGCCGGCCGCTATGCTTGCCAAGCTACTAGAGCCGTTTCCAAGGCGGGAGCCCTGTCGCTATGCGCCTGTCAGCGCTCCCCGCCTGCCCTCATCAGCACTCAGCAATGCGGATAGCTGGGCGAGTCGCCCGGCACAAGCGAGACGTAGCCGTGAGCATTGCCCGGCCTTGTACAGGCCCTAACGAGTTCAGCAGCGCTTTGCCCGTGTCTAGGCACCAGCAGCCCGTATCGGACCATTTCTGCGACCACACATCGGGGACAGAGCGGAACTTGCAGTCTCCGGCTTGGATGGCTAGAGTTGGCAATTCAGGACCTGTTCCGAGGCCTTGCTTTTACCCGCCACTCCCGATGGATTCACTCACTGGCTACATACCGCTTTGTGTGTTTCAGTTGACCCTTCCGGATCCTTCACGGCAGGTTTCGCATGGTTATTAGCATACATCGCCCGTTACAATCCTCACCCCATGGAAGAAGTTCATGTTGTGTGCCAGTTGACAGCGTCCCTCACCTGCACCTGCCGGCAGCATGCCTCGTCAGGCCCCTGCACACACAGCACTTGGCCAAGCAGCGCCGAGGTGCAGCCATCCCGGCCGAAGAAGCTGGGGTCCAGCTGCCGCGCCCGGTAGTCCGTAGGCCGGGCGTCTGCCTTGCGCACCAGATTGACCGTCACGAACTTGAGCAGCTCATCCGGGTCGGGACCCACACCTATCGAGAGGAAGCCCAGGAGTGGGGATGGGGGCAGGGGACACGGCAGCGCAGGAATCGGCGCACCTGTTCGGCCCCTTCAGGATTCACATGGGCTATCCTGACACCTTCGGAGGGTAACGCGACTGTAGGAGGTGTAAAACACACACGCACACGTGTTGGTTTCGGGGCGGAAGCGCCTGGTGGTGTACCCCTGGCCCGGTGGTGTGTGTGGGCGCCGACCCAACCCACCAGTGAGGGGGTTGATGTAGGCTCGGAGGGTCGCCACCAGGTTGCGGCCCAGGGGGGCACTCCGAGGGCCCTCCGCGGGGATCTCGTTGCAGTGGGACATACCTGAGGGGCCGGAGGGGGCGGCGTCCGGAGCACCAGAGGACAGCGGCCAGGGTGCAAGTCGGCGGGCAGCAGCAGCAGCAGCAGCATAAAGGGGAGTAAGCGCTCTCAGTGGCGAATGGGGGAGAGCAAAGACCTAGGAAGGGGCGCCTCCCTGCAGGGTGGGTGAGGACTCTGTTTGAAGTTCCGGAGGTGGCCTCCGCGCCCCCACAGGCTGAGAAAGGCTGTCAGCAAGATAAGGCAATGGGACTGCAATGAATGCAATGTTCAGGAATGCAATGTTGTCCACACGCGGAGGGGCAGCGTACGTGAGCAGTTCCGTGCGAACATGGCGACGAAGAGGTACGGCGAGTACTGCTCGTACGGCGTGCCCCTCAGGTACGGCTCTGCGCTGCCTTGCAGCTGAGCTCCGTCAAAGGCCTGCAGGGTGGGACGAGGGGAAGAAGACCCGTAGGGGGAGGACCGGGTAGTTGGCATGTTGATGGAGGTGGAGGATCCAGAGGTGCCGAAGGGAGGTGTGGATGAAAAGGGGCTTACCGCATTGCGGGTTGGTGCCAGGAAGAGTGTGATGCCGCACGTTCACGTGGCGGACTAGCCTCTCCCCGGTAAGCACCCTGGCCCGCTGCCCTTGGGATCGTTCTCCCCCTCTCCATCACATCCGTACACTTTTGGCACAATAACGCACATGAAGGAGAGGCATCAGGGGGTTTCGGAGGAGCAGGAGAAAGGAGGGCGGGGGGATGGCGCCCCGCTGGCGGCCTACCTGCAGCCCCAGTCTCTGGGCGGGGTCGGTGAGGGCAATATTCATGTAGGCGGACAGCCCGGTGCGGACGTGGTTGGGGCCCACTACCAGCGCCAAGGACGTAGGTCTGCGGGCAGCAGCCCGGGGCGGGAGGGCGCCGCAACAGATATATACAGATATACACAGATATACATACACAGTGGCAGCAGGGTTTCCCCGGCCAGGTGGACAGGTGTGCATGCTGGGCCGGATAGGAATCTAGCGCTAGCACGGGGGGGAAGTCAGCTCCAGGGGGGTTTGCTGGGGCCGCGGAGAAAGTGTGCAAGGAAGCCGGGCTCGGGCGTATTCGCCCGCCCCCTTGGGATCAGAGATATCGGGGAAAGGGGTGGTGTGAGCCGCTGTCGTACGAGCTGCCCAGAGCCCAACCTGCTCTGCTCCTTCCCTTTTCCCCGGACCTGTGAAGTGTTACGTAGGGGAAGCTGGAGAGGTAGGTGACATCTCGGTTGTCGCCGTTGCAATAGTCAATCACCTGCAGCGGCGGCGGCGGCGGCGGGGGCAGCAGCGGCCGGGGGTTCAGGTACGAGGTCGGTGAGGGGGAGCGCTTCCCTCCAGATATCCCGGTCGACCCTGATCATGTAGACGTACATATGCATACATACATACATACATACATACATACATACATACATACATACATACATACATACATACATACATACATACATACATACATACATACATACATACATACATACATACATACATACATACATACATACATACATACATACATACATACATACATACATACATACATACATACATACATACATACATACATACATACATACATACATACATACATACATACATACATACATACATACATACATACATACATACATACATACATACATACATACATACATACATACATACATACATACATACATACATACATACATACATACAGATACTGACGTGGACGCACTCGCCACCCGCAACCTCATCACAGGCCCCCCGTACGCCCCTGGGCCACCCCTCATCCGCCCTGCAGCGGCCCCACCTGCTCCAGGCACTGCAGGCCCCAGTCGACGGGGGGGTCTAGGGCACCCAGCCAGGAGCCTGCATGGGAGCGAGTTTCAGGGTGGTGGTGTTGGTGGTGGTGGGTGAGTTTGGGAGACAGCAGGTATGTACGTGTATATGTATGTATGTTGTTACAGGGTGGTCAACTTCGCCAGCGGCCCCCTTTCCCGGGGCAGTCCCTGCTCTCCCCTGCTAGAGGGGCACCCTAATCCGTCACCCCATCCGACTTCAGAATGTATTCGTTGGGTTCGGCAACTCACCACCAGCATCCAACCAAATCTAGCGGATCAACGGCGCATCAACTTAGTTCCTGGTCAGCTCGCAAGTTGATATTATCACGTCCTACACCGTCCATAAGATGGGGGGCCACCTCCCATTTCATCACTCCTCAAACACCCGAGGAGCCGGCAGGCGGATTTGAACCCGGGTCGACTGGGTCGACTGGGAGCAGAAGTCAGGCCTTAACCTCTGCCTGCCGCCTGCCGGTGTATGTATATATGTATGTGCGCACACGCGGTCGGGCCACATGGGCAACTTGTGTAAATGGGGTGAGGACGGGCATGAGTACGGCATCAGCCGTACGTGTACTATGTGCAGTCGATGCAACGTGCGGTATCCAAGCGAACTATGCCACAACTATTACAGCTGCCGTACGTACGGGTTATTAAAACACGAATCTCCTGAGGGCGGCCTTTTACCTCACCTTGCACCTTACCTTCACCAACACCGTGCTAGCGCACCTCCCTCGCTGGGCCAGATTACTGAACATAATCTGCAGCTCGGGGGCTCCTTACCAGGGACCCGCATCCCCCCCTCACTTCGCCAGTTACTGGCGGACAGGTTCTAAATTACGGAACCGCTTCCCGAAGCCGCGAATGGCGTACGGCGGACGCACTCACCAGTTGTCAGAGACCAGCCCATCGCATATTCAGCTTCGAACACCTCTTGCACTCGGGCCTGCAGGAACTGGAACGCGGGGGCCAGCCAAGCCTCCGCCGCTGCGCGCGACGGACTGTTGGATGCTTGAAGCGCCGCCGCCTCCGCCGTTGCCGCCGCCGCCGCCGTCGTGTTCCCCCTCGCTGGCCCTCCCGCCGCCGACCCGTCGGGGCCGGTCATGGCAAATACGGCATCCTCCTGTCGGTGCCGTGACTGCCGCGACGACGACGGCATCGTCTCCACGACAGCCCGCCGTGGTACGACGTTAGGCAGCGCGAAGCGGTCGCTTGCGATGACGACGAGCGGCGGATCCGGACTGGTGAGAATCGCCTCGGGCATGTGTTGCGTGCCGTCGTCCACGGCTCCGCTGCCGACGGCACGACCCACCCCCCAGCCGCCGCGACGGAAGCCGCCGAGCAAGCCGCCACCGCTGCCGAAGCCGGCGGTGGCCGGTGCCGCCAGCGGCCCCGCCGGCAGTGGCGGCGCCGTCGTCACCGGCGTCAGCCGCCAGCTCCGCATCGGCTGGGCCTTGGCGTACGGCCTGAAGCTTGACGCCAGCGCTCCCGCGGGCACAATGGATCTCAGCATCAGCATGTAGTAGGGGCTGCGGGGGTCCAGTCCGATGCCGTCGCTGAACTTCGGCCCAGGGATCGGCAGCACGTTGATGTGCACTCGCCCTTGCAGCCCGCCGGATAAGCCGTCCAGCACGGGCTGCAACACGTTCGCCAGCGCCGCAGCGGCCGCAGGCGACGCCGTCATCGCCGCTACGAAGAACTGGTCAAAGCCGCCGCCGGCAGCGGTCCCGGTTTCTGCCGCTGCGGTGGTGGCGACTCCGCTTTCGGCGGCGGCGGCGGCGGCGGTGGCAGACTGCGCCATTGCCGTACCCACGGGGCCGTTCAGTCGCGTCCATCTGTTTAGACGACCCGTGCCGAGGCCGGTAGCAGCAGCAGCAGCTTGTATCATGAGCTGGCTCATGGCAGTTTGAGGGGTGAATGTAGCTAGACGGCTGGGTGTGGGCCCTCTCGGCGGGATCCCCAAGGCGGTGGCGTTGGGGATGGGCTGCAGCGGCGGCAGCTCCGGCCGGTGCGTGGAGGCGGAGTCGCCCATGGAGCCGAACACGGTGACCCACCTGCAAGCAGTACGGTACATGTACAAGATACGACAGTAGGGTGTTAGTTGAGATGTGCAGCTGTAGGCTAGGACTCGTGGTACGGCAGTCTCTCACGTTTCCCCTGCCACCGGGGTGAGGAGCGTGAAGGGGACCCGGCCATATCCCCCCCGGCAAGGGAGGCGCAGATGAAAACGCCCTTACCCTCGAACTGGCGCCATTCACTGTCCTCCTTCCCGCCAATCCCCACGCCCTCCCCCCTCCCCCCTCCCCCCCTCCCCGCCGGGACGCACCTGCCGCACCACGGCGTCTAGGCCCCCCCCGGTATCCTGGCACCGCTCCCCTCCCCCTTTCCCCCCTCCCCCTCCCCCTATCATAGTTAGCTCACTTCATCCCCGACTCGCTCCACACGGTGTGTATGTACGGCGTAGCGGAGAAGTACACGGATGCCGCCGCGGGAGGGGTGCAGCCCGCCACCAGCACGATCTCCTGCGACATGAGCTGGTAGATGGGGGCGGACCCCGTGATCACACTGCCGTTGGCCAAACTGCTGGCGATGTAGGAACTTCCCCGCAGCTCCTGAGGACCGTCCAAGCAAGAGGGGGATGAGGCGGCGGAGGAGGAACGGAACGGGTGAGGGGAGCGCCGGTAGCGTGTGGTGCTGGCAGGAGGGCGGTTCGGGGCCCCAGTCGACCAGTGGGGGGGTGGGGGGGAAGCCCGAGTGAGATCTTCTCCTGCGGATATGCCCCGAGTTCGCCAAGCGGGCCAAGCGGAGCTCGAGCACATACCCGGGCGGGAACCCTTTTTGGGAGTTCCTGGATTGGGCTAGAGGGTCCTGGCGTCCTGTTGCTGTCCCTCAACGTTGTCCCAATGTGCGTTCAGACCTCGCTCGGAGCGGACCACACGTGCTTGGGGCCAGGTATGTATGCATGTATGCATGTATGCATGCGTGTGTGTGTATATCGTACGTACGTCTGCCACTCCGCGGGGGGTGGTCCTGGCGAAGGCCTTGTTCGGGTCCTCGGACGGCGCCAGTGGCAGCAGCGTCATACCGTACGGCGAGTTGGGGTTGCTGAAGGCGCAATTCGGTTCGCAGTTCTTCTGCCAGGCAGCCCGGAGTGGGGTTGGGGGGGGTGGGGAGTGCGACCAAGCAAGAGGAATTAACCAACAAGGTGGAAGTGGAAATGGAAAGGATTTGCAACCGCACTCTTACAAACGTGCAATCCAAATCGGCTCGCAGCCAGCCAGACAGCCAGACAGCCAGCCAGCCAGCCAGACAGCCAGCCAGCCAGACAGCCAGCCAGCCAGCCAGACAGACAGACAGACAGACAGGGAATCCGCACCTGGTGGTGCCTTCTTAAGAGGCACAGCAGCAATACATCAGTAGGAATGCGATGATACGGCAGTACGGCACCAGGCACTGACGGGACAGCGCTTCACTCGCACAAAGAGGGGCCCGCCACGCGCTCCGACCGACCAGACATTCGACGGCAGCTGTCGTCACTCACTCACTCGCTCACTCACTCACTCACTCACTCACTCGCTCGCTCGCTCGCTCGCTCACTCACTCACTCGCTCGCTCGCTCACTCACTCACTCACTCACTCGCTCGCTCACTCACTCGCTCGCTCGCTCGCTCACTCACTCGCTCACTCGCTCGCTCACTCGCTCGCTCACTCGCTCGCTCGCTCGCTCGCTCACTCGCTCACTCGCTCACTCGCTCACTCGCTCACTCGCTCGGACTCGCTCACTCACTCACTCACTCACTCACTCACTCACTCACTCACTCACTCACTCACTCACTCACTCACTCACTCATTCACTCACCGGCACTTCATCCCCTAGGAAACCAAAATCTACGACGCCCCGTTGCACTGTCCACTTCAACGAAGATCGCAGCGCCCGGTCGATTTGGTCCAATGCCATATCTTTGTACGGCAAGCAGGACGAGCTGCCGCTGGCGCTGGCGCCGCCGCCATTATCACCGTCTCTAATGGTGCCGCCTCCGCCACTGCCTCCGCCCCTAGGCCCTGCAGGGCCCCGGGGGATGGAATGTCGCCCCGCGGGGGGAGGGAGGGAGAGAGGAAGGTCGTTGCAGGGAGAAGGGCTCACGTGCGCACAACCGCACACGGGGTGATCTCTCTTCCCAAATCTTCCTTGTTCCTTTGTCAGAGTGTAAGGAGCTTAGGTAGTGGTTTTCCTCGCGCCAGAAGTCCTTTTCCCCACGCCAGCACCTAGGCCCTTTTTCCTTCCGATCAAAATGTCCCCAGCCAGCCAGCCAGCTAGCTAGCCCGCCCCTGCGGCGGGTCCCGAGTGCCGGGCCCCCACCTGACGATGTCCCGTTGCGGTCCCCTTGCAACCGCGAATCCAGGCGGCCTCCGTCGTCCGATATCGGAGTGTAGCTTGCACCCAGCTCAGCCAAGCCGTCCAACCCTATGTAATACAGGATGGCAGGTGGCGCTGCGCGGTGACCTGGCCTGACCTGGCAATGGCTGGTGGCTGTGGAGTGCGGGGGACTTAATCGTGCGACGAACGAGCCAGCAAAGGGGGGGGAGTGACGGCGTGTGGCAATGTGTTCCCTCACGTTGCGGGCAGGAGAGAGGGAGGTAGAGGAGGAGGATCGAGGCAGGGACTGGCGCAGGCGCGTTTGGTTAGTGCGGGTTCCGGATCTAGATTTTGGTCCCAGCAGCTATATCTATCACGCACGCGCTCTTCACGCACCGGACTGATCTGCTGAGTTTGTCCGGGCGGTGAAGGCGGAGGCCAGGGCGTCCGGGACCCCCGAGCTGGGGTTCGTTGCTGCCCCCGCCTGGACCTGGCCGTCCGTTGTACCCTGGCCACTAGTACCGAACGGCATGCAGATAAGCAACGCCAGTGCGATCAGTCCTAGCAGCGGCAGCGCCATGCCGGTGGGGAGGCAAATTGAGAGGCGCAGAACGGACCCACGGGTCACAACAGCCGAGGAACGGCGCAGCTTCCGTTGCTGCTGTTGCTGCTCCGGCTGCTGCTGCTGCTGCTGCTGCTGCTTGCGTGGAGAAGGAGAAGGAGGAGAAGGCAGGGCACCGCTGCTGCTACAGCTGCTGCTACTGCTACCAGAAGCAGTGGACTTGACAGCCGTGCGTTGCTTTGGACCTTTGGCGCTGAAGGGCTTTGGCATGCTTTGTTCCGCAGCACCACTTGTAACTGATTACAGTGGTCGTAGTGGCGAGCTTCAACGTGTCAACGAGGAGATGTTTCGCTGCCGAGGACTGCCGGGGTCAGCTCGGGCGGGCCACAGATGCACTCAGCTGCCGAGCGCCGCGCTACATGGGCATTGCTGCGCACCGCAGAGCTGATCGGAATCGGGATAAGAGCAGCTGTCTCGTCTGAATGGCTATTGCTTTACAGGCCCGCAGGGACCTTCCCAGGTGGCGGCGGGAGGCGATGTCGGGCTTTCGGCTGCGTGTATCGGTGTTGCGTGTATCGCTATTTGTGGACACAGGCGTATGCCTTCGGCTCGAGTCGTTGTCTCCCCGATGCAAATTTTGCCTAGACTTTCCGAGATTAGAATAGCGGGCAGCTGGACCGGACTCGACCTCTCATCTACAGGGTGACCCAAGTGCCCGCGGCCCGCTGCAGGACGGACCGGACGAGCTGTCAGGGAAGCAGACAGGCCGCGATTACCATGTGAGGTACGACTGCGCAAAACATTATGCTTGACATGCTTGACACTTGGCGATCAATCGGTTCATATTTTTGATCGTGATAACGAAACATGCACAATCCTCGGGTACATATGTTCGCAGGTTGTTGGCAAAGGAGTGCGAAAGCCTAGGCCGAGGCCAGGCTAATTCGGGCCAACTTGGACAGTTCGTGCATATGCTTTACGAACCCGTGCCGGGCCGATAATGTTGAAAAACATGGGTCCAAAATGCCGGAAAAGCCATAGAACCGCAACATGGCGCCCTCAACTTTCGCCTTGCGGCGCACACACGCAGGCGCGCCAACATTTCAAACTTTACCAATCTCCGCGCTGCAGCCAGTGCTCAGGGCGTAGGCAACCCAACATCAGATGCAATCATGTCCATGCTTCCTCTATCTAAGCACGCTTCGCACCTGCTACTCGGTCAACCAGCTACCGCGCGCCAAGATCTGATTTTAAAACGCAGCTCACGACAGGGGGAAGTAGTGCATAAATAATTAATTAGCGAGCTGCGAGCAACGCTGCTCAGTATATGGACGGCTTTGAGAGCCCGTGCTGGGTCTCAACTCTAACCCCGTGCAGGCTTATCGCAAACGGAGCTTTGCAATCAATCAACCAACATAAGCTACAACCATCGCCTCTTCGCAATTTAGCATAACAAAAAAAAACACAACTGGGCCCTGCTTGTCGCTTCCGTAGACTTCATAAAGAGGCGCGCATCCATGCAGGGTATGCGTGTGCGTGAGTACAAGACTGGGCAATAATAATTGTATTCCTCGCAGGTTCCACGCCATCATTGCTGACGCTTTTTCCCGTCATTAATACATGTGCCGATGGAAACAAACTGGACAGCACTGGACTGGAAAGCTTCTGAACCCAACCCGGCACACACTCAGCCAGCCAACCAGCCAGCCAGAACCAGTAAGCGTTCCCCAAGCGAAACGTGAAGGTGCTTTGCATGCTGACGAGTCCCCTTTTAAGACCCGCCTCGATGCTTCATGTACTACCACACTACCACGTACTACCACACCGTTTTATCAACGGCTTTGGGGTAGATCAAAATGTAAGATAAAAATAGTTTTCCGCCTGGTGGTGCCCCATGGAGAGCTGGAGGCAACTTCATGGAGTTGTAAGCTGCTGCTCGCAGTGCGTGTAGGACTTCAATAATGCGTGGACACCAATCAACGCAACTAACAAACTGACTTTAACTGAGGAATGCTAAGGCTGGCCAATAGGCCCCTAGAGAAAACCCCAATTCGACCTCAAGGCTCCTTAAGAAACCTATTTAAATGCTAAGGGCGGCGGGATCGCGCAAACACGGAGATGAAGGCGCTGTGCTTTCACCGCATAAAATGGAGCGGTGTGTCTCAATGCTTTTCCGCGCTGCGCTATGCCATGACTTTCCTCAATCCACCTGCCTATCCAATGAATCCGTTCGTCCATCTATTCCTTAAACTGTAAGTATCATTGCAACCCCAATACAGATGTGTCGAGTCGCTGTCGCATGGGACACCGGGAACAGCACCCTGAGCGCTGACGGCGGCCACCCCACCATTAAAAACACTGGCAAGCGAACAGACAGACAAACAGACATACTTTCAGGACCCTGCTAACCACCCACACACAAAGGTAACAACAAAGGATCAATGACCCCACAACCACCACCTCCTCCACCACCACCACCACCGCCGCCGCCACGACAACCACCACCACCACCACCACCACCATCACCACCAGTGCTCGCTAGGGATAAGCCAAGCCGCATGCGGGCGGCTGTAGAAGGACTGCGCAAAGACCTAGCTACTAATGAAACCCTGAGGAGTAGGGGCCGCGATGTCTAAACAGCACACGTGCACAGCCGGGGCTCTGGTGTGAACACAGCAAAGGAACCCAGGACAGGTGCAGAACAAGGACCAGCTCAGAACTAGAAAGAACATTTCCGAGAAGGCAGTGTCGGACCTGCCCACTACGTCCACTTACCCACCCACCCACCTGCCCACCTTACATCCAGGCCGTGGTTACGGACAGAATGGCAGCAAAGACATGGAATCCCAAATCGCAAATGTCAGCTAACAATAGATCCAAATGCGGGCACAGCTAAAGAATCCTACCAGGAGCCCCAATCGCCACCATATAAAGAGTGTCGCAACTTGCTAGTAAGCATTGAATGTCGAATGAACTATTGGCAACAGCAGCAGCACGCTGCGTCGAGCTCACCCGCTTGCTACCATCCGCCTGCGCGGTGCCAACTTTGGGTCAGCCCCCGAATCCGACGGACCCGTCCTCGTCCACATGGAAGGGGAGGCAGCGCCACTGCCCCCGCTGTCACAGCGCTGTGACGGAGGTATGGGCCGGCATTGCGTAGTTCGGGCACAGCAGCCACGCACCAGGTGCCACCAGCTATCCCGGGGGCACCAGCAACGGGAGGTTATCACCGCGGGGGCACCAGCACTGCCGGCGCCGCCGGCCGGTACGGGTTGTACGACTGGTGTGGCTGGTATTGGAGGGGTAAGGCCTGACCATGCAGGTGCACAGGGACGCCGATAACCACCGCCGGCGGCGGCGGCGTTGCCGTTGCCGTTGCCTGGGCGCTTCCCTTCGCCACATCCGCCATGACGGCCATAAGGGACGTGCGTGCGAGGGCGGCAGCGCCACGGCCTTCGTCGGGGGGAAGCAGCTTTGGCAGCGGCAGCGACGTTAGTGGCTGCGTCGCAGCCATTGGAGTTGGAGACGGCGGGGTTGACCATCGTGGCTGTGGCGGCATACCTTGCGGCGGCTCCGCTGTCAGCCTGCGTGTCTCTGAACGACGGTGCGAGCTGGTCTTAGCGACCGGCTGCGGAGAAAGCGGAGCGTACTGCGGTGCGGCGCCGCTGGGGCGAGGTGACGCCAGTTGGCCCGCGTTGAGTGCACCATCACTACCGCCGCCGCCGCCTTCACTGTTTTCCTTCCGGGTGTCGTACTCGTACGGCCTGGATGATGCGCTGGTGACAGGCCATGAACTCTCGCATGCGAGGCCGGACGGAGCGGCCGGCGACAGCTGAGCCGCCAGGAGCTGCCAACGCGAATCCGCCGACGGCCGCTGCTGCCCGCCCGGGATGGCATTGCTTCCTCCTCCTCCTCCCGCGTTGCCGCTGAGGTGACTACCGCCGCCGACGCCACGCCGCGATTCAAACCGTTGCAGCTGTTGCGGCAGAACCTCCAGCTCCAGCTTCGGCATTACACCGGTGACCAGCGCCTTGCCGGAGACCTGCTTCTTCATCATGGCCGCTGACTTCACCGTCGTCGACGGCGGCGGGTACAGCCACAGTGTCCGATCGCCGGTGGCGCCATCCCCGGGCTGTGTCGAGCGCCGTACAATGCCATTGTCTGGGGCCAGCGAGCTTCCGCCGCCGCCGCTGCCACGCGCCGGATCGACGGGGCCCCGCGGGGCACCACTAAGTGGGCTGCTCGGCTTCTGGCGCTGCATCAAGGACACTTGGTGAAAGTATTCACGGGCCTGACGGCCGAAAGAGGGACCCTGGCTGGTCGATGTACCGGCGTCCGGAGGCCGCAGCCGCGACTGAAGGTTTCCGCTGCTGTTCGAGGCCACTAGCAGGGGCCCCGAGTGCGCTTGTTGCCGTGGCAGCGGAGGCGATGGCGCCGCCGCCGCTGCTGCCATTCCCTGCTGTTGGTTGGACAACGACGGCGGCTGCGTCTGCGGCCGGAGCTGTAGCGGTAGTGACTGCGATGGTGGCGGCTGAGGTGTCTGGTGCTGGAGGTTTTGCAGCTCCTGGGGGGCCTGAGGGGGCTGCAGTTCGAGTGCCGGGACTGACTCAGTGCACCCCGGCATGGAGAACCGTACGGCAGCGTCGGCGTCTGCTGCGGCTGCGGCGCGAGTGGCGGCGGCAGGGCCGACGGCTTGCCAAAGTATACGCTCTGAAACCACTTTACGGGGTGCAAACACGGCCATGCGCATCGCAGGAGGCGCTTCCAACGGGCCACCAGCACGCTGCTGCTGTTTGCGTGTGCCCTCGCCAGCCCGGTTATCGCCGTACGGCAGCGCTTCTGCATCCAAATCGTCGCAGCCATCATTCTCTGTGGAGAGGAGATTGGCGCCCTCCCCTGACGAGACCGGCAAGGGTGCGCGCGAGGGCGAGGGCGGCGTGGGTGGAGGTCGCCGTAGAGACGTCTGGGGGACGTAGTCCAGGCGGGCTTTCTCTTCCTCTTTCGAAGTCTCCATCGCCACCCGCCGCGCCACCGCCTGCATCCTCAGCGCATCCAGTGTTCGGCCAGCCCTCGACCGCGTCCATTTGCCCTTGCCGCTGCCGCCGCTGTCGTTTTCGCTGACACGCCCGCCACCCGCATCGCCGCCGCTGCTCGCCGCTATCTTTGGCTCCGGCTTGGCTCTGACCCTTGGGTCAGTTGCAGCCTCAGCTTCAGCCTCGGCATCCGCCAGCTCCAGTTCCTCCATAGTCGCCATGCCCGCCTGGTCTGCTGCCACCTCCCCATCCCGCTTCCTGACCGACGAAGAAGACACACGTTCCTCACCTCCCGGCGCCGACGGTCTCGCCTTTCCGCCCTCATGCGCCGGGACGTACACGCCGCTGTCGCTGCAAATTCCGGAAACGCCGACGCCGCCGTCGGTGTTCCCCCCAAGCGCCAGCTGCTGTCCACGCGGGGTTTCCGCCGCCGCTGCTGCCCCCGCCCCCTTGACCACCCGATTGAACGTCGCCCGGCGCAGCAGCTGGTTGGCATTACCAGGGGGACTCCCTCCGCCAGGGGTGGAGGCGCGGTACGGTCTGGGCCAGGGCGCCGCGCCAGAGACATCCGCCGTTGCCGCCGCCACCGCAGTAGCCTTGAGGCCTGTGTGCTGGTTGTCCTCCCTGTGATGCTGGACCTCTCCCGTATCTGTGAGCGGCCTCCCAGGGTACACGCCGGTGCTGCTGTGCCGCAAGCGTCGGCTGGGCGATGGCGAGATGTTGGCGGCGTAGGAGGAGAGCATGTGCTGCTGGGGAGGCGGGGAAGCGGGGGGTGTTTCGGGCGCTAAGCGGGAAGCCCAGCGGCCGTTGCCGCTACCCAAAATGACGTTTTCGCCGCCGCCGCTACTGCCGTCACTGCCGCCGTTGCCGTGGCCTCGGACGCCGTCATCTTTACCACCAACGATCACCTTGGGCGTCGTCATGACCGTCAGAGGGAATGGAGAGTGCCTCCTGGGCGTTCCGTCCGCTGCCTCAGCTGCCTCCGTCGCCGCCGCCGCTGACGTCGCGCCGCCTCTGGCGTCACGCTCCGAGGACTGCAAACCATCGGCCAGCGCCTCTGACAGGTCCAACAGCCCAGGCGGTGCCAGCGGCGACGGCGGCGGCGCCTCCGCCACAGTGGGCGCGGGCGAACCCTTCGCGGTGCGCGCGGCGACAGCGGCGGCGGCCGTTGCTGCCGCAATGACCGCCGCCGCCGCTAGCGCCGCTGCTGCTGCAGGCCTCGCCTGCATTACGTCATCCACCTCATTATGCCATTGTACGGCACTGTCCCTGAGATCCAGATCCTGACCGGGAGTGCTGACGCGCGAAAGGCTCTTCTGGTCCGGAGTGTTGCAGCACTCCGTCTGCCGTTGCAGGCTCTCTGGCCCCATCGCCGCTGCTGCTGTAGCTGTCGCCGGCTGACGCTCCACAACCCCTGCGCCCGCAGGGGCTTCTGTTACCGCTTGCGGCTGTAGCGGCGGCGGCCCCGATGGCTCCATCCACGCCCGCTCCGGCGGACGGGCCGCCCCTGGCCGCTGGGACGGCTTGAATTCATCCTCATCTCCGTCATCGTCGTACGCCGGGTTCAAACCTCTGAAAGAGTGTGCGTAATAACTGACCGCCCGCAGCTCTGTCGTGGTGTCAGGGCTCTGCCTACTGAAAGACAAGGCGCCGGCGGCACCGTTGGCACCACTGGGGGCGTCGGCGGCCGCTGTTTCGGCATCCCCTCCTGCATTGCCGCCGCCAGCAGCTTCGCTTGCAGTCGAACCGTTGGCGGCTGCGGCCCTGGCGGCGGCCGCTCCCAGGGTGGCTGCACGAACGCTCGCGTCTTCTCGGGGCTGTCGCAGTGCCAGCGCAGTAGTCACAATTTTGGCTTTCTTTGGCCAGCTTGTAGTTTTTTTCTTGCCGTCGTTGTGGTGGGCGTAAATCGTGGCGAGTGGCTGCTGCTGCGGCAACCCCTTGGTGCCCCGAGAGCCCTCTGAGTCCGCCTGCGAAGATGATGAAGGCGAGGCGGAGGTCATCCAAGTCAAGAGACAAAAACAGTAATAGTATTATGTGGGACTCGGTGGAGGGATTCCAAGAGGAATGTAGCTCCGGGATAGAGAGCCGTCGACATGGCATCGGGCTTCGACGCAGTTCCCTAGGCCAGCTGGGTTGTGTTGCTAAGGTTCCAAGGGAACCCTTTTGTAAGATACTTAACCAAATGCTAAGATTAACGATTGTCGCCCTTAAGCGGGTGTTAAAATTAAAAAAATCTTATTTTAGGCGGCATGATGTCTGTCTCTTTGCGCCCCCTTATGCGGAACTGCGTCACTGATGCCACATCCTGATCAAAATCTAGCTACATAATACAATAAGTGCACAAATAGTTGTAAAACCGCCTGCATTCTTTCTCTCAGTTTTCGTGCTGCAGGACTCTGTGCTACCATGGCCCAATACGGCCTGGCCCGATGCACGCCAGAGCGGCTCACACAAAATTATTTAAAATATTATTTTTTGGTCACAATTTGCTGTAGGTTGGCGATTTCCTCATTCTAAGGGACGTCCAAATCCTCTACCCAGTTTTAACTGTCGCTGTCCTCTGGTCTTATGGAGTAACAAAACATAACATACCCACCGGTCTGCGCGTTTTAGTAATGTTTATTGCCAAGCCTCCACCGCCTTTGAGAGTGACGCTTATGGGTGCGGTGGGCTCCGTTGAGGCCGAGGGACCTGGCACCACAGGCCATTTAGAGACACGCTCCGCAGTTGTTGGCTTTTTGTGTTGAGACCCTGTGCCCGCATGGCTAAGGCATTGGCCCTGCGGCGAAAGATGGGCAATGTAATCTGTCGTCGTGAGCAGGGACTGTATTATGCGGCAACAGCAAATGAATCTTGCACCAGGAAGTACATCTAAATTCAGTCCTTACCATGGCTTGTAACGGCCGAAGCTTTCAACGTAGGTTCCCCCTGCTTAAAGCCTGTCCATACGGAGCGGAATCCCTTTTTAAGGCTTACGTTTTCCCTCGGGTGTAGTTACCATCATGAAGCGACTATTTCACAGTTCATTGTAGAAATTTGGAAAAAAAGCACCAGTTCAATACATTCCAGACTCGCACGTGCGTACCAAGACGTACATTGGCGTACCAGTCTCACAGGGTGCTGCACAGCTCTATTGCTGGCCCTTATTGCAAGGACTAAAAGCAAATATTGGGGTACCCCGTAAAGCAGCTCACAGCGGGCTCTTGTAGTATGCATGCGGCGTCCTTATTGAGTCCTCTGTCAGTGTATCCGTCTCAGCTTTTGCGGCTGGCGTTACAATTGGGACGGACAAAGAAGTGGACGTCCCGCGCCGGCAATGCGCTGTAAGATGGCCATGCCCTCAGCGCATCCACCACGTCCATACAACCGTTGCGGCGACATACACCGCCGCCGCGCAGTGGAAGGTACGGCGCGCGGCCGCCACGCAGCGGGATATTGCCACCACCGCCACTGGCCGGCGGAATGCATCCACCGATGCCGCTGGGCAGCGGGAGGGTGCTACCGCCGCCACCATGCAGCGGGGGGCACCGCCTGCTGCCGTCGCCGCTGGCCGGCGGGAAACAATCACCACTGCTGTGGGGCAGTGGGAGGGAATTACCGCTGTATCCACGCAGGGGGAGGTTCCGCCCGCTGCCATAACACTACGGGACTTCATCACCGACGGCTCCTCGCAGGCAGACCTGGCAGTTGATGAAGTGGACCGACCGTACATGACGCGGTCAGTTCGCCGTCGGACCCTGCCGCGGGACCTGTCCGCGGAGAGTCTCGAGGAGGATATGCCCATGCCAATTTCCTACAAAACCTTATCGCCCCTCGTAGACCTCCCGCTTGATGGCATGCCGTTAGCCAACACGTTGCTGGAGGCGCTACGCTCTTAGGCTCCCCATCGGGTATTGGGCCCAGCTTGGACCTGGACCTGAGGGAATGCCCAGGACTCGCCACCCGAGGCTGGATATCGTCTGCCCTTCAAGAAACCAGGGTAACGGCAGACCGCGTGTCTCAAGCGCGAATGGTCCTCCATAACGATCTCGGGCTCTCCACCCGGACCAGTGGGAATCCTGGCGGGACCCTGCACCGGATAGCTGGCGTGGGGGCGGAACAGCAATTCGTATCCGCAGCGCTTTACTCACCAGCGGGGCATTGACCCTCCCTGGGGTGCAGGCCCAGCCTACCAGGTCATCCGACGGTCGCCTACTGAACCTACCCGCATGCTGGGGTGATCATAACTTTACATTAGTAAACACTTACCTTCTGGGAGCCTGCCTTTAATTTTGTCAACAATCCCGACCTGGACGCGTCCACACTGTTGGGATAGACGAATGATGTCAACACTACGGCGGAATTTAAACAGCGCATGTCCGGGAAGATTGCCACGTTCCGCCTTCACCCTAGCCGGCGTGCGTGCACGTACGTCCATCCAGCGGGAGCTTCCCGTATTACCGGAATACAACGAGGAGATATTAGGGCTCACATCTGAGCTTAATCTCTTTTGTTTGAGCATTTATGTCCAGTGAAGTTGGTTCGGCCTGGCCGAGTTCTTTTGAATGAGGCCCACAGTGTTGTGCGGGAGGCATTGCACTCAACCCGTTCGGGGTCCAATGTAATCATCGCATTCTGCTTAAAAAAACTACACCGTTGTCAGAACGTTACTATAATTGGAGGTGAGAATGGATTGTGTCCGTTTTGAGCCAACCTGGTTCGTAGTAGAGTTTTATTTGCTTTCCAACCAAATGAAAAAGGTCCTAAGTCAAATTTATCGTCGGCTTTTACCTCATTTATCATAATGAAGGTAAAACAAATCTCCTTGGGTTGGCCAAGTGAACATGGATTCAGAACTGAACGGAGCGGGCCAATGAATCTGTCCGACGCCGCCTGACGTAGGGCAGCAACCGAAGTTCCAAAATACTCAGCAGAAATACTCCACAAGCCACCACTCTCACACTATCACAGCATGGCTCTGATAGCCTACATCAAATTGCAATTCGTTCACAACTTGCGACCCATGTACCAATGTAGCATATTGGCGTTTATTCCCTGACCCCCTTAAACCCCTTCCCTACACATACACATACATAGCAGCAAAGCATGCGGCTCATCATCGCCGGCGGCTCATCGTCGCCATACTGTAATAGGAGGTAATCGCCAGCAGGATAAGCACCGGGAGCACGGCGCAAGCATAGCCTATCATACATCACGATTAAACACAATCGAAAATCACTCAAGTAGTTTACATGCCTCCCTGCGCCCCTGATGAGGCAGCTTCCTGACAACCCTTGTCACCGTCTTCCAAAACGGGAAAAATCCAAAGCCAAAAACGCAAGAAGGAATAATTCCCGTACAGGTTAAGAGGAACCAGAGCCCTGGCACCTCCAAAGGATGCATCATGTCCTGATCCAACCGGGTCAATGCAGGTCAATGCAGAGCAAACGCGTCGTCCTTTGCCCCTAGGGTGCGACCTACCATTTGCGGCAATTGCAGGTCAGCGCGTTGTCCAACAACTGCCATACGAATAAAGAAGAAGCCTTACAAGGGACTGAAGGCTGTAACGAATGCCCCATGACGAATAGCAACAAAACCTCGTCAGCTGCACGACACCGCCGCTGCTCGATACACCGACCCGACCACACACCACTATTCAAACACACCTAGGTAGCGCGTCATGTCCAGAAGGCGTCCAGAAGGGTCATGTCAAACAAACACCGGCGGGTGCTTAAACTGTGTTCCAAAACCGTGATGCGGTCGAACCCTTAACTGCCTTTGCAGGCGCCACCAAGACGCCCCCCCTGTCGTAACGCAGGATACCAACATTTTAGCAGCATGCTGCATGCACCAAATGGCAGAGGTGTTGAGAAGGACGCCACGCGGTTGCTTCAGGGCTGCCTAGCACACGGCACTGCCACTGTCAAGTATGCAAGGTGTTATGAAAAGCTTATTCCACAAAGAACAGGATGTGCGTGTGCGTGTGCGTATGCGTATGTGCGCGATACCGTCTCTGCAGTACGTCCCCGCTGCCGAAGTCTAGGTAACAAAACAGGTAAACACTTGATGAAGACGCACAGCTCCAGCATGAGGGTCTATCTCACCAACTACAACCCCACTCCAGCGCATCCCGGTCAGGTGGTTTCTGCTCACCGAAACACCTACCACAGACCCCGTACCCAGGCTTAACCCCGTACCCATGACTCAGGTGAACCGAATCACCATTGGTCGTGCATACTCAGCAGCTTGCAACAACCTGCAGTTGTGGGCTTCACGAACCCGAGAGCGATCCCACCAGCAGCTGGCGCCCGACTTCGCCGCAGTCCGCACCGTCGCCGCCGCAGCTGCTGCCGCCGCCTAAGCCGCCGCAGCACGCCGCCGCCTTCCACCGGACACCTTCCGCCTCCGCCGGGTCGAGAGACCAGCCCGCCAGCGGCGCGTCACCGTCCGCATGCCGGCATCCTGCTGAACAACAGTCCCCGATGACCACCTCACTTCCGATGACACTCCCAGTCGCAAAGCACGCCCCCGCCACTCCAGCCGTCGCTGCCATAGCCACCAGCTGCGTCTCCGCCTTGGCTAGCTGTGCATCCCGTTCTGCCAACTGCGCCTGCAGGCCCTCCAGCTTCGCTATCCATTTACGCCGTGTCGCATTATGCGCCCGCACCGCGTCCTCTGCCTCCATGCGGTTGCTGGTGAGCATGTCCACCACCTCGCGTAGCCGCTCCTCCAGATCCGCCATGGAAGCGTCCACAGCAGGCATCGCCTTGCGCACCAGCGCCATGTCCAGGGAGGGATCGAACAGCCGATCGCGCTCCTCCTCAATCTCCAGCTTTTGCAGCATAAGGCTATCGTACTTGTGGGTCAGCACGTCGAGATCCTTCTTGCAGGTGAGGTATTTGTCAAGCGCGGCTGCGGTCTGCTGCTGTGAGATCTCCAGCGCGCTGCGCAACGATGCCACCTCCCCAGCGAGCGCCGCACAGCGAGCGTCCACCTGTTGCTTCACCTCGGCTCTTGGCTCCTGCTGCTGGTGAGGCTGTTGTTCGTGTCGTTGTTGTAGTTGTTGTTGCGGCGGCGGCTGGGGCTGATGATGGTGTTGCATGTGCCGTTGCGCCTGCTGCAAGTGCTGCAGCTGTGTGCACAATGACTGAACCTCCGCCGTCAAATAGGCGCAGCGGTCCTCTAGATGTACAAATTCCATACTTCGATGCTGCTGAGGTGTTTGTCCTTGTTGCGGTTGTTGTTGTTGCTGCTGCTGCTGCGACGTCGTCGTTTTCGGGTCCCCTTCGGCGTAGCGGAGCTTCGCTGGCAGTAAAGTCTGATGCTGATGCTGTTGCAGTGGCGGCTGGGGTGGTGGGCGTGACGGCGTTGCTGGTGTATCGCTGTTGATCCATGACTCCTTTGGAAGGTTGTCCGACTGCTGGCGGGTGGCGGCATGAGCAGGGTATGCAATGCGCATCGTTTCCTGTGGCTGCCTTTGTGGCTGGACAAGCGCATCAGCATAGCTGCTCTGTTGACCTGATATGGGCAGTCCGCCAGTAGGGCCGATCGAAGATGATGCCTGCGGCTGTATAGAGTTCAATCCCGCCTGGGAGGGCGCACGCACCCGTGCCCAAGCCTCCTGGAGGGTGCTGCATGAGGAACGTGGGCCACCACGAGCGTCCGAGCTTCCACCACCGGCGCAACGCGACGACTCGGAGTCCTCGCTAACCCCAGGTTGCCCGCAGCCAGGCAGTAGGGGGCACTCGCTGTCTTTGCCGCTATTGCTGCGAGCTGGTTGGGCAGCCAAGCTGCTACGCCTGGGTGCATCCCGCTGCCCCTGCTGCGACCTGGCACCACTGCTGCTAAGCTCCTTAATGTTTCGCTGTTCCATTTCTTGCAGCTGCTTCCTTAGCAATTCGTTCTCGCCCTGCAGCTTGCTGACGAGTTTGGACGACTCGCGCATGACATCGTCCCGAGCCTGCGGTCCCGGGCGCGCAACATCATCGCCGTGAGGCAGCCGGCCGAAGAGCCAGAGCCGTCCGATAGACAGGTACATGCCACAGTTGTGCATCCAAAATGAAATGGACGGTATTCATCGAGGGGAATGGGCTAAGCGCACCTCAATCTCAAGACGCTGCTCTTGCAGGAGATTCAGAAGAAAGACTGTCTGCTGGTCCGTTTTCTCCGCCTGTCTCATCAACCATTTTGCTGTCCTTTTACCCTCGTCGCTCACAGGCAAACGGCCCATGCGTGTGCCCCCCCAGCTCATTTCCTAGACTTGTCACATACAATTATTCTTATATTCACATGTCACAACCGTGTGCAGTACAGAATGATCTGTGCTGAGGACAAATCAAACCACGCAGAAGGAAACCCTGACCCACAGCCGTGACTGTGACCAGCGGACAGCGCCGCGCCTATTGCAGCCTACTTTGGGTAAGTTATGGTTAACGTGAAGCATAACGTCTATCGCTTGGCAAATCGTATAACTCTGAGCCCAGGCATTGAATGCACATTATCGTACGCTTCCGCTAAGCGTTGTGAAAACCTCTTCACGGATAAAAAATTGTACATAGGGAAAAGGCACTTTCGTACATTCAATTTAATTTATGATTCGGTATACTGCGTCTCGATCCACGGCAAGCGGGGTCTGTCGCAGGCTGTGCGAGCTAAAGTGGGTCACTTCCGGGTATTTTGAAGTGAACGAAACATAACCTTCCCTCATAGGTAGAGCAATTGCTTGACTCTTCTACATTTCGGTGGAGCTGCCCACCCGTATTTTTGGTGCATGCGGCGGTGCAAGGGGTTGCGGGCCATTATGGTGGATTTAGCAGTTTGGCCGGGGCCATTCCGTGTGCAACCGTTGCGTGCAGCCACAGCTCCCAAAGCCCCTCACAGCGATACGAGCAACCGTACCCGCAACCGCTGCATGGCAAATATGGTCCGGCGAAGCCTCCGTGAAAAGCTTGCACAGGAGTATTGATAGCCCAATGTGCACCTTCACCTGGAACTGTCTGGACCATGGTCCTGAGTCCCTTGTAGGTTCGTCGGACCCTGTCTAGCAAACCGTGCTGCCGTGCTCTCTCCCACTACCATGCCTCTCAAAAACGGGTATCGATTTAGCACAACCAGCACACGATGCAAACATAAGGCTATGCGCAATGCGCAGGCCGGCTGAAAAAGAAAAGCCACGGCAGCAAGTTGCCGTATCTGCATTGCCTCCACCATTCACCGCGGGAAAAGACTGCTACCCAAAGAACTCCATTTGCGGGAAACCAAGGGGTCAGGAGCTTCTGCGCGCTTCCTTGGCGCCGAGAGGCACAGTATACTGTACAACACAAACCTCGTGGCGCGGACAAGCGCACCCGTCTGTGACATTAATCCAAAGCAACCTGCAGGGCCCTACCAGCCCTTTCACCCACCTAACCACCCATGCTTCCCTAGTGATGGCCTCGTCAGCAGCAAAACCGAACGCAGTCACTACCGCCCACCGGGATAAGATTGCTCCTTCAAAGCAGATGGCGGGGGCCGCTATGGGGCCCGCCATCACCGCATCACCCAAACCGCGCCAGATTCCCAACTGTGGTCCGCGGGCCAGCCGGTGGGGCAGTCACGCCGCCCAAGTGCCGCCCCATGTTCCCCTACAGCCAACCATTAGCAGATTGCTGATATGGGTAAGTCCCTGCGCAGCTGTGTGTTCCCTTCACTCGCGCGCCGCATTCTTTGCTCCCTGACCCTGAGCAGCTCAGCTGGTGTACAGGACGTCCTCCCATGGGTGGCGGTACAGCGGCTGCTGGAGGCGCTTTTGATCCAGCGCGTGACCCACCAGGCCGATGGATCGGGCCACCACGAACAGCGCATTCAGGTAGCTGCAAGGTGGGGAGCATGGCGCAGGGGAATGTGAAAGGGAGCTGAGTAATTGAGACGAAGTTCATTAGGGTAACAGACGGGCATACAGCCCGCCTCCGACACCCAGAAGGGTGAGGGTTTTCCCGACCTAGCACCGCTGGCTCTTATAAAGGTGAAGCTGGGCGAAGGTGTCTGACTGGGCATACGAGTATATGCGCAATCGGTATCAGCCGCACGACCGGTCCCCCGAACGGTCGCTCACTTACCCAATCTCCACGATCTGGACGGCCTCCGCCTCCGTGAAGCAGCCCGAGGAAGCCAACAGGTCCAGGAACAGCGCACCGATGCAGCCATCAACGTTGAGCACCTTCACGCGGGTGGAAAGGGTAACGGGATGAGGCAGGACGAAGAACGGAACGAAGAGATGCGGTTCCAAAAGGGGAAAACACAGCGAACTAGACGGTTGGGCTGTCGGCGTCGTTCTCCTTCCCTCCACATTTTTATCCAACTGCAGTTGCACACGTGCAACTCAAGAGATAGACAAACCCGCCATGGTAACACAAAGGCAACTAGAGATCGCACGCGAGCTGGAGGAGGACACGGCAGAGGCCGGAATGCCTGTGTGTGGTTGCGGTGCCGGCATGGCATGGCCCCCGTTGCGCCGCTCCCCTCCAAATGAGCTGACTCCTCAGCACGACACGACTTACACGGGGAATCGCGAACTGACAACCACTCCGCCATGCGATGTAAAGGGGCAGGACAATACACGGCTCGCGCCGACTCGGCCCTGATCATGTACAAGTGCTCGCCTAACCTCGGCGCCCCTCCCCACTGCTCCCTACCAGGTTAGGCGCCTTCTGCAGCGTGTACGACTCCACCGACACTGCGTACTCCAGGTACCGAGTAGATGGGAAGAACTGCAGCACCAGGGGAGCGGGTGCCGGGGTGTGTGTGTGTGTGTGTGTGTGAGTGTGTATGTGTGTGTCAGGAAGCCAACGGGGACGAGGGACGGAGGAGGGTGCTGACCACGCTGCCAACAGCGCCTCGCTGAGAGGACTCCATCTTTTTTGAACCTATTTAACGAAGAGACACCGATACCTCTGTCATTCCATGTGCGCCAGAGTGTTCCTCAGTAAGTGAGAGGCAAGTGGGCGGCAAAGTGGCCACTCACTCCCTTTTCCCCACAACTTTCCAGCTCCTGCCCCCGACCTCACCCGTCATCGTCCTCATCAACAGCATCCTCCCCCATCACTTGTCCTGCCTTGGCCATTCACCATCTCTCAACGATAAATGGACCGCATGGGCACCTCGGACGCGCATCATCCCGGATGGTACGTGCCGTGCCGTGCTGTGGCGCAAGCAGTGTCACGCTACAACAATTTCAGCGCACCTTGCGCGCGTAGTTCTGCAGCAGCTCCACGCGCTTGTCCCGGTTGTCCTTGGACTTAATGCGGTGGCCAATGCCTGACACTCGAATGCCCTTCTTCTTGAGACCTTCTACAAAGTCCTGAGGGCTCTGACCCGCGTCGCATGCCGCCTTGAACAGCCTGGGCGGGCGGAGCGCCACCGGGCGGAACCTCAAGAGATGACGGGATGTGCATTTCATGGCGTGCGGTCCCTAGCGCCGGACAGCCGGAGGGAACATGGCGGGCGGACGCCCGGACACGCGCACAAGAGAACCCCGAGCACCGCAAGGACGATATGAAAGGGGTGGTCCGTTTTGCGTTCCCCATGCGGTCAGGTGGGACTAGCTCCACAGCTCCGACCCAGCGCTCCGCTCCCCACATGCCTTCAGATGACTCCTCTCACGACAGGCGTGGCCCTACAACTAATAGGCACCTTGCACCTACAGACCGCCCTCCTCCTCACCTGGCCGCGTCGTCAATGGCCCCTCCGAACCTGGGCCCGATGGTGAGCAGTCCGCTGACCAGGCAGCTGACCAGGTCCTTACCGGCCCGGCTGGTCACAATCGCATTGTGTGCGCCAGACACGCATGGTCCGTGGTCGGCACACAGCATCACGCACATCTGGGGCGCGATGGGAAAGGCGGAAAGGGCGCAGAGGATGGCATGGCAGCATCGGGGCATCAGGAACCAGATCTGCAACCCCATGACGCGCCCCTTGCATATACACACTCCATACGCCCAGTCTGACGGCCATGGAGGCCACTTGTCTGTCAACAAGGTCAACAGCATCCTACCGCAATCCGTTCGCCCGTAATATAAAGTTTGAAGAGCTGAAAGGGTTCAGCAGTTGGTTAGCCAATGAAATGCACATGCAACCGGCTGGCTGGAAAAAACCTCCCGGCACCTCCCACACTTCCTTACGAAATGGGTCCGAACCGCGTTTCCCGCTTCGCGTCCTGGCAGACATCCCCCCTTCTCACACCCGCTGTTGAAGAGCCCCCCTCTTCCGGGTCGCAGTGCCCATTCCCACCTCGATGAACTTGGAGGCATACTTTGGCAGCTTGCGTTTGAACCAGAGCAGCGAGATGACGTCCCCCACGCCGTAATCGCCCTCAATCAGCTCCGACATGGTGACGCCGTAGTATGTGGGCTCGTCACCCCGGTCATCGCAAATGGTCGACACGATGTGGGTGGGGACGCGCACCTGCGAAGAAAGAGGTGCATGTGCGTGTAGGTGGGATGAGGGGAGGAAAGTGAGGAAGGCAAGCGAAACTAAGCAAGCAAGTCACAATGGGTATCAGAGGGCTATGAGGGTGCGAAGAGGGTCGGGCAGGCGGGGAAAAGGAGACGGTTAGGAGGGAAGTACGGCGGCGGAAGGCAACGCCGTGTGAGGTGTGGAGACACACACACACACACACAGAGGGCCAAACAAGGAACAAAGATGGTAAGTAGACATGCATTCAACCAAGTCAGGGTGTCATCTCGGTAAGCGGCAAAACCTCATTGACCGCATTGACCACGTATCCCCCGGTCCTTGTGTCACCACTAACCCCATCCCACCTTGCCCGCCGCGACCGCCGAGGCCAGGTCCTGCGGGATTGGCGGCGGCTCCACGTCCTTGGCTGGGATCAGCACGCCCGACTGCACCAGGCGCTGGTACGTTGACCTGCAGGGCGAGGCGCGCGGGGACAGGGGTGTGCGGGACCGTGCCGCAGGTAGCCGGTACGGGGATTCAGGGCGCCAGAAAACGGGTTCGTGGCAAGCCGGCACAGGTGCACCGCCAGCCATCATACATCAAACGTTTCGGAGCGAGACAGCGCCTCGAGTCAAGGGGCAAAGAAGCTCTGCTCGCGGGCAGTCCGACATCGAATACCGCGTACAGAAAATATCAGGGAATTACCACCACAAGTTATATCCACTGCCGACCCTTTCCCTTCCCTTTTCCCTTTACCCCCCTACCTAATGGCCCCCTCCAGCCCCTCGAATGACTCCGGGACCAGCGCACCCGCATCGCGTAGTGCGGCGTTCTTAGCCTGGCAAGGGGGGTTGTGTTGGGACACCGCGGATGGCCGCGGAGGTAAGTCGGGAAGTCGCAGGGAGCGATATGGCGGGTCAAAGCAGCGGAGTTGCCTTGTTGGGCGTGAACCTGCGTAAGATGGCAGGTCTTTTGACTCTCGACCATGTTTTATGACAAAAGCTGTCTGTCTAAACGAGCCGGGTTGCGGCTGGGATCATGGGCTCATCAAAATCGCCGAGAACCCCAAATCAGGTCCCTAACAAACGACCCTCCCTACCACGGCGTCCCCCCAGCTCTTCTCTCAGGTCCAACTCATAAGTCCCCAGCACCAATTTAAATCAAGGCGCTTATCCAATCCAACCATGAAAAGACCCAACTCAGCCTCTCCCACACCGTAAAACTAAAAAACCTTTGCGGCAGTCCCCCACCTGTGCGCTGTCCAGGTCTCCGCCGCTGCGAGCCCCCGCGTGACCGAACTGCACCTCGCTCTTGAACAGCTTGGCGCATGTCCCTGACACCTGTGTGGGGGAGGTAGGGAATGAGAAGAATCGGGTGAACGGGGCTCGGAGCCGCGGGACAAGGCCGTTGGGTCGTCCCGAGTCGTATATGACGCAGCTGCAGGCCAGCTCCGCGATCACCATCACCATCAAGGTAAGTCAGCAATCAATCCCCACCATGTGGCAACAGACTACTCCCTGGGACCTGCAGGAGAGACCCTTCCAACGCACGGCGTTTCTGTCCCTAACCCGCCTTGCGCCGTGCACGACCCTGCACTCCTATTCACATCCAGCATGCCGCCGCTTCATCTGGCCCCCTTGGTCGCCTCTCCGTACCCCATTTCGCGGCCCCCAACCTACCCCACACCCGCACCTCCCCAACCTCGCGCTCACCCATGCCACCACTGGCTTAGTGATGGCCTCCGCCTTCATGGCCTCCACAAGGCCGTACTCGTCGCGGCCGCCCAGCTCGCCCAGCACCACAATCATCTTGATGGCGGGAACATGCTGCAAGGGGGGGAGAGGAAGGAGAGGGAGGGAATAAGAAAGGAAAATGTGGGGAAGGGAAAGGGGGAACGACGAACCACGAACGAGTGAAGCTGCTGCCAAGGCAAGGGAAAGGGGGAGCGGTGGCGGTGAGGGCTCGAGTGTGTCTGCCAACGTCTCTTCGCAGCAGCGTCCGTATGCACATGCACAGCCCTGCACGGTGCATCACGACTGCCTACCGCCGCTCTTGCAAACCAGGGAAATGAACTGCTACTGATACTGCCGCTGCTGCCGCTGTTTACTCCCCTTCTCCCTTGCTGCTTCCTCACCTCGTATCGCAGGCAGTGATCCGACAAGGTGGAGCCCGGGAACGTGTCACCGCCAATGGCAATGCCTGCGGAGACGAACAAGGTGGGAGGCGGATGGAGGCAAGTGCAGCGAAACGGCTGCTCGTTATCACCAGCAGACAACACGCGTGGCATTTATTGCAGTGCATTTCCTAGACCCCTGCTGGGCAGGTGGCCTATCTCCACCGGGCATGGTACTGCTCACACACATGCCTGCGGAAGCATCTTTCAGAGCTCCTCTCCTCCGGGGGACGTGGGAGCCGGCATTGTTGAGGAGTGCCGCAGCGGGTGAAGGGAGCACAAGCGGGGTGGGTATCCTCACAACACATCACGCAGGTGCAGAGCAGGCGTGTTTTCGTGATGTGGACCCTCTGCGTGCCTCGCTGTGTTCTCGCACCACAAGGTTCAGCCCTGCCCTGCCCTTTTCACCCCGCCCTCCCTGCAGCGGCCGCCTGCGCACCCTCATACAGTCCGTCAGTGGCCCGGGCCAGCACGTTGTACATCTCGTTGGACATGCCGCCAGACTTGGACACGAAGCCCACAGAGCCGGGGCGGTGCAGCTTGCAGGCAAGTATGTTATCCAGGGTGCCGGCAGTATCGCCAATCTTGAATGCGCCAGCCTGAGGAAGGGGCGCGGATGCAGTTGCGAAGGGTAACATGATGCAGATGACCGCAGCAAAGAGAAGGCTCGCACAGTCCTCTTGTAAAAACGAGAGCCCATTACGCACAAGCGGATGTACCCACCACAATACAGCCGGCTGTACATGTACGTGTAACCCCCAACATTATGAAGCTGGTCATGCAGAAGCCGGTAGACCGACGACAGTCCCCAGCAGCAGCAGCCCTAGCGAGCAGGCAAGGGGGCATCCTGAAAGCGCCGCGGCAGAACGGTCCATCCCATCCCCTCACTGCCCACCTCATTCACCCACTTGCCTGCACGCCGCCGACCGTAGCCGGGCCAATAATGACCTTGTTGTTGGCCCGTGCATAGGCGATGAGGTGCTTGGTGTCCTTCTCCGGGACGCCCTCAGCAATAATGGCAACCACGCGGATAGTGGCGGCCTTCAGAGCCTCCAGGGAGGACTCGTACGCGCTGAGTGTTGTTGAGGATTTGAATAGTTAAGTTATAATGTGACGGAGCATCGAAGCGTTGGGGGCGCGGGACATGATGTGCATGGCGATAAGGAACGATTGCGCACAGGCACGACACAGAGGAGAGCCAACTGGAGAGGGCACAACGACTGTGCCGCTGATGGTGAGCTTCCCGCCCAGCTCCCCGCGTCGGCAATGCATTAGCGCAGGCACGTGGTTGGCTGCGGCCTAAACCCATTTGCGATGTGCCTTTCCCGCCTTGGCCTACCTGCGGAACGACGCGTAGTTGATGAATACGTCGGCCTTGGGGTGCTTGCGAGTGGCCTCGGCGGTGCTGCGTCGCAACGCAGGTGGCCGGGGGCAGGGTCGGGAAGGGCCGGCCGAGGCGTACATTTTTGGCAGAGCCCCGTGGATTGCGATTTGGTTTGAGACACATTGCAAAAACGGTCTCCATTGCCTTTCTTATGACACCGGACATGGTCACCAAGGGTAACTCTCAGGACCTCCTTCCAAAGATTGAGAGCGCGGACCGGCTCTGGGCAGATGCTGGAAAGCAGGACGAGGGCGGGGGAAGGAGTGGGGTAATGCTGCCACGCTACAATACACTGCCCGATGGGTAAGCGCCGAACGCAAAGGTCGGTAGCTACGAGGTTTTTGAACCGCAGTTGAATGTGCACGAGGTAGGAATCTCAAGGCATAGTTCCGGGAAAAAAAGGGCCTTTCTTGTCCCGTGCTCCTGCAGTACAGCACGAAGCCTTGGGTAAAAATAGGAAGAATGTGGACTTGGCAAACACACATGCATCCCATGACATCCCATACAGCAGCATCCAACGTAAGAACCATGACTGTGAAAATGATTGCCCGAAACGCAACAGCAAGCGTAAAACCCGCCGAGGCACGCGAAACAACAGACCGTTCTTCCCGTCAGCCTCCCGCAAGGTGCACGCATTTGTTTAGTCGTCCCAGATAATGAAAACCGTGAAGGGTCGGTAATGGGCGCCGTAACCTAACGGCCTCTCCCAAATGCAATCCACGTCACAGCGCCTCTAGGACACAAAGTGCGCCGTTAACATTACATGATTACCAAAACATCCTAAGGCATATGCACAACCTTTACGCATCGTGCGCACCTCCCGTAGACCGGTATGGCGATCTCGGCCTTTCCGAAGAAGAGTTTTTGGAAACCACCCGAGCTCCCAGGCTGGACAATGGCAGCAACCGAGGGTGTCTCACGGCCTGAGCGCGCATGGTTGCGAACACCAGATCGCTTTAGCAACGGTTGACATAACATACCTGCCTGTGGCATTCGTGCAACCCCATTCCTCACCGCAAACATAGTCGAAGTCCAACATACGTTGTACCGGCTTTTCCTTCCAATTAAAGAAAATCGCCTGCGTCTGTGGGCTAAAAAGTTGTCCGAGAACCATTTGCGATGACGTTGCTACCAAACAAGCCACCCAGGGCCACAAGCTCCAAAACCTGTCGCGAGCTCTTTATATTCCCATTACAGCTGAATTACTTGAATGGATGAGAGGCACTAGACCTGCCAACGCTCGTCCAACGCGCTGTACATAACTGTCAATCACATGACTTGTTGGCGGACTCCTCTTAGGTTAAGGCAGAACGTGATTCTGAAGTTGTCGGATTCCTCTTGATGAAGCTGCTGTGATTGTAGAATGACATAAACATGCCGAGTTCACACTCCAACCCTTACGGACAGCTAAAATGACAGATGCACAGGACAGGAGCCTGGACGCTTCCGGATGTCATGTATCATCCAACACCAAGTTTAAGGCTATTTCTGCCCCTTGGGTGGCAGGTACCAGCGCCGTCATCGCCCGGGGAATGCTGGGATGTCCCTGCGGAGGCACACTGCCGACATCACAGGCAGGGCCTTGATATCTACCTGCACGCCGGCGCCCAGCTGGAACTTTTACCTAAAGAGCTAGCGACTGAGTGCAGTGCTCGTTGTCTGTGGTTCCCGGAAGCGATCGACAATGGCGACTGCGCCGCGATGTCGCCATCCCAGCACAGCGCGCCCCAAGCGTGTGACTCCCACAGCGCCCACACAACTGGCATAAGATTTTTGGGGATCCAGACCATTATATGGAGCGATCAATGCACCTCAGTCCCTGTATCAGCTGTAGTACACCCTCCGCCTTGCAAACGCCTGCATTTACAGGTAGGTTGGGGATGCGCGTGACTGTGGCAGGTACCTACATGTCTGAGCGACTACCTCCCTACCTGCCTCCCTACCTGCCCTACCTTCTTCCACCTCCACTATCCTTGCCTGCCTTTCAAACACGACCGCGAGTTTTCTGCCAAAAGCCTGTTCGGCATCGTAATCGTTTATCCTAACCTTCCCACATCCCAACGCTGCGTCGCTGTGCCAGAAGCGGCAAAAAGCTGCTGCTCCTCCCCGCATGGGCAAAGGTTCCTCTCCTCGATGCCCCCGGAAGGTACTTAGTGCTCCTTTGAGAGCCCAGATACAATGACCGATCCTTTGAACTATTACGACGGGCAGTTCCAGCACCGGCAGGCCACACTCAGGTCCTGCGCATGGACGTGTGGCGGCTGTACGTGTACAGCAATGTGGATGTGCTTTGGCTGCCTGTCCTGATGTAGGAAAGGGAAACCTGAGAACCGTAACGGGTGATGTGGAGGGTCTCCTTCCTAGTACCGTGACTTACCCTGACCCCCCAGCTCCACTGCCTCGTAAATTGGTGCCGTACAGGTGTTTCTTTACGACGAGCGTTCATGGCGGCGAGTGGCTTGGACAGAGGGAAATTGCCACGTGCCGAACCTGGAGGCCGGTGAGCTGTTTGTCGGGTTGGCTTGTACGGACTGCCCACCTAAGCACATGATTGTTGCGTGTTTCGGAGAGGAGTCACAGTCCAGTCCAAGTTGGGGCGCGTCCAGATGTTGAGGCGACGTGGTATCGTCATGCTCGCCGTATGAGGTGGTGGATGAGACCCATCCCCATCCACGTCCACGTCCACGTCCAGATCCACATCCAGGTCTACGTCCGCAGGGGGCCCCCCAGGTGCTCTTCTACCAGACCCACTACCGCTGCGACTGGCTCTGAGGCGCTGCGGCCACCCCCAACTGAGTGGAGCCGGGTGGGGCAGCGCCCCAGGGGCGGCGGTACCTGCGGTGAAGGTCTGCAGGGAACAGAGAGTGACCACGGGCTCCCCAGCAGCGCCTGCAGCAGGGCCGGTGGCGGCAGCCGCGGCGGGCGGGCGGGAGCTATCGCCGGCGGCGTCGGCCGCGCAGATGCTACAGCAGGTTGCGGCGAGTGCTGCAGAGCTTGTCGTACTGCGCTCCGCCAGTGGTGGGTTGGAGGTGTCGATACGAGGGGAGCAGTGGGATGGCGGACCGTATCCGCCACCAAGTGTTTACATCATTTCGAATACTGCTCAGGAGCGTTACTTTCCTGCGAGAAGATGGTGGCGGATTGGCGCCCCTACCTGCTGTTGTGGTCCCCACTGTTGTGGCGGTTGTAGGTTGGGTTTCCATTTTTACAGGTTGCAGCGAAATGTCCCGGCTGTACAGTCGCACTGCGCTCACTGGCTGCCAGCCAGCCACCCAGCCGGGCAGCTAGCGACTCGCCGACATTATTAGCGTCAACGGAGATGCAGACAGGTGACCCAAATATTGGCCGATAATACGCAATTTGCACCCTCGGGATTGGGCTCCGAAACTACCCCCCCTACTTCGCGCCGTCATCCCTCGCCTCCCTCGCCCGCACGGGATCCCGCAGCCACACACATCCAGCACATCGTGGCTTGTGTTGACATCCTGTACAGCCTGTACGACAGCTGCCAGGCGTCCCGCTCTCCGGCCCTTGGCGGAGCTCGGCCTTGGCGGAGCGCGGTGGAATCGGCCACGGGGAGTGAGTGCAAACGCCGCCGCCAAGTCCTCGCTGTGCCATCCTCCCGGTCAGATAGGGCGCAGGGTAAGGTAAAGGCCGGGGCAGCGGGATCGGCTGCTTCCTGGCTCCAGGGGCAGCGGGGCAGCAGTGCGGCCGCCAAGGAACCCCGGGCTGCACACGGCAGCGGGAAAGCGGCAACGGCCGGTAAAGGCGGCGGATGTGGAGCGCGCAGAGGAGGAGGAGGAGGAGGAGGAGGGCGCTCAAGGACGACGGCTGGGGCCGGCAGCAGCGGCAGCAGTCGCTTGTGCGGCTCGGCGCCATCACTGCGGAGCCCGCAGCTGCACGGCCCGGCAATGGTGACAGCGGCCTGCCTGCTGCTGTCATTGCTGCTGCAGCTGCTGGCGGGGCCGGCGGTGGCGGCGGCGGTGTGGCGGCGGCGGGCGGTGCTGGTGGCAGCGGCCGAGCGGGGGGCGACCGGCTCGGAGCGACTGCTACGGGAGCATTACGACTGGTGAGGAGGAGCGGCGGCGGCCTCCCTGGGCCGCTGGTCCTCTGTTGCGAACCTCCGTATTGAGCGGGAAAAGTATCAGAAAACAGGGCCCGGACTTAACGGCTGCCATGTGCGTTTCGGGTTCGTGACCTGTTTTGTGCGTTTACCTCTGGCTTTCCCGCTCGACATATACGGTTTCACGTCATGAATCTTTGGGTGCTCGTTCGCAATCATCTTGGGCCCATACTTCCGTACTGCCGTACTGGCAGGTTAATGACCGCCACTCCCGCAGGTGTGAAGTTGCACGCGGAGCTGTGTACGCTGCTGGGGACTGCGGCGCACGCGCTCCTCCGGCTGGCAGCTCTTGCCGCGCGGTGGGGCTGGCCCCGGTGCGGGACCGCAGTGGTGGGTCTGCTGGCTGCGGGCAGCGCCTTGGGAGGTGAGGACGGAGGGATTGGGTGGCATGGAAAGAAAAGTGGTGGTGCCAGGGAGAGGCGCCCTGATGAAATGCCCGGGCGGGTTGCAAGCGAAGTAGTATTTGTTGTTGTTTACAGAGTGGGAGGCCTTTGGACCACTTGAACACCTTGTCATTTCCACGATTTCTCATCACACAGCACCATCCAGGATTACCACACTGTACTACGCCATACGAACTGCAAGTCCAAGGCGGTTGATCCTGCCTTCTAGGATCCCTCCTCATCCAGTCACCCGAACATCCGTAGAGGCAGAGGGTTCGGCAGTCGCCACTAATCCTGCGTGCGAATCTCGGTCCATCAACTGTGACCTCAACTCCACACCTCAGCAGTAACCATAATCTCACGCTTCCGACAATGTCGAGGATCTCCCCAGGAATTGAACCTAGGACCTTAAACCACACAAGATAGTAATGTCACCAGACCAGACCAGCAAGCGAAGTAGCCCTCTCCCGTCCTCTTTCTGGACCTTTCCCATTCTTCTCGACATGTAGTTGCGGCCCCTGATGACCTTTTGCTTTTTGCACGTGGTTCCCACCTGGGACGACAACCTGGGGTACGCCGGAGAGCCTCCGAGCGGCGCTAACTCATACCTTCAACCATATCTCAGCGTTTGGAAGTTTGAGCTGCAGCAGGCTACTGCTGATTCGGACATCTGCTGGGTTCGCTTTCCCGACCCCCCACGCATGGGGCCGCACAGGCACCTACTATGGGAACTCCAGGCAGCACAGGCCCTCCATCTCCGTCGCTTCCCCCCACATGCAGGTGTGGGCGGCGGCCTGGCTGTGCTTCACGATCTGCTGCTGGCGGCCTCGGGCCCCCTGGCTCTGCAGGCGGCCCTCAGCGGCCTCCTCTTGCGCCGCCAACTGGCCTGGCTGGGAACTGCTTGGACGCTCATGCGCGGGAAGCATCACCGCAACAAACGTATCGGCCGCAATCGCAGCAGCAGCAGCAGTAAGACGGGCCGGCCACCGCCACCTCCACCACTTGTACCCTCACCCTCACCATCGCCGTTGCCAGGTCAGACGCTGCATGTGGCCCCATCGGCGCCTAAGTTGGTAAAGTCTCGTGCGGGAACAGCAGCAGAGGTAGCAGAGACAGAGACCGGAGGTTCCTCCTCCTCCCCTGCATGTTCAGCGGAGGTGGGAGCAGAGGCTGGGTGGAGGGGTGGAACGGTGACGGCGGCGGCAGCAGCGGTCGCGGGACGAAAGACCTCCCTAGCTTCCTCCCTGGCTGGGGGCCGGAAGCCACAGCAATCCAGCCACCACCCGCAGCAGCAGCGGCAGCAGCCCTCGGGCTCTGCCATGGAGGCGGCTCCCCCGCACCCCGCGGGGTCTGCAGCAGTTGGGCAGCAGGCGGCCTCCCTACTGGGGTTGCGGCTGCATGTGTGTGGTCGGGCAACTAGTGGTAATAATAGTACTGCTGGTGGTGCTGGTGGTGGTGGTGCTGGTGAACGGCACGCTCCAGCCCCGTGTCAGCAGCCGAGCCCACTGGTGCCCATCAGCCGCTTGGAGAGCTTGTTGGGACTGACAACCGACCCCGAGGTGAGAACGTATATGTGTGTATAGCGGCAGTAGTGAGGGGATGGAATATCACGTGCAGCATCGCAAGCAGGGGCTTAAGGCGGTAGGAGGCGGTGGTGGGCGACAAAGGGGGATGGCGTAGGAAGGGGGGGCACGGGGTGGCGGCCGTAGGGGGGGTACCGGACCGGAGTGCATAGGCGGGGGTTTGTGTGGAGGGGGGTTGTGGGCGGGGATGGGGGGAAATAGCGGCGAGATACTTCTTGGTGTGTCTCTGTGGGACTGGGAATGTGGAGCAGCAACTCCTGCGCACGCAGGTGTGTGGGGGAAGCAGGCTGGCCGCCCGGTGTTCGCCCGGTGTTCCGCTTGCCTTCCAAGTCTGTCATGTCACCAGTAAGATGTTGTGGCCGCTGAAGCAGCTGACCCGACAGGACCTCATGTCGGCCGGTGGGGCCTCTCCAGGGTGGAGGAGTGCGTTTACCTCAGTCCAACGGGGGCCTGTCCGAACACGTTTCATCCCACGACCTCCCCTTCCTCCCAGTGATGGTTTGATTTGGGCGCCGGCAAGCGACCCTTTGGTCCCCGTGCATCTGATTCCCCATCCCGGTGATGCTACCTCTCTGATCCCTCACCCCCACCTCCCCTCAGTCCGGTGACGAGGTGGTGGTGGAGCAGCTGATAGTGGGGGTGCTGCTGCTGGTGCCACTGCTGGCGCTGCTGCCCACCTCTGCAGCCTGGCACCTGCTGGCGCTGGCGGCGTGGGGGGCCACAGCTGCGCTGCGGGGAGGTCTGGCACTGGCGGCATGGACGCTACGGGACAACGTGCTGCTGACGCTGATATGGAGGGGGCTGCGGCCCCTGGACTTTGCAGGTGAGTTCGTATCGCTCTCCGTACATGGGTTGATTCGCGCGCTTTTGGATGGCTTGATGGGTGTGTGTGGTGACTGCTGAATGAGGGGACACGGGGCCGCCACAGGGAAGGGTGGGGTAACGAGTCAGCTGCTCTTGCGTTGGCCCCATAGGATTTTCCTGAGTGGCGGCATGAACCATCAGCGATGGTGGTGGTTCCCCATCAGCGATGATGGTGATCGGTACTGCTCGGTAGGGTCGGCTTCGGCCTATAGAGTGTGGGGCGCGGTCGTACACCGATGTTCCATTCCTTAGTATCCGCCGTAACTCAGGTGTTTCATCATCCCCACCATTATGTACATCACGGTGGTCCTGTCATCATGGCTGAGTGTTTCGGCTTTGAGGGGTACACTCAATGGGGCGATGGTCATGGTGGCTGCAGGACCGGACGTCATGGTGCGCTGCCTACTGGGAAAGGAACCGGTGGAGGCGGGAGGCCAGGATGTAGGGCCGCCGAACCAAGGGGGCGGCGGCACGGCCGTGGGTGGGGCCAGGGCCACTGGCGGCTTGCCTCGGCCCGAAGCACGTTGGGCTTCCCCGGGTGGAGCCAGCAACTGTTTAGTGTTCGTGGTGGAGCCTCTGCCGCTGAGCTGGAGAAACGTGGGTTTGGCATGGGTGGGGAGGGGGCTGCGGGGTGGCTGGGGCTCGGAGGAGTTGCCGGGGAACCGGAAGCAGCATATCAGGATGAAGACGTTTGGGGCTAGGACCTTTTTGGGGTTGAGGTTTTGGGATTTGGGGATTTGGTGAGGGGCCGTTACTCACGTGGTGCATGGATTACCGGGCTTGAAAGGATATTGGGCACAAAAAATATTGTGCTCGGAGGGTAGGCGAATGTACAAGGCTGGTATACATTGGTATATGCAAGCCCATGAAATGCGGACATGTACAAAGATGCGTTGCTGGTTCGAGAGCGGAGGTGCGCGCTAGGTGGGCGTGCTTGAGAACCTCTGGAACCTTGGCGCATCAAAGGCTTGCAGCTTTCATAGTTTAAAAGTGTCGGTTTTGCCTTCCTGCATTTTCTGTAAACTGTATGTATCATAGAGGTCCGGAGGTTGATGCCGTGATTATACGGAATCAGAAGCAAGTCCATACACGGATGCCTATTATGTCAAACGACGTACCGCCGTTTACACTTTGTTATGTGTTATAAGATAATTGAATACACAGAAGGACACAATTTTTTGTTAGTTGTTAAACGTAGGCCTATCAGGTTTCTTCGTGGCAGTTCGTTTCGATCCCGCGTTCAATGCCCGCGGGTGTTGAGTATAAAGGGTACAGCAGCACCCAAGCACCTAGAGAGAATGAGTGCGACTCGCTGCCGTGTGCCGCTCTGGGGTGGGTTGCCCTGCAGACGCCGAATGGGGCTCGAAGGCCTCCGGCAACCCTGCAAAAACGTTCTTGCTGATGCGAACTCTTTGCATCATATGAGGATTATGCTTGCCTTCGCAGAAACGGAGACGTCCTCCTCAGTAAAACGTCTTTGACCCTTGAGCACGACTGTGGCGGCACAAGCTCCCTGGTGGACTTCCCAGGGGCATCTGTCAGCGCTACGTGCATCGGGTAAGCCTGTTTTAGATGTAGAGATAGAGCTTCCGTTTGAATTCCATGCATGACCTGACACCCCCGCCTGAGGCGCGCCTGCTTCCTGCATAAATTGTGACTTGATGGCCTGTGAGCTTCCGCTTTTCGATTTGCGGCATATCAGCTGTCACTGTCGTGTCAAGCCGTTCGTGCAACCGTCTGCCTTGCGCATTTCTTTACCTTGTTGTGTTTGTAACCTCGCCTTACACAGGTCGCGCATTTCTGCATCATTTCTTGGAGAGCCGGCTACACCGAATGGCGCTGGTGACTGTGCCATTTCCTATAGCCCTGTCAGCAATGTGCCCGCCGGCAAAGGCTATTCCTACGGACAAGCAAGCTTAGGGTTGCGCGCCGAAAATTCTTCTGAAAGCAGCGGTCTAGCGCGGCGTTCGTGTAGCTTCGGAAACGAAGATTCGACTGATTGTATAGGCCATGGCACTCATATGCCGGCGTCACGACACAATCGCTTTCTTAGCGCCGTTGCTTACGGTCTTCCTGGCTCGGCATCGGCTCCGTCGGGGTCGACGGTTAGTGGCCCGTTAGCCCCAAACTTGCCGACGTCAGGGTCGACGAGTATCGACTGTTTAGTGGCACGACTGGAGCATGAACTGAGGTGCCAATGCGAAGAAAACAAGTGGCTTCGGCAGCAAGTGCAGGAGCGGGACGAAGAACTTTCTTCAGTGCGGGCGGAGCTCCGTCGCGTGCAAGCTGCCCAAGCACAGGCGCGCACGCTTCCCACTGTGCTCCAAGGCGAGGAACCGATGGATTGGTTTGCCCAGCTGCAGCGTGCGCGCGAAAATTTTACCGCGCAGAATCCATATCCATCGTTTGGACGGCTTAGCTTAGGCGGCGTTGGCAACCGAGGGGACGGCACGGCAACCGCGGCGACGGGTTTCGCCGCTCTGCCACGACCCGCTGCGCCAGCTGCTGGGGGCTTGGACTCAAAGGATCCCGCGCTGCTGCGAATTGACACACCGCCGCACGCCCATGGAGGGCTGCCATTCACGCGCACCTTATCCGATGAATTGCAGGCGCTGCCTGCTTTTGTCGACAGCAATGCAGCAATTGCGCTGCAACCTTGCAACAGCTCTGTTTCCCCTGATGAGTTGCCTGTCGCCGGGGCTATAAGAGCATCCGGTCTGCCTTCTTCGGGTGGAGCGGCGGTAGAGGACAGCCCCCCTGGGCTTCATCCGCTGCTACTAGCCGAGCGCCGCCGAACGGATCGGGCGCACGTAGCACTGCTTTTCAGCAGTCGCCAGGCAGCCCGACTTTCGCAGCAGCTTGAGGAGGTGCAGGTCCATGCTGCGGCGCTGCACGAGGAGCTGCGTGACTGGCGCAGAGCCTGTCTGGACAACCACAAGGAGCTAGTCAATCTGCGCAGGATAACCGCAGGCGCTCCAATATTGTTGGAGTAGGCAAACCCATAGTTTCCGTCTGGGTTGCGTGAGAGGGCTTTCATATGAGACATGCAGCCAGCCAATGTCTAGTGTACGCTCTTCGAGATATTTTTTCTGAAGCTAGCCAAGCTGTTGAGGTCAGCCAGTTGGCTCAAGTGGTATGGGTATTAATTGGAGCTAGCTTCAGCCCTCACACTGGATGGAGAGGTGTTGGGTTGTCCATCTGGATTCGTTCGGCCGTGAAAAGTTTCAAGAGTACATCTTGACGGTCTTGAAATCAGTCCCGGGTGATGGGCAGGCACATGGATAAGTTCATCTGCTGTTGGCGCGTCTGCTCTTCCGCACATCCGTGGTTATGTGATAGGTACCGCAGCCGGTACCCGGTCGAGCGCTAGGTGTGTTGTGCCCCCACCTAGGGCCGTGCATTCTAGGATGTCCGTTAGGCCCGTCCTGGCGTGCAATAAGCGCATGGTATGTATAGCGTAAGGCAGGTGGCGCAACGTGGCAATAGAGAGCAGGTGGTGCTCTGGTCATTGGCGGGGCGAACGGGGGCTCTGACGCGGTTCAGAATGGCTCTACGTGTATGCACGGCGGCTCCTCGCCGGCTCCAGCCGGTTCACGGGACGAAGGCTCCGAAGGAATGAGCAAATAGGCAATAGGCGCGTCTCTTGGAGTCGCGTTGCCGCCCACAGTTGCGATGCATCGGACCCCGTGTGGTCCAACTGTATCCGGCGTCCAAACCGCGTTCCCAGCGCGCGCCGCATTAGGCTGACGCCGGGCAGCGGTAAGCACCGCCATTTGTTAAGGTTCGCTTTAGTGTTGTGGCCAAGGGATGGCCGCCTTGGACTGCGCTGTTGAATCCTCTACAAGAAACTTCACTCGTTGTGACTCTGGCCACGTTGGTTCATTAGGTGGATCAATGACCCTCGAGCGGCGTCGCGATTCATTTTTAAGGTTAGCGTTTGCCTGAAACGAGTTTGTGGGCGCTATCCAGTGTGTCGGTTTGTGAGGATGCGTGTCAGTTGCCTGGCATGCCGCCTTGAGAGGGTTTGTAGGTTGTTCGGAATGTATTGTTGCTGGACACGTTTCCAGGACTGACGTGAGGACCGGCAGGAACCAGTGGGCAGGGAGGTCAGCTTGTCATGTATTCCAATATAGGACGGAGCTTTACACAGGTGTGGTCATTATTTACTGCATCTTGACGAGGGTTGCGGTGAGATAACAACCAATATCCGAGCCGGCAAAATAGGATAGAATGTTTTTACTCGCGTCCTAATAATAAGCATTGAAAGGCGCACAGCAGCCGAATGTAGCACGAGGCGCCCCTCCATTCGTGGAGCCCCTTGCAGGGACCGGCTCGTTCTCAAATCTGAGGAATTCTGAGCTGATTATGCTGTGTATATGTTTGGTTTACAGGGAATTGTGGTACAATTGCCGCTTTTGAAGCCTTGTATGTGTCAGAGCCTTGAGGTCTGTACCGCGCTGACCATCTGGCTCTCAACAGTACAGGCGAGACATGCACTTTCATACCTACGCAGCGCGTTATCTTGCCTACCTGACGAGTCTAGTGGGACGAGCGTAGTGGGAACGATCTAGAGAAGTAGCAAGTTGGACGATCTAAAGTACGCCAAGCGATCCCTTCATATCTCATGCGCCCCAACTAAAGCATCAAAGCCACATATGCATCTGTCCGTGGTCAGGACAGTCAGGCGCGTCAGCACGTGTAAGCGAAAAGGGCAAATCCGTTGTCAACCAAAGATCGTGATGCCACATCCATCGTCCATGTCGCCACAGACGTAAATCCAGGCTGCTGGGGTTTTAGAGGCCGGCAGTATGCGTCCCCTCAGGTCCCACATGCTCAACAGTACACCAACCCAAAAGGCAACTTGCTACTCATTCTCTCATAATGTACCAGAGAGGACCCAGGGAGCGTCGGATGGGAGGTGGCAGACGGACATAACAGTGTTGTGCGCACAGCACGGCTCTAACCCCTTTTCATGCCAGCCTTGTCGCAGCTACCTCAGGCACAGCTAGCCCTGATAGGGCGTGCACCGCGCCGGATTATTGTTTTTTGCGCTGTTAACAAAGTAGTATGCAGAATCGCATCGATCTCCAACAAGTCCTGCAGCCGTCCCCCAACTGTCCAAACCAACACCCAACCAGGTCAGCAAGCGTAATCGCATTTCCACTGTCGCTAAGCTGGCGCGCAAATAAATCCCGGCAAAATTAATACAACAAGTGTGTCCACACCAGACGGTAACGCTTCCAACCAGCCCGTCCTCACTCGCAGTGCTTACCTCACCCCCGCCCAAGCACCTTCACCCTTCCACCAGTCCCGGAACCTCTCCACCTCCCCCACCCGTGCCACCGCCACCAGCAGTACCTGCCCGCGCTCCCCGCCGCGGCTCTGGCTTGGGGACATGCACCACACCCGGGAAGAGCGCCAGCGCATACTGGTGCGTCCCTACATGAACCACCATGTCCTTGGAGCTGCGGATAGCGCCGTGTACACTGCTGGTGCGGTCCGCGGTGTCAGGCCAGTGCGCAAACCGGTGGTCGCGAGCAAACTTGACAATGTCTACCACGCGCATACCCGACGCCCCCGCGTGGCATAACACCTTGAACACAATGCGCATGTTACGAGACTTGAGCTTAGAAAGCGCTTCCAGCACACGCTGTCGCTCGGCGCCCGCCTGCACGGCCGCCTGCGAGAGGGCAAGGTAGGGCGAGTCCGGCAGTGGAGCATTAGCCCAAGACCTAAGATCCGAAGAGCAAGCAGAATAACATGAGCGTGGTCCAATTAGGGCCATGCAGCAGCAGACACCGCAATAGGAACCACCACGGCAGGCCTGCCGCCCGCGTGCCCAGCTTCAAGCATGCAAAGAAGAGTCCAGGCGAAGAGCCGCAGGGGGGTTAGATTGGAAGGATGCGGCGAGAACGGTTAGTACAGTACGGATATGTTGTGGAAGGGAACGTTCGTACAGCGGTAATTACAACACAATCAAGGAATTTGGACCCGTGGGGAGGACTGACAGTAACCGTGACTTTGCGAGAGCATGCTTACCGTTGCGGATATCCCTTGTTCAACCTTGTCGCCTAAATAAGATATGCAAGGCAACGCAATCGTGTAGACCAATTGTGTAATGTGAACCCATGTGAAGCCGTAACTCTCCCGCCCTCGCTCGGCTACGCCCGGTTAAGGGCCACAGTTTAAGTAAAGTACGTAGCAGGGCACGCATATCCGTGAGAACTCCCTCCAAACGCGCAGCCCTCACCTCCACGCACTCCCGGCACTGCTGGCTGTCCTCCTCCGGCGTCAGCTCCTCGTCGCCACCTGCCCCGCTGCCAGCCGCTCCTTCAACCGCCACATTGGGCCCCACGTCCAGCCCAGGTCCGCCCGTCTGCAAAACACCGGTCGGCTGCTGCTGCTGCTGCTGCTGCTGCAGGGCCACCACCCCGGCCAGCGCGGACCCTGTCCCCGCCGACTCCAGCGCTGACTGCAAAAACAGCCCTGGCAGTGGGAACGGCACCGGCGCGCCAGCGACCGCTGCGAAGGCGCCGCCGCTGCCGCCAGTCTGCGTCCCCACCACAGCCGGCTGCACTGCCGCCGCTGCCCCTGCAGGCGACGAGCTCGCCGAGCCACCCCCACCTCCACCTGCAGCAGCAGCAGCTCTGCTAACAGTCGGCGGCCGCGGTACCGGCTTCATGTCAGGCCGCATGGCCTGCAGCACGTACTTGTTGCTGCCGACGTGAATCACGTGAGGGCCAAGGCTTGGCCGGTTGATGGCATGCCGCAGCTGGCGGTGCATGTCGGCCTGGGCCTTGTTGGGCGGCCAGTAGATGTACCGCAGCTCCACAGCGCGCTTGGCGAGCTCCGGTATGCTCAGACCCTCCGTGACGTGGCACAAGACCTAATAGGGTTGGGCCCCAGCGGACGTGTGGTGTTGCGGTTGCGAGGACGGAAGCAAGGGAAGAAGAACGCTGCGCACGCGCACGGTCATGGGCGCGAGGCAGCGTGTAAGGTGGAAGGTGCGGGCGGAGGCCCCGAGACTGTCAATCAACAACAACATGCTGAACTGGACTGACTTGGTGACCGCGAATCAGGTGAGAGGAAGCCCAACCCTTGCGAACCCCAGCGGAACCCAGCCCCGCAGCATTTTTTGCAGCTGCGCTCCTGCGTTAGTGGCCATCGTGAGGGGGTGGCAGCGCAGCCCCGCCAGCGCCTAGGTTGACAGAGCTGCACCCCGCAGCCCAACGGAAAGACCAACACACCTTCACTGCCAGCGTGCCCCACTCGCTAGAGGCGGCCGCGGCAAAGGCCTTCTCCAGCATCTCAAGGTCTCCGGAGCCACACGACTGGAAGCCAGCCTGCGCGGAGCGGGACCAGCGGGGCAGAGCGTGAGGTGACCTTCCGCACCGGGCGGCAAATGAGCAGTTGACCTGCTTAAGGTGCGGGAAGTGGGATGTAGACGTGCAGCTAGACGTGCTGCATCTGGACACCTCAAAGGCGGGAAAGAGTGCCGCGCTGCTGCATACGCAGCTGCCCACTGCGCCCGGGTGGCGCTGGGGATGGCATCGATTGGAAGGAGGAGGATGTCTATCTGCCGGAAGCCCCAGACTCGGCCCATTCCCCATCTCGTTGTATTACCCGACATTGAAGCCGCTGTTGCTTGTCATCTGCGGGGCACGGAAACTGCTGGTGCATGTCCGGCTGGAAGCTGGGGGCCCCAGGAACCGGGCGCACCGGCGCCGCCTCAGTCCCCGCCTCCGCCGCCGGAACTCCTGGAGCAGCTCTTGGTGCGACCACTGGCCCTGGAGCCGACGACTGCTTTGGCTGCACCGCAGCGGTGGTAGATGGTGCAGGTGGGCCTTGAGCTGCGGATGCAAGGCCCGCCACTGATGGTGCCGGTGCCGGCGGTGCAGGGCCCTGATGGCCATCGAGCTGGGCGGCAACCTCGGCCGCAATAACGGCAGCCTGCTGCCGCAACGTGTCGTCGGTGTTTGCAGCAGCAGTGGTCTTGCTGCCTTGGCGCTTGCGCTGGCCGGCGGGTTGTTGTTTCTGGGTTGAAAGGAGCGCGCGCTGCAGCATGTCTAAGCTAACACCAGCCTGCAGGAATGCGTGCGTCACAATATCGCCAAAGCATGTGCATCAGCTTTCGGTTGCCTCCAAAAGGGCCCTGGCTCCAACGGAAATGGAGAGCTATAGCAGGCTCCTATTTAGTCGGCGCGTTAGATTGAGTTCTCAAAAAGGTGGAAACCGGACCTCAATACTTCCTTAAACCTGCCGTTTATAGCAACACACATGCTTTATCGCATGTCAAGACAGCCACTGCCCCAATCGTCTTCTGTGCAGCAGCTCGTACAGAAAACGAGAGGAGCAGTGCTGCCTAGGCAATGACGGCCAGTTAGCATCGCTACGAATTTCTTCTCTCCCCCTTTTCCTTCTTCGTTCACCACCCGTCCGTTGCCGGGTGTGACCTGACCTGACCTGACTTGATCTGATCTGGCCTGGTGGCGAAGTGGAAGTAGAGGGAAACCCCTCCCCGCCTGGAGTGAGTGAGCCTGGTCAAGTTCAGATTCCGGATTTCTTCTCTTCCCTCACCTTCCCCTCCCCACGCCCCAGACAACCACACAACCACAACCACACACACGGACAACCCTAGATCCAGGGAGCCCCCTGGCCCGGCCCCCACCTGTCCTGCCAGCGACTGCAGCGTGGCCCCGTCATCCTCGCTGTTGCGCAGCTTCCTGTGCAGGTTGAGGTAGGAGCGCAGCTTGGCACCCAGCGGCTCCAGCAGCGTGGCGGTGGCGGCGCTGGCCGACTCCATGAGCTCGTCATCGCTGCTGTGCACCTCCCCAGAGGCGGCAGCGGCGGTCGATGTTACAGGCGCTGCTGCAGCGGGGGCAGCCGGACGCAAGGGCGGCGACAGGGGGGTTCAGACGTCGGGCGGAGGGGAGCTCACGGAAGGGCGCCTTCCCCGCCCGTTCCATTGTGTTCATCCGCCACTGCCAGTGCAAACCACCGTGCCCCACCTGCACATCCTTTTTCCCCTCATTGGGGCCCTCTGGGACTGCGCCGACTAGGACATTCGATCTGGCGAGCAGAGCCGTCCGCGGCAGCAGATCCTTTCTAAAATGACCAACAAACAACCCGATCCTCATTTTCCCCCCCCCCACATCCCAAACACACACGGGGTTCCATGGCGGTCTCATGGGTCAACGTCTTGTCTGCGGACACCCAAGCGCTACCCCGAGGACCCCAAAGCTCTTAACAAGCTGACTCTTTGGGTAACCCGGCTCTCGTCATCCTGAGTAACATATGCCCACATCGCTACCGAAAGGACAATAGACGAGGCCAAGATCATCCCAAGAAACATCCCTTTCTTTAGCTCCCCGCTTCCCTAACCCTCCCTCCCTCCCACCCTCCATCTCTCACCGGCGTCCGCCGCCGCCACCTCCTCCGCGAGCTTCTTCACCGCCGCCACCATTTTCGACAGGTCGCTGAGACTCTTGGCCGTCCGCCGTTCCAAGAACACCCGCAAAGGTTGCAACACGGCGTCAGAAACCGCCGGGACCTCTTCCGCACCGGACCCACCCAAGGACGCCGCCGCGGCAGGCGCCGCCTCCACTAGCGCCTCCGCCAGCAAACGCACTTTGGAGTCGCACATGTGTGCGGGTGCGTCCGGTGCTTCACCCGACGAAGCAGCTCTGTGCAGGAACAGCGCCACCTGAGTCAGTGGAGCGTCCAGGAGCTTCAACAGGGCGGCCCAATCGGCCGGTGGTGCAGGCTGCGGGGCGGGGAAGGGGGCGTGAGATTTCGGGAGAACAATGGGAAGGATGGAGGGGCCATGGAGCCCGCAAGCTGTCGAGGGACTATTCGGCGGGCAGGGCGTGAAAACATGAGTGACAGGACGACAAGGACGAGGCCGACGGGTGATGGAAGGAAGACAGCTAAAAGTTCCCTTTGTCTTCCCCTCCTTCCCTCTCCCCTTTCAGTCCCCCCGCAGGGGAGGGGCCGCAGCAGATGTGCAGTTGCAGAACACAGATACAAGAGCACAAGCTCTCCAAAAGCCAAGTCCCTTTTCCCTCACCCTTCCCGCTCACCGCTGCCGCAAGCTTTTTCCGGCACTCGTCTATGAGCGGGTCTAGGGATGTCGGGTTGGGCGCAGGGCGGCGGCCCGTAATCTTGGGGAGGACGATGGCTCCGGAACCAGCTCGCACAGCCGCAACGGGTGAGGCGGCTTCCGCTGCCGCCGACCCCTCCGCAGGCGGCTGCGATGACCCGGCTGCATAGGGAACGGTGGGCCGAGGACCCGGATCATCGGCAATCATCCGGATCATTCACCGAACTGGAGTAGCGGTAAAGCTAGCTGTCCCGGCTTGCTACAGGGGGCCGCCGCGGCTGGAGGCAACACCGCCCTAGACTAGAAAAGAAAGAAACCCTGAGTCAAGCGGCCAACAGCACAAACGCACCATCAAGGTGGCCATCCGTATTGATGGCAGCGGACGGACTATTGACTAACACTCATGTCGACCGAGTGGCAGCCAGCAGGAACCAGCAGAGGGACACAGGGTGCTCAGACATGGCGGTAAGCAAAGTGGAACAAAGGCGCCGGGCCGGCAAAACTATCTGCCCCGCGAGAAGAGCCGGAGAGCTGCCCAGCGGCGGTACCCACCTGCCGCCCAATCTGCTGCTGCTGCAGCCTCCGCTGCCGGCAATAGCGACGCCCCAGGTGCACCAGACGTTGCGGCCGTCGCGCCTGCGGATTTGCCCAAGGACGCAGCCAGCGCTGCCAAGGAGCCCTTTGGGGCGGCAGGAGCCGCTGCTGTAGCAGCAGCAGCAGTAGCAGCAGCAGCAGTAGCTGGTCGGGGTGACCTCGGCCCTGCTGCAACCACCTCCGGCTGCGGCTGTGGAGGCAACCAAGGAAAACCCGCCTTTTGGTAAAAATCCCCAACTTGGCCCCAACACGCAACCGGCAAAAGAAGCAAGATGGTTCACATCAGATACAAACTCCTCCGGACTCCGCTGCGGAGAGGAGAGGAGAGGAGGGTGCCGTGTGGGAGCAACGTTATGTAATGCATACGTTGCTTGCTGCAATGCTTTAGTAGATGGCTTTGAGGTTCTGTGTTTCGCAAAAAATCAGGATTACTGTTGTACTGCACGGGACTCTGTAGTACTGTGTAGTACAGCAAGTGTACTATTTTTTTCTCGACCTGACACAAACCATTGAGCTCTCCGCGCTGTTCACCCGCCGTGGAGACATAGGGGCAGCCGAAGAGGTCGTGAATCCAAGGCTATGGGGTTTTGGCTCTGGTTGGATCTGGCACAGTTTTAAGGAGCTCACACTCTTTTCTCGGCTCCCTCGGGGATCTGCCCCTAGTTCGCAGCTGCACACCCAGCCGGCCGGCCCTCGCTAAGCCACTCACCTGCTTTCGCTTCTTGCCGACAGCAGGCTGCGGCTGCTCGCCATCTGCCCTCCGCTTGCCGCTGCCGCCGCCGCGAACCGGTGTACTCGCACCGCCGCCGCCGCCACCGCCCTGGACCGCAACGTCCGCTGCTGCCGCTGCTGTCGCCGTCGCCCCAGCAGACGCGGCCGCTGCGCCGCCGGGCTGTGCCGCCTGTGAGGACTGCTGCGGCTTGCCCTTGGCAGGCTGGGTGCCAGCCTGTGGCCGCGGTCGCGGCGCCCGCTTTTGGCCCTGCTGCTGTTGCTGCTGCCGCTGCTGCTCCTCCTCGGCTTCAGGGTCTCGCTCCAGTTCCACAGGCCCCTGGCAACAACGACGGCGGAATGGGCGACCTGACCAGGACCTCACGGGGGCGGGGTACCTCGCTGCGTGCGCTTCCGGGTGAAGGCGAGGATGCCGAGGAACAGCCGCGACGGGAAGCTTTCCCCTACAGTGCGTCTCCCTCCCACCGAAACCCTCTTCCGGATCCCGGGGGCCCGCACCAACCCATGTGCGTACATCTGTATCTATATATATATATATATATATATACACATATATATACATATATATACATATATACATATATATATACATATATATACATATATATACATATATATACATATACATATATATACATATATATGTATGTATATATGTATATATATGTATATATGTATATATATATATGTATATATATGTATATATGTATATATATGTATATATATGTGTATATATATATGTGTGTGTGCATGCACGGATAAACTCTGGACATCCCTGGCCTTCCCCACGTCAAAGTCGACCGCAACCACACCACGCGGGTGGTGCCACCACCTGTGATTGGGAGGCCGTTGAGGGCAGTGGCTGTGCGCCCTACGGGAACACAAAGCCCGGCTCCCGTCGCCGCTGAGAAGAGCGTCTCAGCCTAAGTCCAGGAACCCGTCCCCGCGTACCCGGCAATCGGCCACTCCTCGTCACTCACCTGGTTGATGTAGAAGCCCCCATACTTGGCCTTGACCCAGCGGGATTTCTCGTACCGGATCTCCTCATCGTCGTCAATGAAGTCCACTTCATAGGCCTCAAACGCCCGCCGCCGCTGCTTCGGCTTCTTAGCGCCCGCGCCGGCGCCATCCGAGGCGCCCCCGCCACCACCGCCTGTGGTACCACCACCAGCCGATGCTGGGGCGGCAGCTCCGTCCGCAGCCGTTGTCGTACCCCCGCCGGCGCCTGCGCCGCCTGGTCCACCTCCTTTCGTTCCGGCTTCCGCCTGCTCTCCAGGTGCCGGTCCGGGGCCCTCCTCGTCCTCGGGGTCGTCGCTCTCACTGCTGGACTCCCCCGGGCCCTGAGAGGACCCCAGTGGTGGAGAAATGGGCCCAACAAGGGGAAGGTGAGAGGAAGTGATAGCATTGCGGTGGGTGGAAGGTGGCACACAGAGGCAGCACAGATCGCGCGGCATACATCAGCTTTCCAGCAGGAAGTCCTGGAGAGTGCTGGAAGCTGTAACAGGACACAACCAGGGCCAGATCGAGACTCGACGGTCCGTCCCGGTTAGCTAAGCAGGATATGGGGGTGGAGGGTGGGCCCGAGGAGGGCAGTGCTTACCGACTCATCTGACCCGGATTCTTCAGCCTCCTCTTCATCAGATTCTCCCTCCTCACCCTCGTCCTCGTCATCATCCTCTCCGTATGCGGACTGTAGGGAACGGGGCAGGGTCACTTTGTGTTGGAATAGTCAGGGTTGGTTGATTCGGCGCGCCGTCGAATGCTTTATGGCTTTGAAATAGCTGTGGGGGCGGCATTCTCCCCCGCACGCTCAGGTAGTGGAAGGGAGGTGTCAGGCAACAACCCACCTGCTTTGGCGGTGTAAGCAAGGGTATAATGGCCGCCGACGCCCACACGCCGGGTCCCCTGCACACCGATGTCCCTTCTTACCGCGTATATGCGTTCCAGCCGTTCCACCACGCTGCCGAGCATGGCCCGGCCCCCGGCCCCCGGGCTAACACCTGCCTACTGGAGCACACATAGCCGAGGGGAGGGGAACACTGTTCATTAATGTTGGAGGAGCAACAACAGAGACATGGGCCTCGCGTTGTGGCTGGGAGCAGCAAAGGAGGCGAAAAGGAGGCCCGGGTTGCCGGGATAAGGGCATCCGTCTTACCCGCGGTAGACCTGGCAGGTTCGGCAGGCCTTCTGGAGCACCACCAGGTTTAGTAGCAGCCGCTGCAGCTTTACGTGCTTTAAGTTGTTTGATATCGATGCCGTTTTGCTTAAGAAGCTGCGGTTGCACGGTTGGGCGGAAGCACGGGGTGGGCCGGGACAAGGTTGGCGTGGACCAGTTTCGCAGGATTTGACGCAGCGACAATGTATACCCCATAGACGCAGGCATACCTCTTTGTAATCCACTATGTAGTTGTCAGAGACGCTAGCCTTCAGACGCCGGCCGGGCAAGGTAGACGGGCCCTGATGATACTCCACCGGGGCTTGTTGCGGAGCGGACGCCTGGCCAGAAGATGCTGAATGAAGGGCAGAGACGCTAGCTTCCTGAGATGCCACCGGAATAGGTACAATACGTTTGCGCTTTGCGGGCTGTTGAGAGGACATTTTGGAAAGAGAGCGGGAAGAGCGGTCTGCAAAAACTGCTATCTATGTATTCATTTTATTCGTGTTTAAGTTAGTCATACGTGATCTTTGTCGCGTCTTGCTGCCGTGTGTGAAGCGTGGGTGGTACGGGGGATTGTCTCCAGTACAGGTTATTGGATGGGCGCAGCGCTGTTAACTGGCAACGCACAAAATTGTCTATAGTTGCCGACTCCTGAATATGCATAATGCATTGTTTGGTTCCTTCCCTTGCCAAGTGGTTTTTGAAAGACCGAAGAGAACTTCCGGAAACGCGACGAGTGGGCCATATGGAAGCTCACTCCTCAATTGTGTGCTTTGAATCTTGCTCTGGAAAATGATAGTTGCATAGGAGGCCCTTTTAACAGAACGCTGACACAGTTCGCGTTCGTTGCCGATGAGCTCTGCTGCATTTTTAACAGGTCAACCTGCATGGATGCTGGTGGGAAAATAACATTGTGATCAGCATAGGATTGCCCTGGGTGCAATGTGCTGTTGAGTCTGCGAGAACGAATTGGGCTGTGAACTGCCTCCAAGCGCAGACTAATAGCCTTGAGAATATTTTCAAATGTCCATAATCTGTTCAAGGATGATTCGCACCATTATGTTGATTATGTGCATGGGGAGATATCAGCGACCACCACAGTTTTAACTGCACATGAACGCCGTCCACTGCATGCAGAATATATTTTCTTTTACTCCTTTTTTCTTCTACCTCATTAGAATATATCGTGGCGCGGAAATGGGCTTTAGCACCTAACGTAGCAAAGACACGGTCGGTTGGGCTCTGCGCCGTACAGCTCGAGAAGCTCGTAACGAAAAATCGAATGGCAATAATGTATTTTCCTTTTAGGACATTTTTTTACGGGCATTAGCAAGATATTTTCAGTAAGGATTTCTTATGTGCTGCTGAATTGCTCGCTGGATTAGCCGAAGAGCACATGCAGAACAAAGGGATACCAAACTCCTTCTACTGGAAACTCGCTGGCATATGCTTCGTGGTATGACTCGCTACTGACTTGTTGGCTTTGGAAACTGGATGAGGCTTTTCTTGCTGCGCTTTGCAGCTCGGCGGATGTATGGAGGGCTTCATGTATGCAACTGGCTTCTATGACATGTAAGTGGCCGTATTAGATGACACGGCGGGGTACATCCTGCACACCCTTCTTGCGCCGGTCCAAGCCCACGGGGACTCCATGCCTGCCATCGTCTCCATGGGTATGTTGATGCAGCGTGACAAAGAAGGAAGCCGAGAGATTTGCGTTGACCTACGAGGAGCGTGTGGAGCTACTGCGAAAGCTACGTGAGACAGGGCTCATCGAAGACGCCACGCAGCAGAACGCGGTCACGAACGGCGGCAGGGGCCGCGGCCCGCAGTAGTACACCCGTCAGGCGCCCAGGTCCGCTCTCAGCCCCACCAAGTACACAGGTGCATCCAACGACAGCCCTCAACACAAACAACTCTTACCCCCGCCTATTCACCCGCACAAAGCGTCCACCGTCCGGAGAGAGACGGCGTATCGAAGTTTCCAGCACCTGCATTTGACCAGCACCTGAATTTCTGCTCGGTGCTCCTTACGACACCTTTTAACACGACAGCCGTACAGTGCTGTACGGTCTGAGATAAGGCCATGGAGATGCTACGCAACATTGCTGGGGCCTCCGCCGCCGCCTCCAACCCGCTCCTGAAGTCGATCCTGGGACCCAACGCGAGCGAGGGCGAGTACAGAGTTTTGGCGCAGCAGGCTGAGAGCGTGTGGAAGATGATGGACGAGCTGGCAGAGAACGACCCAAACGCGTACCAGGAGTTTGTGCGGGATGCGGCCAAGGCCGCGCAGGAGGAAGTCGAAAAGTCACGTGACCCCCACGTAGAAGGCCTGGCGCCGGCGCTGGTGCTGGAAGCCCAGGCGCAGGAGCCGACCATACGGAAAGGGACAGGGGACAGGGCAGCGGATGTGACGCGCGTGGTGGCGGGCGGTCAGGCTGTCGCCCGCGTGCACATTTGGGCGGCCAATGACGGTGAGAATTACGTTGTGGCAGTTAATAATGTGTCGATATGGCAACTGGGCGGTGCGGCTGTGCCTCCAGCAGGGCTACCCTCATCGTGCAGTGTAGCTTGTTTAGCTACCGCCCTTGCACGGCTTGGCCAACGTGTTCGCGCCTGCGGCCTGCGGCGCCTGCAGCAACCATGATACCATATAGTCGCCTGGCTCCCAACAACCGACTCCCCGACCCCCTTTTGCCCTCCTCAGCATCCGGTGTGAAACCTCCGCATACTGCGGCTGGTGCAGTCATTGGTCCCCATCAGGGGACCACGTCGCAGGACTGGTCGGGTCTGGTAGTGCCGGTGTGTGAGTACCGCGCAGCCACCACGCGGCCCGGGCCCTTGCCGGTGCACCACTTCCATATCGCCTGCCACGCCAATGCCGTCCGCATGTGCGCCTCGGGCCAGCCCCCTGTGTTTCGCGCCGTGTTGTTGGAGGCAGTCTGCCAGTTCGTGGAGGCGGAGTACAAGCTGCAACTCCACCGCACGCTGCGGACTCTCCAGGTTGGGTGAAGTAAATGTTGGTCGAGATTTATGGTGGGGTTTGGGTATTAAGGACAATCTGGGACAATGTTTGAACTCCAATGGGTTACATGGGGTTGCAGCTTCAATCCAAGCCCCTTGGTTTGGTCGGTCCAATGTGCACCAGAATGGCCCCCCTGCAGGTCCATCGAGATGCTGTCAGCGAGGCGGAGCTGCAGGAAGTACTGAAGCAGCAGAAGGAGCGTGTGCAGGCATGCGCAGGCCTAGGGTCGCCTGCAGGGGAGCAGGTAGTGGGGAGTGAGGCAGCCCTGCCCAGGGGCCTGCTGGACGAGCTGCGATCCCTGGGCACATCAGCTGCGGAGCCGAAACCCGCTCAGTGCTCGGGTGGGAAGGAGGCGACAGCTGGGGTGCAAAAGGCGAGAAAGGCCTTGATTGAGGAGATCAATTGAGTTGTGTATTGGAGCGCGACACGGAGCTTGATGCGAGAACTGGTGCTGGATCGACACTGCGGGGTTACCTGATGACAAGGGGAGACCGCGTTGAAGCGGGAAAGCGAAACATTGCGATGGCTAACCGTGCTGTAGTTCGGCTAGGTGGTTCATGCAGTTTGTGTCTCTGCCTGGACGCTCCTTACCACGGCTTGCTACAAATTTCCAAACGCCTGAATCTTATCTGCGAATCAAACCTGCGATTCTGGTTGAGAGATACTGGAACTCTTTCGTAGGGCGTTACGGAGCGTTGGGTACGTAAGCTCCAGCAGCAGATATTGTATGGCCATGTAGTGAAGGGCTTAGGTGCATGGCATTAGGACGTTCACGTTCAGAAGCAACCTTTTGCTGCGCACAACTGAATGATCGCAACGCCTGGAGGAGGGGCTTTATGTGCGCTCCCAAACCCTCCCCGACTCCCCTTCCTAATTTCAGCACCTTGTAATACTGCCAGCTAGAACCGTGTTTCAATTGCAAGTGCATCGCACTCTTCCGGGTCCGCCTACAGGTATTGGTGTGTCTGCTGGTGCAGTGGTTGCTATAGATAGGTGCGAACACCGATGATGGCCATAGTGTGGCTAGCCGGGGGACCGGTCTATCGCCCAGAGCTGAATGCTTTCAAACCGGTTGTGCAACCAAGGACTTCTCGGGGTAGGGCATATGTCGAGTCAGTATCTGAGCCGTCGAATAATCTGGTCATGAACTGCTGCCAGGTACCACTGCTTACAAAAGGCAAGTGCGGGAGTTGCATCTGCATGTGCACTTTCCCCCGGGCCACCACGCTTGCTGTCAGTCAGTAAGCTGAGCGGCGTTTGCGTTCTCAATGACACGCCACGGTTACAAGCGGCGATGTTCTCACGGCAGGGACAAAATACCTGGGGGGACGTCACCGGTCCCACAACAACACCGCCACGCTTCCTGCCAATGCCTCGACGGCCTACCTACCTTATAGCACTTGCTGCTGCCAAGGCAGAACCAATCGGTCATTGGCCACCATGTCTACCTTGTCACACCCTTCAATCAGCAGTCCTACTTTAAATCAGTATCCCACCAAGTCCTCGGGGAACCTTGCAGCACGGCAGCGCGCTGTGCAACACAGGCTCGGGTTCCTGGAGGAAAAGCCCAAGCCCCGTGCCCCAGATGCACGCGCAACCTTGTAAGCACAAGTGCGCTGCACATCATACTCTATTAGGTTCGAGCCCACCCTTCGCAATAAGCCGGACTCGATTGGATCCTCCTGAGAGCCCACCGCCCCTCCTCCCCCCGAAAGGGTATTAGGGGGTCCCTCGTCAAAATCGGTGCACAATAGCACGCGGGGAGGATCCGCCTGCCCAAGCTGCGCCCCGCACCGCCGATTTGTATGCCATTCCAGATGGCCTGCCCTGCAAGGACTAACCCAGCCATGCTAGCATTCCTCCGACGTCGCGAAGACGCGACTGCGTGGCCTAGCTAAGACAACCGAGTGCCGGCCTGCGCGCTTACTCCTGCTTGCCCTTAGTGTTCTGGAGGGCCGAGACGCTCAGCCGCAACGAGGGCCCCATGGTGGTGCACACGTACATGCTCTTCCAGTACACACCCTTGGCGCCTGACGGCTTGTTGGCGTCAATGGACTCCTGTAAGGGTGCGTGCCAATCCGTTAGACACAAGGGGCAATCAAGGGGCGAAAAACATATGTATGCAAGCATTTCGTGCACTGCTCGATTTGGCTTAGGGCCTATTACAGCCCAAGTCCACCTCGTCTACTCAAAAACGTTAGACCACCACCCCTGCGGATCAGTCGCAGCTGATATTCGTCGCACCTGCACAGCCTTGAGGTTGAAGATGAGGTCGTCCTCCTTGAAGTCCGCGCGCCCGAACAGGACGTGCAGGTTCCCCGTCTTGTCCAAACGGTACTCCACCTTGCCGCCCTTGAAGTCCTTGACAGTCTGGGTTCACCAAGGAGACACCAAGAAAAGATTACACTTCACGTCTTATTTACTACACCACGCAGCGGTACATGCATACACGCGCCAAGCCCGTATCCTTCACTTTTGTCTCGAGGGAGAAGTCATGATAACGAAGTCCACCGAGTCCGTAGACAGGATCCGGGAGTATGTCGCCATTCACAGTAAGCCCAAACTAAGCTTTTTAACCCCTCGCCATAAAAAATTTTCCCTAGCTTCCGGAGCCTAGAAGTTTCACGTTCGCAAGATTACCCCGACACCGAGCACGGCGCCGGGGTGAGAAATGTCAGCCAGTTCCAATTGCCTAGCCTTGACCCCGCGCCTGTTTGCCTCGACTTACCCCGGCGACGTCCGTCGTGACCGTCCCGGCCTTGGGGTTCGGCATAAGGCCACGTGGGCCCAGCACACGACCAAGCTTGGCTACCTTAGGCATCATGTCCGGCGTAGCGATCAGCTTATCAAACTCCATAAAGCCGCCGCTAATCTTCTCAATAAGGTCGTCAGCGCCCACAACATCGGCGCCAGCCTCCTTGGCAAGGCGCAAGTTATCATTTTGGGTCAGAACAGCCACACGAAGCTCCTTGCCGGTTCCACATGGCAGCGAGACAGTGGCGCGCAGCTGCTGGTCTGAGAATTTCGGGTCCAGGCCCATACGGGCGTGGAATTCCACGCTCTCTGTGAATTTCGTAGAAGCAGTCTGCTTCAAGAGCTTAATCGCTTCCTTGGGGTCCAGTTCAGAAGTGCGGCCAGGAGTCTTCTTCTGCATATCCTTAAAGCGCCTTGAGCGAGGCTTCTCGCGGCGCTGGTTCTGCTGCTTGTTGGACGCTGCGACTTCCACTTCCTCATACTCCTCAACGGCTGCTGCGTGCACCACGATGTCCTGCAGGCGCTGCAGCCGGCTGGGGACAACCGGCCTGAATGGGGCCGGGCACCGGCGGACGCCGGCGGTCGGCTGAAGCAGCCTTTGCTGCAGAGCGTACGTGGCCATCTTTCTGCTGTTGGAAAAATGTGCAAAAGAACGATACTTTGTAGCAACGAGGATTCCTTTACCCAGCTCAAAACTTGTGGCAGTCCTGCGCCGTACAACGATGCTTGTTGCCCAGTACTTTTCGCTTGTTGAGACCTCGATAAGCTTATGTAGCATTACAACCGTCCTTACATTAAATTGCTCCTAAAAGACAAACTCATCAGCCATGGGACCTGTGAGCCGTCAGCCCAAGGAACACAGTGAAATTCTCTCGCCCAACGCATATATATCATCATACACATTTCTTAAACTCAAAAGAGCCTGAGGCTTCCACGTTGGCCATCGTGTCCCACCTATCTGCAGACATGGGCCCCAATAGTCCAACCTTCCGTTCCCAAAGCTGCCCAACAGACCAAACACTTATAATAGCCCATCGGTCCATAACTCGAAGCTTCTAACCCTTCACCAAGCAGCCTTGCCCTCCAACTTCAGCTTTGACATGAGGGTTGCCATTTCCACGGCGGTGAGAGCAGCCTCGCCGCCCTTGTTGCCCACCTTGCCACCAGTTCGGTCCAGAGCCTGCAATGACAAGCCGAATCTCCCTTTAGCATCAAGGTTCCAAATGCATCCCCAAAGAGGCCATAAACGTCTCCCATCCTTACCTGCTCAAGGTCATCAGTCGTAAGGACGCCAAAGATGACCGGCACTCCTACACGGGCAACAGGCCACAAGGATTAACATTCTTCGTATAAGTACAGAAGTTTCATCAACAATGGGCTCCAGCACATATCCTGCCCTTAGTCTCTCAGGGCCTCCCGTTACTCGCTCACATCGCGCAGCTTGCCTGCCATGCAAGCGGTGTCCTGTATTGTGTATCACGTGACCTTAATTCCTGGTTACATGGCATTCCCAAGAATTCCTGGGGATTTCCTAAAAAGGCGGGGAAGGTTGCGCCGTGGCACCCATTGCTGCGCCTGGTGGGAGGGCCGAACCCTGAAGTGACGTGCCGCATGTGCAGGACTGTGTCCTTAGGTCTCTCTGCACCCGTGTGGTAGAGTGCAGGCAGGAACGTAGCCGTTCTCCAGGGTGCCGTTTCCCGTGGCTCCTGGTAATGTATGCTATGCGTGTCTCTTGGTAATGCACTTTTTGGCATTCAAAACTTCTTACTACACTGCACCACGGCTTGCTGCATCCTTGTCCTCATGCGCATGTCCTCCTGCCGCCTGTACTTGATAAGCTTATACTAACAGCGTTGGGGCACGGCAGCGTAACACACATGGACGCCATGTTCCTTGCTTGGCCATGGGGTTGGACAGGCCATCATATGTTCACATAAACTGAATTTCTTTCATAGGGTTTGGGGATAGCCATCAATATGTTGTAGTGGCTGTAACTCGTTCTCTTACTTCCTTCACACGCGATACTCTTCCTATAGCATGCAAATATTTGGCTGGCACGTAAGGTGCGTGACATGCTGTGCGTCATGCTAACAGGACACTACCAGGCGTACCTGTGTCAGTGCTCGCGCCTAAAACACCGCTTGTCGCTGCGCTAACGACAGCGTCGTAATGCGTCGTCGCACCACGGATCTGAAGGGGTCACGAAAGGGGGATTAAGGGGTAGGTGATAACCATTTCCAAAAATGGCTGAAATGGTCGTTTGAATCTTGTTAGCGCACGATGGCGACAGGTCACGTCATTTGCTGTTTGCGTGTTGCGTAAACTTACGATAGCTCCTATGCACACAACGCCAGCGTACTTGCCCGACTTGGCCATGCTCTTGGCTACGACAGGCAGCTCAAAGCTGCCGGGCACCCAGACAACCTGCATGGGCCTTGCTGCTGTCAATGACGAAACCAGGATAGCGGCTGTAGCCCAATCGGCGTTACGCTTACGTCAATGTTATCCTTGTCCACACCGTGGCTCTCAAATACCTCCAGCGCGCCCTCCAGAAGCCCTTTGGTAATAAGGCTGTTGAATTTCGCTACGACGACAGCGAACTTTGAGAGGGGCTCTGCCATAACTGAACCATGATACGTGGCACGAGTGACGCATGTATGGCGTCTTGGCATAAACTGAACGTCTGCAGGTTACCAGGCATGCGCAATGAGACGGCGGCCGAGGAGTAAGCTTTCTTCCAATATTAAGCCTTACCCAGAGCTTTCAAATTTTGGACGCGACATTCATTGTTTGAAAAAGAATGGATAAGTGGCCGTGTAAACACTAGCCTGCTGGCAAAGAGCTGCTGCCGCCTAGCGCCGCTGGCGGTGCGCACAGGCGCTTGGGATTGGATGGAAGCCATTTTCGCTGCACGTTCAAAAATTCTTCACCGTAGGCATACTTGCAGCCCTGTATTGCGTTTGCGTACAATGTAACCGTCCAACCGTAACACCGTACCCCTTGACAAGTCGAGCCTCGAGCGATGGAACGATATGCATCAATGCACGACACAGGAAACATGCTCAGCCATCGAGAACATGCAAGCACAACTTAACCTCCTGATCACTCCTTTACCAAAGCTGGTCAACACAAGCCTTTAAGGAAAGCCTGCAAGGCACCCCTTGACCGCCGTGTTCCGTGCAGGATGTCCAACGACCCAACCAAAGAGCCGCTTGACATGCAGCAGCCCTCAACAGCCAACACGCACACTAACAACGTCGCATTGCCAAATCCGCCCGCTCCGGCCCCCACGGGCTACGTCTGATGTGCTCTTCACCGCTTCTGCTTCTTGTTCGCGTTACCGGCCGGGGGCTCTCGCAGAGTCACCTTCCGTACTGTGCGTTCATCCCAGCTACTCTTGCTCAGCTTACATGGCCGGTTGCCGATATACTTGCCGTTCATCTCCCTAAGCGCCTTGGCGAAATCGTTGCCATCCAAAAAGCTGACGAAGCCGTAGCCCTTGCTTTTCTTGGTACGCGGGTCTCGGACCACCTGCATAGCAACGTTCGCACCTGAAAACTCAAATGCCGCCTCCATATAGCGCCATGCATCAATCCTCATGCAGACTTCCACACCAGCCGTATTTGACACGTGCTGGCTAAGGAGCTTCCCACGTGCAGAAGTCACCTGTTCAACGCCAACAGATTACTAACGTCCAATGACACACTCGGCTGTTGAACACATGGGTATCGCGGCGCTGAGCGTGCTGGTGGCCGCAGCCGCAAGTAGTCGTCACCACCGGTTGGCGGGTGAAGAATGTTGTTTCTGGCACCATTTCTAAAGGCATCCCTAGGAGGCTTCTTGCCCTCTCCTTATCAGCTTACCGTCTACAACGACACGAACTCCGCGCGGACGGGCGAACGGGACTTACCTTGGCCTTGGCAAACGAGGAGTATTTGGAGAACGATTTGGCCAGCAAGTCATCCGTCACCTCATTGCCTATATCGCCCACAAAAATGCGGAAGTCGTTGTCCGGCCATTCGTTGAGTGTGGGGTCCACCCACTTTTGGCCACCAGCCTCGCGCAGCAGGACCTTCTTCTTACCGCCCTGCTGCTGCTTGGACCCGCCGGGCTTGGCGGCCCCTCCTGCTGCGGCGCTGCCTCCGCCGCCAGCCGGCTGCTGCTGCTGTTGCTGCTGCATGCCCATTCCCGTCCCACCCATGCCCATCCCCATGGGCATGCCACCCATCCCCATTCCCATAGCGGCTTGCATCATGCCTGCACACGTGAAACGTACAGCGTGAACCAGAGAGAGGTCAGGAAACAACATTGGGAACATCCATCCACTTCGTATGCAACAAGCAATGAGCCACAGTACTTCCGAGCGACAGCGCTGCCGACAATTGATCAAGGGTGACTAAGCCTGGGTCCCCAAGCTGCCAGGCTTACAACAAGGGAACGGCCGGAAACGGCGTCCCACATAGTGGTTTACAAAGGCTAACCCGCATCACAGCAGAACAATGCATCACGTGAAGAAAGTGGGATACCGCCACTGTGTAAAACCCTCCATTAGGGACAAGGCTGTCGGCAGCTGCTATCTGGCTGTCAGGACCGCCAATGCAGGCTGGTTAGGGGACACATACATCCCACACAACTTTACCGTGCCATTCCCGAATGGCCGCGGCACTTCGTCCGAGGACACCACCTTATTACACTACGTACAACGCGGCCCGACTCCGTCGCTCCCTTGCCTTTGAGCAGCCCCCGCAAGGCCCCCCCATTGCTTTCAGGACATTGCCTGGCACTCATCTCCCTGCCCTGGACCCGCCGATAGCAGTGTGCGTGTAAGCAACACCGCTTCCCTAGTCACCTTCCCAGGCAGTTTCTCCCCCACGTCCGGTCAATGCGGGCCCTGTCCAAGGAAACCTCGCTCCCCCCTACTCGCCCACCTGGCTGCCCGTACATGCCCTGCTGCTGGAAGCCCTGATTGGCCATGAGCCCCGGAACAGGTGGGGCCAACGAAGCCGCCGGTGGCGCGGAGAACTGCCACGGAGTGACAAGGCAGGGAGGTGGTCATGGATTAGGTAACAAATCGACGTGGACAGGAAACAGCATTCATGCTATGCGACAGCCGTACCCTTCTTAAAAACTGCGCCATGGGCTGTAATGGACAACAATCCGTGGAAACTGATCTGCCTTCATTTAAGTAGTAGCTGCCGTTCACACCAACGTCCTCGACAGCATTCTACGGGACCCGAAACACAACACACATAATATGCACACACAACTGAGCCCAGGCCCACCTGGGGCCCTTGCGGGGCCGCCATGGCTGTTACAGGTGGCTTAGAGACCACGGGAGGGGCCTGCGCTACCGCAATCGGTGGGGGTCGCGTCGGGGGCGGAGCAACGGGTAATGCCGACCCTGCAGCTGGGCCCCCTTGCTGCGGCTCCTCCGTCACCACATGTTGCTCCACGGCCGCTAGCTCCGCCTGCAGTTACAAACTTCGGCATTGAAGTTGGAAGACTTGGGTGGCTGAAACCCCAAGGAAGCATACAGTACCTGGAATCGAAGCCACTCCTCGTCTGCCATCCTGCCGAACTAGTATTACGACGACCACCGGCGTAACGATTTGGGCTGCTGAGTTTTATGAGGACGTCTCTTGGGTTTACGCTGCGCACAGGCTTGACCTACTAAGCAGCTGCAAAAGCTGAACAAGCTTTTGGGGAAGCCATGCTATAATCGGCGTTGCTCGTCACACGAAATCTATTACAATAACATGCAGGAAAGCATCAGGGTACTGGAGTAGTTCAGGATACGTGCACAATTCTGGCAGGAAAATTCGCGAAGAGGGTACTAGCTCAGTCAGTATTCAAAAACACTACCTAGCATTAAATTAAGTTGCCGTCATCCATATATTTTTGGCCGGCTATTTTACTTATCTGGTTTTTAGGAACTGCTGTACTTGCCTGTACACTCCTGCAGTGCGTGAAATGCGTAAGGCGGGAACTGAGCCTAGGGTTAGTCTTTCTTATGTCAGTATGATATTGACTAGCTGTGTACGAAGCTGATTTTTCCCAACCGCTCATGATTTCTTGATAGCGGCGGGCCCTCGTGGCCCGAGGCTGGCACGGGAAAATGTTACAGCTGTCTGAGCATCATAAGCGGCTTACAGACCCCACGACGTGTGAGTTCTGAGAGGCGTTGGCTAGGACAGACGGCAAGTGCATCTTGACCATTCCCTTTTTTTGTGCGCAGCTGTGGAAGAGAAGGTCAAGGTTGCTGCAGAACTAAAGGAAGGCATTGAAGTTGTTCTTACGGCGGAATACTCAACCTTTCTGTCAACGTTCTTCAAACCGTTCTGCGACATCCTGCGCACTATCCCGCCGCAGTTTGCTGACACGCCAGAGCATAAGCTTCGCAACACCATCCTTGATATCCTGAGCCGACTGCCCATAAATGAGGCATTCAAGGGGTGCATGCTTGAGCTTTACAACGTGTGCCTTGACGTTACACAGAACGACAACCAGGACAATGCCCTCCCGGCCATTAAGCTGCTTCTTGACTTGCAGAAGACTTATAGAGGTTATTTGGAAGGCCAGGGGTCCCTTCTGGCGCAGTTCCTCATCAAGGTGATGCGGAGGGGGCTTAGGGGGTATGGAACCCGAAAACACCTCGTCCGGTGTGTTTTCATTCTACATGCTGAGCTCCCCTGAATCCTGACCAGCAATCACCTATTGAACACACCTGCAAGACTCCTGGCCACGACAATCTAGTGCCTATGCTTGCTGGTGAGATCACTGTGTTCCAGCACGCCTGCGTGGGATTGTCCTCCTGCGTTCATCCCACAGTGTTTTTCTGAATTTCCCGCGACGGTGGCGGAAGTGCTGGACGTGGGGTCGCCTGGTGGCGAGGCACCGTACGCGAAGGTGCCCTCGCAAAACACTCCCAGCAGCAAGTCTTTTAAGGTCATGGCGGAGCAGCCATTTGTCGGTGGGTCGGCAGCAGATGCATTTCCGGCCTGACGGCTCGTTTGGCAGGTTCTGCAATGCGTGGTTGCCCGGGTAGCATGCACTGTCCTTGCCGGGATTTTAAGCCCGCAATAAACATGAAGGGCATGGGCATAACCTGGTCAAGACCGAATCCTGTGTCGTCCGTGCTCCTAGAACATTCAAACTCGTTTTCTTGTCTCACTCTCCGGCCCCCTCATGGTCCGTACAAGTGGTGGCTTCCTAAAGCCGTGAATGATGCTCACACTCGTTGTCCAACTGCTCGATTCACCCTATCCTCCGCAGTCATGTTCCTCATGAACGCCTACGAGCGGTTGCGCCCCATGGTACTGCCGCAGCTAGTGCCGCTCATCATCCGCGCCGCTTGCCTGCCGGGACCCAGCCTCACAGACCCGCACGTGCGCGGCGCCCTATCCCAGCACTATGCAGACTTCCGCCTGGTCCAGGTCCGCTGCCTGCAGTACATGCTCTGGCTGCTGCGCAACGCTGGTGCGGCGGCCGGCGGTGCTGATGGCCGTCCCGGCGCTGCTGCCGCCGCAGCCTCCTCCCTGGCCTACCCCATCGAGCCCCACGTGCCGGCCATAGCTGACGCACTGGTTCACCTGCTGCGCCAGTGCCCTGACGTTGTGACCACACGTAAGGAGCTCATGATTGTGACGCGGCACATGCTGCAGACAGCAGTCCGGTCACATCTGCCGGGCCACATGGACGAGCTGATGGACGAGCGGGCGCTGTGCGGCACCGGCCGCGCCTGCACGGAGACGCTTCGCCACGGCGCATGCGGGCTGCTGGCAGAAATCGTGCACAATTGCCGCCGTCAGCTGCGGCCGCACCAGCTCGCTCGCGCCACGTACCTGTTCGCGTCTATTACTTGCGACGCGTCTCTGCCCACGTCCACACGTGCCACGTGTCTTCGGGCCATGTGCGTGCTGGTGGACCCCATCTTGCAGCAGGCCAGGGCGCCGGCAACGGGGCACGACCCGGGGCTTCGGGCGCTAGGCCGGCGGCTGCTAGGGCGCATCCTGGAAAGCCTGGTAGCGGCCATGAAGTATCTTCGGGCGCAGGTAGGAAGGGACAGGGTTGGAGGATCAACGTGGGGCCAAAGGGGGAGTTGTCCCGAGTGGCGAGCAGCATCGAGAATGGGATGCGGGTGGGTGGTGGGACAGATAAAACTTGGAGCTCGTTTTAAGGAAACAGGAAACGAATAGGGACGGGAACGTGAAACGGAATGAGCCATCGGGAAAGGTTAAGTGCACTCCAGGAGGATGGGGATTCGGACGGCGTAGGATTTAACGAGAAAGATCCGCAGTTGTCGGGCCAGGCAGAGGGCTTTGCGGCTCGGCAGGGGGACGCTGGGTGGCATGTGAAGCCGGAGGGGGCCTGAACGTGCCTTCAGGAAGATATGGTGGCAGCAGCACAAGGAAAACGTAGCGGTCCCGCTGTAGATCAGAGCCATAAGCGGCTGGACTCATGTCCCTTTCGAGCTTTTAAGGCTGGCCTAGCCTCTCCCTGGGCTTTTGGAGACGCACTAGACACACCACGACGTAAACACCGCCGATACCGACGTCCACAAACGACGTAGCTCTTGGAATACAGAAACCTCACAGAGATGCACATGAAAAGACATGCAACCCCCGGGAGCCTCGCCCTGTTTTTGTAATTCACCGTCTGGTGATATCGCATGACTTTGGACACGACCTTTCCTTACCCCCAACCGCGGACTCCAGGGCGGCTGCATCATGTCGGATGCCCGCGCCGAACGTGAGCTTCTGGATCGGCAGCGTGCTGCCATGTGCAGTCCCAGCGGCGCCGCCGCGGCCCTGGGCCCCGACGACATGCTGAGCTCTATCACCATCCCTGGAGAAAAGGAGCGCGAGGTGGTGGAGAGCCGCGCCATGCTGCAGGGCCTGCTGCCGCACATGAAGAACCTGGCGTATGCGGTGGCGCGCTACCACCTCAACGTGCCGCAGCAGTCGCCGGCAGTGGCGGCGGCGGTCCCGGCGGGTCCGGAGGTGCTGAGCGAGGAGGAGGCACGGCTAATGGCGCGGCTGTGGTCCAATGGACTGCGCTGTCTGAAGCTGGCGTCATACCAGGGCGGCTCGGCACCTCTGACGGGCAGCCGGGAATCGTATGAGACGTTTGCGGACGTGTTTCTGCAGCTGGAGGTGTGTGGTTGGGTGAGGGTTATTGCCGACAGAGCTGGGTTGTATACAGTGGGGTGTAAAGGGGAAGGGAATTGGACCGGGGAATGAGGGAGGTTCCGAATAGGGCAAAGGCTGTTGTAAAGGACTGGAACAACCGTCTGGAGGCGTACAGAAGACTCACGGGTCATGAACGGGTGCACTGGTGGAATACACAATATACAAGCACATTCCTATTGTATTATTTCCCATGTCCTGCCCCAGATCATGAAACACACACAAAAAAACGCGCGCACGCGGGTATCTTGGAGGGATGGTGGTGAGGGATAGCTGTGCTTGGGAGTTGATGGAGGAGAGGGAAACGGATTGGATGTAGTAGGAATGCAGCGGGGTTCAGTGAGGGTGTGTCAAGGACTTGGCTGCCTCATTATTATGACCTCTTTGGCACCTTGATAGGCGAGGGCCGGGTGTGGCTGTTAAGCAGCTAGCTCTCAGCAGCGGCCGGGGACCTTCATGAAGGGGTTCGGGGTTAAGCCGCCGTTAATAAGCGGGCAATACTGCTGTGCCCTGATCTCGGCGCTCTGCAGACGTAGGCAGGCCACGGAAGGCGGCGCCTTGGGCCCAGTGAGAATGCGAAAGCTCACCCACCCCGTGTAGGAAAACCTTCCGTTTGCCCCTCGTTCGGGTTGAAGGCCCATCCCCTTGACCTTCCCAAACCCTTTCGAGCAACCGAACCCCTCGAGCACCGCCGGTACTTTAGCTTCCCCGCCGCCGTTGATCCTGGCTAATGAACCGACGTCCTGCGACCCTCCTCTTGCGACCGCACCCCCACATGCATCCCCAACTGGCGGCCGCGGCTGGATGGCCCCTCAGCCTCGTGACTTTGTGGAGGTCGTCTCTGCACGATTGCCGGATCTGTTTACGGCGCTGCTGGAGGACAAGGACGTCATGCATGTGGTGATGCACCTACTGTCGGCGAACGGAGGCAGCTTGTTGCCGCAGACACCCATGCAGCAGATGCAGCCGCTGGGCAAGATGCTGCTGGCGGTGCTGCTGGAGTTCATGGTGTGTGTGTGTGTGTGCACGTGTATGTCTGGAGTTTTGCGGGATTGGGAGGACGCGGCCAAATGCCAGCGGGAGACGCAGTGGCGGGGACGAGGGGAACGAAGCGTAATGGAAGGCTGGAAGGAGGTAGTGGCTGCCCTGCGCTCTTCTTTCAAGTTCCTCGGTCATGATTATCTCGATGCCATTCCACCTTTGCTTTGATACATGCGCCTTTCCTAATTGTGTCTCCCCCTAGCCAAGCTCTTTGCACTCTTACGCACTATTTCCACTTCGTTCACGACATTTCTTCCACATTGTCCTTCATAAGGTTCCCCCCTCCACCGCCGTCCCCGCCATGAATGATTGACCCGGGGTCCCGCACCACAACGACAATTGCTCCTGCAGGTTACCCATCAGATGCCGCTGCTGACTTGCCCATCCAGCGACGAGGGCGCCCTCACACTCAAACTCTTCAAGGTGCTCTTCCACTTCCTGCCCAACTACTGCGACATGGAGCCAGTGCTGCTGCCGCACCTGGTCAGGATGACCGAACGCGCACTGGCAGCTGCGGTTTCGGAGCGGGAGGCGCTTGGGTACCTGCAGCTTCTGCGCAGCTTCTTCAAGACGGTTGCGTCCTCGGCCCCCAAATGGAAGTTGCTGTACGGCTCGCTGGGGGCATTCGTAGAGCCCTGTCTCAGCTTGGTCCTGAACATGCTCAACGGGCCCCACCCGCCGGAGATGCGCAGCGTGCTGCTGGAGATTTGCCTCACGCTGCCCGCGCCGCTGACGGGGCTGCTGCCGCAGCTGCGGCGGCTGATGCGGCCGCTGACTATGGCGATCAAGGTGCGAGTGTGGAAGTCGAGGGTCGATAAACGGGGGCATTTTGGCTTGCATTGGCAACGGGGCTTTGGGCGAGGCTGTTGCGCGCGCGAGTTGATTTGGCCGCACGCGTGCTCATAGGAGGGCCTGTCAGTGGTGGGCTGACGGTTGGAAGGACGCGGCGGCCATGCCGCTCACATTGATCCCCCTTGCTGTCTTCCCTTTGACCGCCTTGAATTGAAATATGCTTGAATTTGTTCTTCTCAATTGTCCTGTCGCTCCTGGGCGTCCTGTCGTGTGACCTGGCGCCGTGTGTTGTTCTGTCCTGTCCTATCCTGCAGTCCGGCCCCGACGACTTGGCCCTCTCCGCCGTCAAGACGCTGGAGGTATGGGTGGATAACCTCAACCCCGAGTTCCTGGAGCCCGCCATGTCGGAGGTGATTGCGGACCTGATGCACGGCCTGTGGGCTCTGCTCAAGTTCAATAACCCGCTGGCGACCAAGGTGGGGGGTTTGGCGTTGGGGTTGGGGTTGGGGTGGTGCAAGGTGCGGGGTGTGGCGTGCTGGGTGGTGGCCTCCTGGCCGCGCTTAGCCGGAGAAAAACAGTGGAGGAGTTTGTTGAGGACCAGGGGGCTGTAAGGCTAGCGCTGGGACCTGATACCCTTCCACAATTCCTGGCAGCCCAGGCCGGTTAGCGCATGACGATTTACCCTCCTCCCGCAGTGAATGTCTTGTTCACCCGCTCTCGTTCCTCGTCCTCGTGCCATGTTTCCTAACTCCCGACCTTGCGCTCCTCGCCATGCGCTGTGGGCGCCGGAACCCCACAGGCGCTGGCGCTGCTAGGCAAGATGGGAGGCCTCAACCGTCGCTGGCTCAAAGAGCCGCAGCCGCTCGAGTACCGTGACAACCCTGAGCACGGCTTGCGTCTTATCCTTACCTTCGAACCGCAAACTTCGTTCCTGGTACCCGTTGATCGTTGCGTGGCTCTGGCCAGGGCGGGAATCGCAGCGGGGGTTGAGGCCCCGGCGGCGGGTACCGCTGCCGGCGGCGGCCCGGCAGCTGCCGCGGCTGGGGCCGCTTCCGCCAGCGACGGGCATTATCGTCGCCAGGCTCTCCGCTTCCTGCATGTCTGCCTGGCTTCCATGCTCAACTTGCGGATACGGGAGGTGGAGGATGATTTGGCAGCGGTGGAAACTGCAAGGAGCGCTGGCCTCACTGGGCGCGGACTGAGGCAGGCTAACGGCATGATCCCGCCGGGCCTGGCGGCGACGCCAGCGCCAGCGGCGCGGCGATCTAGCACGGGAGGCGTTGGGGTTGCCACCGGGACGCCAAGCGACGATCAGACGGGAGCAGCAGCGGCTCCGCCGCCGGGGGGCGCGGTACCAGCGGATACGGGCCCACAGCTGGTGGACGCGGGCATAGAGACGCTGTTACGGGTGGTGACTGGGGACTTGCCGCCGCCTCAGGTGGCTGTTGCCATACCGAAGGTGGGTCCTCCCTGAGAAATGGGGGAGGGGACGCCGCTGGACTGCTGGGGACCGCTGGGGATGTGACGGGACTGTGCTGTACCCGCCAGAATGTCCGGCCCAAGCTTAGCATGTTGCGGAATATGTTATGACCCTCTCGCGCGGCGGCGTAGATCTAGCCTGTTTCTCACACGCGGCAATAATCAGACTTGGGAGCGTTCATGGATAAGATAGGACCTACCCATAGCCAAGCCTTGCGAGAGTGGCCTACTATTCCCACACCTGTGCATCTCCGGCCTCATCTTCTCCTTGCCTTCCATCCCCGGGGCAACCCCAATTCCGGCAGCGGCAGCTCGACTCGGGCGTCAAGACCAAAACGCAAGTTGTCGCGGAGCGCCAGGTGCTGGTGCAGCTGCTGGCGGCTGTCATGGGCGCCGCGGCGGACGAGGCCCTGGCAGCTACGGCGCGTCCCTTTGCGCTGCACATCTCACGCCACTTCGCCATGCTGTTCGTGGCGGGCACACAACCCCCGCCGCCTGCACCTGTCATGGCGCGGACGGCGGCGCCCGACACCGCCGCGGCGATGGGGAGCATGACGCCGGCGGGAGCGCCAGGTGCCGCGCCGACGCCGCCGGCCGGAGGGCCTCCCGGCAGCGGTGGCCCTGCAGGGGCTACGTCTGCTGGCGGCCTGCCGCCGGCGCCGCCTTCCGTGGGCTCGATGTTGCCGAGGGGATTGCGGGAGTTGGATTGCCACCTGTTTCTGGATGCGGTGGTGGAGGTACTTGGCGATAAGGTGAGCGGGACTTATCAAGTCTATGCTGTTTTTGTCTGCTGTGGTTAGGCGTTGGGGTCGTTCTTCCAATACCAGCACGTATAGCTAGTAGCCGGTGTACCAATTCAAATGGGTGAAGTAATGGCGGAGAAGAGATCTATCGGTTTGGATGCTGTGTCTAAGTCTTCAGAGGCGTCTGTTCAGGTGCCGCTTACCGTTGGCCCGCTCTCCGCCCAGGCCGCCTGCAAGTCCAAGTGCGCGCTGGAGTGTCTGACCACCTTCGCGGACACGGCACTGCTGCTACACGCTGCACGCACCAAGTGCCGTAACTCAGCCAAGACCCAGCAGCCCAACAGCGGCGAGTCACAGCCGGACGGCAGCGACGCAGCGGCGGCCGAGGCCGCAGCGGCCACGGCAGCGGCACCAGCCACAGCCGCTGGAGGCGGCGGTGGCGGCAGCAGCAGCAGCGATGCCGACAAGGCCTCCAGCCACGGCCTGCCGGACGTCATTGACGACCTGCTTCCCCGCATGCTGCAGTGCTGTCACGAGGACTCATGGCAGGGCCGGCTGTCGGGTGCGGCCGCGCTGCGGCTGCTGGTACAGCGTCTGCCGGCAGGCTACCTGCGCGCCTGGGTCGTTCTCAGCCTGCGCGGCCTCATCAATGTGGTGCGCTGGCTGCCGGAGTACTGCAGGGTGGAGCGTGAGGAGGTGGAAGCGACTATGGGTGAGCTGCTGTACAAGGTGATCCATGGGAAAGACAAGCCGCCAGAAGTGGTGGTGGCGCCGGTGTCGCCGGCACCTGTGCCCGCGCCGGCACCCACTCGGAAGAGCGGCGGTGGGAGCGCTACGGGAGCGGCTTCTTCGCCTCCCACCTCGCCACGGGTTGCTGGCGGTACCGCTGCCGGCAGCCCGGATACCGCAGCTGGCTCATCCCCCGACGCAGCCGGCAGTCCAGCGCCTCCTGCAGCTTCCGGCGGAGCAGGAGCTACCGTGCAGTCCCCCGCTGTACAGGCCCCCGCAGCCGCCTCTGACCCTAGCACCGCAGCCGCGGCAGAATCCTCTCCTGCGGCTGCTGCGGCCTCCGCCGCCGCATCCCCGGCGCCGGCAAAGCCGCCCGTATCCTGCCCGACAGCCACATTGGATGCCATGGCAGATGTGCTGGTGCACGCGATGGTGGGTCCAGGGTTGCCGCGATGGGTGCGCACCGCGGCGGAGACGGCCCTGAGTAGCCTTGCTGCAGCGGTGAGGCGCACCGTATCCTCATACCTGACACCCACGCTACAATCCATGAGCCCGCCCTGGCAGTCACGGCGGCTGATGCCCATCAAGGTGCGAGGGTTGGGGTCTTGAATCTCATCTGACGGGACGGGTTAGCAGGCTGTAGGTTGCAGGGTGACTGTGTGTATGTTGTGGGGAAGAAGCATCCCGCTTGCGTGTGTATACATGTTTTCAGTTTTCCTTAGATGCATGTGTTTCATCCCGGCCCTGTTTCTTGTGTTGCAGAATGTGGAGGTGACGATTACCCAGGTGCAGGCGCTTACCGTGGTGGTCCGTCAGCAGCCGCCCGCATTGCCCCTCAGCGAGCAGCTGCAGGCGCTGGCGCACGAGGCGCTCATGATTGCGGAGAAGGACGAGGCCGCGCTGGCGACGAGGCTGACGCAAAAGGATGAGCCGCCAGCGCTGGGCAACGCGGCTGTCGGGCCTTATGCGGGCGGCAAGGGCGGACCGGGGCCACGCAACGTGACGCTGGACGCGCTTCAGAGGCTAAGGGTGGCTTGCATGCAGCTGCTGAGTGCATGTGCGTGGTATTGAGAGGAGCGACCAAGGAGAGGAGGATTAGGAACGGGGAGAGCTTCTCGTGCCCTTGCCAACCGGGCGGCCTCCCCATACCGCTGGCCCCATGCGTGACTCACGGTTCTGAATACTTTTTGCCTCGCGGGCCGTTTGGTTGCTCCTGTACCCTTGTCCTGCCTTCGTTGTCGATGCCCCCTGTCCACCTCGCATCCCGGTCCATATGCAATCCGGTCCCCCATCTTCCTTTGGATTCCGTTCCACACTTTCTGCCCGGATTCTGATCATCCTGGTTTTCCCTAACCCCCCTCTCTTTCCTCCATTTACATCCCATGTCCCCCTAATTGACTTCATCCATCCTCCGGCTTTGCAGTGTGGAGTTGGGAGGAGTTCCGCGACCGTCCCGACCTGAGGCCGCTGCGCGAGAGCACGACGGGCATGTTCTTCAAGAACCTTACTGTGTCCTCCCTGGAGATCCACAGCGCCGCCCGCGCCGGGCTGCAGCTGATTGTGAGCCAGCAGAAGCTACCCAAGGAGCTGCTGCAGAACAGCCTGAGGCCCCTGCTGCAGAACCTGGCCACGTACCACAAGCTGCACCCCACCATGCTCCAGGTGAGCCCCGTAAACCTGGTTTGCCTAACCTGAAACATGGGGAGGTGGCTTGAGCCTAATTGTGTTGCGCACCTGGGTGACGGTCTGTAAGCTGGTGTACCTGCATGCTGTGTGGGCGTTGCGCTCGGCGAAGGGAAACATCTCGGCGCTTCGTGGAAGCGCGTGTTGATGCGTTGAAAGGGATCAAAACGTCGCCCCCTCTGCCGTACTAGTAAGCAGCTATCCTTCCGGTCTGGTACGAGTTGGCCGTCTTCTTCCTATCCTTTGCCTGGCCCCCTTGGACACGCGCTACACCACGGCACTGCCCTGCGCACCCATAAGTTCTCATCTCGGTCCGTTCAACGTGCGTCCTCAAACGCTCACCTTTTTCCTCTCCGCGCAATCTCTCTTTAGGGCCTGGCCCGGCTACTGGAGCTGTTGAGCGACTGGTTCAACCTGACGTTGGGTGACAAGCTGCTGGAGCACCTCAAGAACTGGCTCAACCCGGAGAAACAGCTCACAGGCCAGGTGGGGTGGGCTTCCCGCCCTGCCTTTCCATGCATCCTGCCATTCCATGCATTCCCGGTCGGCTCCGGGAATAACCCCCTAATCCCTTGGAGATACCCTCGCACTGCCCCATTCCCCCCTCCCGTGCCCTTCACCTTTCCGTCTTAAGGTGCTTTGGAAGCCCGGCGAGGAGGCGCTGGTGGCCTCCCTAGTGCTGGACCTCTTCCACCTGCTGCCAAGATCAGCGGTCAAGTTCCTGGAGACGCAAAGCCAGCCGGCGGCGGCGGCGGCCGCGCCCACCGCCGGGGCTGTTGGCCCCGACGGCAAGCCGCTTCCGTCTCCGTCTCCTGAGCCCGCGGCCACCAAGCCCGGCCTTGTGATCCTGACCATCCAACTGGAGGAGAAGCTGCCGGCGCTCAACACGCCGGTGCCGGTGCCCCACGTGATGACGTCCCCCTACCGTGGCCCGCTGACGCGCTTCCTGGTTAAATACCCAACGGAGGCTGCGGCGTATTTCCTGGAGGCATCCCGTCTGGATAAGGCTTCTTACTTCTCCCGGCTGCTGGACATTATTCGCAGTCCAGCTGGTCGGCCTCTGCTGGACGCGGTGGCGGCCTCTACGGAACGATTGCTGGCATTGCTGCTGCAATACGACCCGCCACATCCGGCAGCGCAGCTACCGGAGGGGACATGTGAGGTCATGTTGGGGGTTCTTGGGGGCATGGATGGGTGCACAAACTGAGTTGGAGCTTCGCACCTACGCTAGAGGAAGGGTTTAAAGGTTGGTGTTGCCCCTTTTATGGATGTTACCACATGGGGATGGTTCTCCTGCCATTCCTGGAGCGCCGCTCCGTGCCTATGTGCTGCCTCGTACGCCGTTCCTCGCGCAACGTTCCCCCCCACGCGAACCCTTCCAACACCCTGAATTGTCCAAGATCACGTTCATCCTATCCTCGACGCCTACGTGCCGTATAGTTGCATGTCGCCATCCACCATTCCATGTTCCGCTTTCCCCACGCCATGTCCCTCACCCCTTCCTCCCATCTCCCTTTTTTCCTCCCTCCTCTCCTGCAGCTCCGCCCCCGGCCCCCGCCCATCCCATGGTCGCTTTCCACTCCGTCCACCTGGTTCGCGTCGTCTCCAAGCTGCTCCCCTCCTGGCTGCCCTCCCAGCCCCGCATCATGGCCGCCATCATGGAGCGCTGGCACAGCCCCCACCGTGCAGCCAGGTTGGCTGAGGAGGGGGCCGCGCTGGGGCCCCCACCCTCGCCCGCGGCAGGTAGCGGGGCGCCAGCAGGCACCGCGCCTGGGGGCCAGCAACAGCAGCAGCAGCAACAACAGCAGGCGCTGTGGACGAGTGTGACCTCCACTTGCAGGGAGCAGTTGTTGGAGAGCAAGCGGCTGGCTAAATGCGTATTGTCGTATGTACGGGAGCACCGGGAGGAGGTGATGCCGCTGTTTGATATCATGTCGGTGCACCTGGTGAGTGGGTGGCTGGGCTGGTGGGTGCGGACCAGGTGGCGGGGAGTCGTCTGCAGGATGATAAGAAGTGTTCGCTAGTGTTCAGAAAGGGGCGCCCGGACGCCTTCAATCTTCTCCCTTAGGTCTGGACAAGTCAGTGAGTTCGGAATTGTCACAAGCTTAACGACTGAACCTGTTTTCCTTGCCCCTCTACTGTTACCAATTCTCCTTAAAGTTATATCCATGGATCCGGAAATTCCCAAGCCTGGCGCAACGGAAAGCCTCCGCAACGTTTCTCCGAATCCAACGCGCCTTTCCCTGTGCTATCTCCCTTCCTGCCCCTTTCCGTCTCGTAACGGGCAGCACCGGAGCTCTGTGGACTACGGCTTCATTGAAACGTTTTGCCGCACGGTGGTGGCTCAGCAGTACTCCCCAGCGGAGAAGCGCGCCATGCTGGCCAAGTACGTGGAGGTGTTCAAAGGCGGACGGCTGCCGCAGGAGCAGCTGGAGAGGATTCTGCAGGTAGGTGCAGGTCGGGGCCTCTGGAAAGGCATTCGGGCCATGACGGGCCAGTCAATCGACATCCCTTTGGCACTCCCCCCACTTTCCAGCAAATTGCCTGGCGAGGCCCCGGATGGGTGGGGGGATGCGGACTGGCACCCGTCATCGCGGCACGTCTTATTCCATTCACCCGCCCAGCCTCCACGCGGGGCTATATCCGTGTAAAGCCACCTAGTCGGAAATTCTGCATCGCCCTACCCCTATCCCTGTGGCGCAAACCCGTTCGTTTGCTGCCTCGCTTGTGGGATGGTACGCCCGCAACCCAACTCCACCTCAGTCGCTGATTGTCCCTGCTGCCTCTGTGGCAGCAGCCGCAGCAGCCACTGTCCACCGCATAACCTCCCTTGGGCACTTGCACTACCCTACTAGGTACTTGTGACGCCGATGTTGGTGGAGTCACTGGAGAAGGGCGAGCGAGACGTGATCGGGGAGCCGCTGGCTGAGGCGGTGGTGGTGGACCTGCTGGACCCGTCCGAAGGCAAGGCCAGCAACGGTCAGGGTGAGCGGAGGCATGGACATGGAAAGAGCTGGGGTATATAGCACACGGGTTTGTGCTGTTGGAGGCGGGGGAAAAAGACAACAGGCGGAAACGGGAAGAACGTGCCGAGGACACATGGGTTGAATAGAAGATGGGTTCCAATTCCACGTCACGGACCACGCTTCCACGTCAGGCTTCCAAACCTTCTCTCAATCCCAGAGATTCCGCACGTGCCTGCACAGACCCGTGAACGATGTGCGGTTGTGCATTCCTGCTGCCCTGCTGCTTTGCTCTCCGGCTCATTCCGGGCTGCGCAGGCGAGAATCCCAACCCCGCGTTGGAGTCTCTCCGAATCGAGTTGCTGCACCTGTGCACCCAGCTGTTCAAGTACTCCCCGGCCTTGCTGGACAAGCACAAGAAGGAGCTGATCAAGTTTGGGTGGAACTACCTAAAGAAGGAGGACAGCGTCACCAAGTCGTACGCCTTTGTCAACGTGGCCTATTTCCTCAAGAACTTCCAGGCGCCGGAGAAGATCATGCTGCAGGCGAGCTGGGCTGGGCACGGGCATTGGCGCTGGCACTGCGAACGGAGCTTAGGGGTGCTGATCGTAGCTGAGCAACGCTGACTGCAACGCAATGTCGCAGCTAATTTGGAGTCGATTTTCTGTCGCGGAAATTTCGTCGCAGAGAAGGATGAAGACAACCGGATGAAACGGGCTATAGAAGATGCTGAAACGTAGTGAAAGGCCTTGGCTGTTGCTGTGGGTGTATGTGTTTGGAATGCCCAGGCTCGCCCACTGGCCGGCCAGCGGGTCCACCTTTTCTTTTGTTTTCCCTGCACGTCTGCCCTCCAATCCGCTTTGTATGCCACATCCGTTCGCTCCGTCGGCTTTTCCTTCCTCTGTGTCACACAGGTGTTTGTTGCCCTGCTCAAGGCCAACCAGCCTGACACCAAGAAGCCGCTCATCAAGGAGGCGCTGGATGTGTTGGTGCCCACCCTCAATGAGAAGGTGCAGCGCTCCCCGGAGAACAAGATGAGCCCGGTGTGGGTCAGGTACACTAAGAAGGTGCGTTCGCGAGAGCTGAACCCTTTTCCATAGTAGGTTAGGGAGGGGACTGCACCGCCAATCTATCGCCCCATCCCCACTTTTTACCCCACCACCCCGCCACTCCCACGAGAACATGGCGAGTATTGAGGGCCGCCAAGTTCCATGGTTTGTCCTCCTCCTTCGGACTTCTATTGTCCGGACCCTTGACCCGTCCTCTCTCCATCATCCTTGCCCTTACCGGCTGCTCACAGCCGTGATCCTCTCACCTTACCACGCCATGATATATATACAGTTTCTCGTGCCATGTGTTTCCGTCGTATCGTATGACGTCGTAAATGCTGTTATATCGCGACTTATGATGAAAAGTACCGACCGGCGCATGCCAGATCCCCCGGGATACCCCCGGGATACAACACATGCCACCTCATGTGCCGTCATGCCGCCTCGTGTTGTTCGGCACCTCGTCTTATGGCTGCAGGTGCTGTCTGAGGAGGCTCACAGCATGGCCAGCGTGGTACACATTTGGCAGCTGGTGCTGCGTCATGCGGAGCTGTTCTACCCCTCGCGAGGCAGTTTCGTGGGACAGATGGTGCACACGTTGAGCAAGCTGGGGCTACAAGTGAGAAGGGGGGGGAGGGCAGACCGGGGCCAGGAATAGAATGGGGCGGGAGCTGGGGCAGCCTCAATCTCAGGATGGCTGCTTTATGCGTGAATTGCGGAGTTGTGGCATCGCGCCTGGCACCGCGCTACCCATCAAGCAAGTATCGCCTCCAACGACGGTGCTCGGCCGTTCCGCACTTATGCTTATAGGCTGAACACTCTCTTAACGTCCGCCGTATCACACCGCTTGAAAATGCCGATTGCCGCTTGGCCCTTCCTTGGGCACGCACGTTTGTTGTCCCACGCATCACTTCGGCCGCATTGCCCTTGTTCTTTTCTCGCTGTTGTGTGTACCTGTTCAGGGCGGCTCACCAGAGTACAGACGCCTGTCCTTGGACCTGGCCAAGCTGGTTGTGGGATGGGAGCGCAAGCGCCAGGAGCTGGTGGCAGCGGCCGCTGCGCCACCCCCAACAGCGGCGGGGCATAAGCGCTCGCGGGAAGAGGGCAGCGACGGTGACGGCACCACCTCCAGCGGCCCGACGCCGCCAAAGGCGGCGCGAATGGACGCTGCGGCGTCGTCGCCAACAGGGGGCGATGTGGCGATGACCGACGCCGCCGCGCCAGCAGCCATGACGCGCAATGTGTCCTACGGCAGCTTGCGGCCATCGGGCGGCCTCACTGCCGGCTCCCCTGGCGGCGGGGGCGCTACACCCGATGACGAATTCCGGCCGACCCCGACCATGGAGGACATCCTCATCAATTTCCTTACGCGCTTCGTGTTGGTTACCCCGGACAACGTCAAGGAGGACGAGGCGTCTCTACAGCAGGGCTACGGCATGCAGGTGCTGCTCCAGGCGCTCAAGCTCTGGCCGGCGGTGAGTTGGATTTCGGTGTGTGCGGATGGGATTCGAGGGAGGACCAAAAGAACTTTTCTCGGCACTACTACTCCGGATGTACATGTCCGGATCTCATAACCTGTATCCGCAGGCCGCCTGATCCCTCTTAATGCCTTCTACAATGCCTTCTAATGCCTTCGAACACGTACATTAACTGACTTGTGCAATGCACTGAAAACCCGAATGAAACGAACCTTAATCCCTAACGTACCCCAAACTGACCTACAGACCGTGATTAAGCTGTCCTTCTTGGAGCGCCTCCTCGGCGCCCCAGTGGATCCAGCCAAGCAGGCCGCCGCAGCCAAGCAGGCGGCCGCAGCTGCTGCCGCAGCAGGCGCCTCAGGCGGCACCGCCGTTGCCGCCGTGCCCCCGGACCCTCCCCACCTAGCGCTAGGCCTGCAGGTGTGCCGGGCGCTGGTTGAGGTGCAGCCGCTGGCGGTGCTGGCTGTCAACGCGGGGGCGCTAGGGGCGCTGGTCGAGCCATGCCTGCAGTCACGCAACCGGCGTAACGCGGTGGAGTTGGGGGAGGTGCTGAGGCTGTTGCATGGCAAGCTGGCGGCGCCACCTCAGTCAGTCCCTCTGCCAGAGGTGAGGAAGGAGGCGGGGAAGGAGGACAGGGGAGTGCTGAACGGGCCCTGCGGCCGGGCCGATGGCTGCAGTGGTCACCGGGTAAAGCCCGCTTGTCGGTACCGGCACCAGCACCCGGCAACTTGGGGTGTCCACAAATGGGCTGGCGGGGACTGGCAGGTGCCCAGCACCTGATGAACATCTACGTAATCCCCTTCCCATGTCAGACAGCACTTCCCAGTCATATCAGTTCCGACCTGCGGCTGCACTTACTCTGTTCTTACGTCGCAAAACCATCTGACCGCCTCCTTAGCACGCTCTGTCCTCTGTCCACTCGCTCCACCCGTCCATCCACCCGCCTTCGCTCTTCCTGCAGGCCACCGCCGCGGGCGTGCCCTCCAACCCTGCCGCAATTCTGGCGGCTGTCCAGCGCCGCGCTGAGGAAGCCATCATGAGGTACCTGGCACAGGCCTCAGCCACCAACGACCCGCAGCCGGCAGTGCAGCCGCCACCGGTACCGGGCCAGCCGCAGCCGACCGTGCCGCCGCCCGGTAGCGGTAGCAGCATCGGCGGTGACCCTCGTCTGCTGGTGGGGCTGTGCGGCTCATTGGCACTCTTGGAGGCGCTGGACGGGGTGGCCTCCGCCAACTTCATCTTCCAGTGCGTGCCGCCGCTGTGCAAGGTAGGTTAGGGAAAAGGGCGCTGCGGGGACAGTGGAAAAGAAGCAAAGGTAGGTCGGGTTAGGGCAGCCTAACCTTGCCCGGGGTGAAGCGGTGCTGGCCCTGCTGAACCCCATGCGCCACCGGGCCCTCTCTGATTTGCGGGCCTTGTGCTCATAACAGCTCCCTGCCTCCTTTCACCCTCCCCCCGCTCGCTCGGTCCTCTGCAGGTGCTTCAAAAGACGGCTCGCGAGGTAGCCAACATGGCACCACCCGCAAACGCCCAGGGACCCGCAGGCAGGCGGGGCCCCTCGGGCGCACTAAGCGGCGCCGGCGGCAGCGGCTCCTTGTCCTCCCAGTCGGAGGAACCTGAGTACGGCAGCCTGTACTGGGTAATCGCCGCGTGCATCCGTCTGCTTGCGCCGCGGGTGCTGCACCACAACGAGCAGCGCAAAGCGGTGTTGTCGTCCATGATTGGGCTGATGGCGGGCCAGAACACCAGGCACATGGAACCGTCGCTGTTCCTGGAGATGCTCAAGGTGGGGCGAGAGGGGCCTGTGCCTGCACGGTTTGAGTGACGGGCAATAGCTTGGGTGAGGGGTGAGGGGTGCGTGGCGGCTTTACGGTCTCTCCTTGCGGCCAATATAATAGCTCTTTAGCCGCTGTTCGGCCCTTGACTACGTTAACGCTTAAAATCTGGGCGCACGCCAGCAACGAGGCCAGCATGTAGAGTATGTTCCACTGTTCCCCTTCCTGAGCTGCCCGTCTCGCCGCCGACAACAAAGGGCCATGTACGGTAAAAATTTCCGGTAGCTCGACAGTTCTATGAGAACAAAGGGATTTAGTTTCTGAAACCAGAGAGCAACGGGTGGGTGGGTTGGCTAATCAAAACAAGGGGAGTCAGAAATTTGCTTCCGGTCACTTTGTCCTCTCGCCTTCACTCCGACGGCGCCCCGATGACACCCTGCCGACGCCGTGACGCGTGTGCAGGTAATGGAGCGGTGGCTGGTGAACCCCTACCCCGGCCAGACGGGCATTCTGTCCCCCAAGGAGGCCATCCTCATGGTGCAGCGGCTGGCGGCACTTGAGAAACTCAACCTTTTCGACCATGCGGGCCTGCAGCAACAACAACAACAACAACAGCAGCAGCAGCAGGGTGCAGGGGCCACGGCGGCAGGCGGTAGTGGTAGTGGTGGCGGCAATGGCGCTGGGGGGCCGGCGGGCGGGGGCAGTCCGCTGCGACGTGCCTGGGACAGCACCCTGCTGTCACTGGTGCTGCGGCTAGCGACGCCGCCGTCAGAGCCGCCGGTAGGTGTTCTACCTTTTTGCGTATCAACATGTTCATGACGTTATGCCATAATGCGGCGGACGGGGTTTCGGGGAAGGGCCCCCCGGTACATGAAGGGGTCCCAGTTTCCCCTTTTAAGTATCCTCCGGTGCTGTTGTCATATGTTGTCTTGCATTCCACGCCGGCTGACGGCCCGTTTCTTCTCCCCCCTCCCGACCGTCCGTCCGTCCGTCCGTCCCTACCGCCACATGTAAACACTGTCGCCCTCGCACTCTCCGCGGTACCCAGGACCTTGACCGGCTGCTGGACTCTGAACGGGAGCGCTACTTCGCGGAGACCCGCAAGGCGGATGACTACTTCCTGCACCTGGAGCGACGCTTCATGATGGGCCTGCGGGCGTCGGACCACAACATGCGCAAGTGAGGGGTGGGGAACGGGTGGGGGTGCGGGTGGGAATATTGGCAGGCAGGGTAACCCCCATAGCCTGCCAGAGGTGCTACACACCTGGAGGATAACTTAACGAAACCATATGAAATAGACGAGTTAATTGCAAGATTATACGCAATTCTTTAGTCAAGAGGTCAAGAAAGTTTTGGAAATTTACCACACATCTTTTTTGTTTTATTTTAGGAAGACGTACAGTGTTCCTCCGACTGCTATGTTTATGAATGTGGGCACCATCCTGCATGTGTATGTTTCGCCCTTGTTCAATCTGCAACCCGCAGGCGCTTCTTCGAGCTGTACGACAACCACGTGGCCCCGCACTTGTTCGACCGGCTTCAGTTTGTGATCATGATTCAGGACTGGGAGGCCATGAGCAACACATTTTGGCTCAAGACCGCTCTGGTGCGAGCAACAGCGTTGGGGGAGGAGGTCCCGGCTGGGCTGCCTTGGGGGGCATGGAGGCACCGGGTTGTGACATGACACGGTTTTGCACTGTGCCGGCCGCCGGTGCACCTTCGCTCGCATGGAGGCCGCATGGTGCAACCCCCAAAACCCAAACCTCCTGCCGGAACGCACATACACACACATGCACGTGCGAAAAAAATGATGCTTTGGCCCTGCTTTCGTCTTCCCTTCCTCTACAAACCGCGCCGCACCACATGCTTCGCCCCTTGCACCTCCCAACTCGCTGCACGTTTTTACCTACCTACCGTCCTAACACTGCCTACACCCCCCCACCCCCCAATCCCCCCGGCCACAGGACTTGCTGCTGGCCGCGCTCCGCGAGGACGACCTCATCATGTTGGCGCCCAACAGCGCCCAGGTGCCCCCCCTGCTGCCCCTGCAGCAGAACGTGTTTGTGCCTCAGCCCCCCAAGGGAGTGGACATGAGGGCCGCCATACAGCAGCAGCAGCAACAACAACAACAACAACAACAACACGAGGCGCTACAGGGCCCCAACGGTACCGTCAAGACGGAGCAGATGCAGATAGGCCAGGGGGACATGAAGCTTGAGGAGGGGGCAGCTGGGGGTGAGGTTCAGGGCACACCTGGTGAGAGCAATGAGGGTGGGTGCCATCGGGGGGTGGAGAGAGGCGCGGCGGAATGCGATGGGGTGGGCGGGCAACCCCCCGGGGCTCCATGCCCGGGAAAATAAGATAGAAATAATCCCAAAGCTGGAATGGGTGAGGAGTGGAGGGGGCGGCAGCCGGTGGGCGAATGGGTTCTCGGTTGTGGTGGTGTGCGAAAGCGGGGGCTCCTCGGCGGCTTCCAGTTAATGGTGCCAACTTAGCACCTCCTCCACCAGCTCCTTTCCCTGCTACGGCAACCTTTTCCAACACACACACGCCCTCACCCCTCCCCCTGGGGCCACTCAGGTGTCAAGGAGGAGCCACGAGACGGAACGCCGGTGGGGGCTGTCGGCGGCTCGGACCCTATGGACATCTCCCCGGGCCCCGGGAACGGCCCGGCGGGGTCGCCGCCGCTGCGACAGTCCTCATCCCGCGCCGCGTCCCCGTCCTCCGCGCCACCGGGCCTGGATATGAGCGCCATGGGCAGTCCGGGGCGAGCGGCGGCCGCAGGTGCTGGTGGGAATGGTGCGGGCGGCGCCGGTGCCTTGGCGGCAGCAGCCCCGCTGTCGCTTGAGGAGCGCTTCCCTGGAGTAACTCCGGAAGTGATGGAGCTTGTTCGTGGCCATGTGGAGTGGCTGGATACTATGGGTGGGTTGGGGGGAAGTGGGGGTGGGTGCTGGGGTGAGACTGTGTGGGGATCATGAGTGTTGTGGTAGACGGTAAGGGAAGTGGGATTGGGCCACCTAGGGCTGACCTAGGGCGGGTGCGAAGGCGTTCGGGTTCATTCCGACAGCATGGAACCGGGGGCATATCTGAAATCCGAACCCAATGTCCCACACCACCCTTTCTGTCGTCACTCTGCTTCCCCTGCATGCATGCATGCGTGCATGCGTTCGTGTAGGCAAGCTACGTGTCCGTGAGCTGGTATCTTCCCTCCGCGAGTATGCTGGAGCTGACTCGCTGGTGGCCTACCACCTCTGGGTGCTGGTGTTCCCGATAGTGTGGGCTTCACTTGCTAAGGAGCAGCAGGTGGGGGTGGGGGTGAGGACTGGGGAGGGTGTTAAGGTTGCCGGTTGGGGGAAGGTGTGGCCAGGGGGGAGACGATCCGGGGGAGGAGCTCGGCAGCGGGTGGTAATCGCCGGGGGAAGAGGGAAGGGGGCGGAGGCCGTGTGCTGCTGGGTCAGTCCCTGGCTACAGGCTCGCCTGTCAGCACATACATATTCTCCCATGCGGTGTGATGAAGGCAATATCTTCTGCCAACAAACATCAACCATGTTCCTTGTTACACCCCCCCCACACACACACAGAGAGACTGCAGTGCGCACTCACCCAACCCACCTGTGTATGTCTGTATATGCGTGCACAGGTGAGCCTGGCCAAGCCCATCATCACGCTGCTGGCCAAGGAGTACCACCACCGCCAGGCCAACGCGAGGCCGAATGTGCTGCAGGTGGGTGGGTTGCTGGGGCTTGCTGCGTCTCCGTCTGCCTCTCTGCGTGCGGGTCTATGCACATGTGTACACATGCGTCGGACTCCTGGAAGGGTCCGGCGCCGTAGGGACTATGGTATGGTATCTGTATGCATGGGTGGTGTCGTTGTTCGCCACTCACTCGCTCTCCCTCTCTTCCCTGGGCCCCCCCTGGGCCCCCTTCCCACCCCTCCTGTTAGGCCTTGTTGGAGGGCATCAGCCTGTGCCAGCCTCAGCCCAAGATCCCCCCCGAGCTGATCAAGTTCCTGGGGAAAAACTACAACGCCTGGCACATAGCCATACCACTGCTGGAAAGCCACGTGTGCATATTCCCGGATGAGTCGAGGTGCTTCGACAGGTGAGTTGTGCGTGCGCGGGTTGGGGTTGGGGTTGGGGTTGGGGTTGGGGGTTTTGGAGCAACCGGGTGGGGGCCTGGACGTCGAGCCGGTTTAGCGGATGATTGGTTGGTTTGCTGTGGGAAGGTCCCGAGATATATCCTACACCACACCGTACTGGCTGCCAGTAGGTTTGTAGGACACCACCACGTTCCCGCACATGTTCCCGTCCCTCGTCCCCCGCCTGTCGTAGCCTGGCGGAGCTGTACCGTCTGGTTGCGGAGGACGACCACATGTGCGGTCTGTGGCGCAAGCGGGCGGCCACCGAGTGGACCCGCACCGCCCTGCCGCTCGTTCAGACGGGCCACTGGGAGAGGGCCATGGACGCACTGGGGGAGGCCACACGGCTGTTCCAGATGCCGCCGCAGATGGTGGGTGAGGGCGGGGTGGGCGAAGGTGGGGGTTGGGAAGGGGGGGAGAGGGCGGGGTGAGAGCAGGGGTGTGGGAGAGGAAGAAGGGGAAGGGTGGGTGGGGGACAAGGTGCCATTGAACGCGACTGAATTCCATTTCTCCGCGACAGGCCACAGGGCTCCATGAAGATGCAGCTGCCGGATACAACTGCTGCGGGAGACTTTCAAATGGGGCCTGAGCGGTGTATTGCAAGAAGGGGGGAAATGTCGCGCGTCATCTTTTGCCGTGTTTTGGCACAAAAGCTGCCGCATCTTCTGGCTCCACGCCTCCGTCAAAACAAAAAACGAAACGTCCCCTGCATGTCTTCACCGCCCTACCCCCACGGCCTTCATCCCCCACCTCCCCCTCTTCTCCCCTTCTCTCCACCCCGCCGGCCCCCTCAGCGTGCGGTTACCGAGCAGCAGGTTCCCAACCGGGGTGAGCAGGCGCTGTGGGTGGAGCAGTGGCTGTCCTGCTGCCGCCAGCTCAACCACTGGGACCTCATGCTGGAGTACGGAAAGGTACGTGCGTGTAGGGCACGGTATGGGAGTTGGCGGGGAGAGGGCGGGCTGGGGCCCTCCAGTGCAGTGCTTGGTGCGCCGAGGGGAGAGCTCCCTACCACCATCATATGTATGTAACTTGCACAACGTTCCCCTCCCCACCCCCTCTTCCCCTAGTTACGGCCTTCATTGCATCCCCCACTGCATATACTCCTCATCCAGGTGCTGTGTACACATCCGACACACACATACGGTGCATATTTCCTCCCGGCCCGGCCAGGGGCCCCCGCACTCTGGTATAACCCCCCACCCTATCCCACCGCCCACCCCCTATGACGCCCGGCCCGCCTCTCAGAGCACCGATCAGATGGAGGTGGTCGTGGACTGCTTGTGGCGGCTGTCCGACTGGACCCAGCTGCGGGAGCACCTGAACTCCCCCGTCGCCAAGGGGGGCGCTATGGAGGACTCGCCCTCGCTGCTCATGACCAGAGCGTACCTGGCCCTGCAGGAGGGAAATGTGCAGGTAGGGAGGAGGGTGCGCGGGTTCTAGGGGGCCAGGGGGTAGGGGAGCCAGGGGGTGAGGGTGGAATCGCAAGACGGTGTCACGGGTGAGATGTTGGGGACCGTGGGGCTGTGTATGTGTGTGTCTGTATGTGTGTGTGTGTTTGTGCAGGGTAGTGGTCTCATCTCCTCCCGCTCATCCCCCACCTCACCTCACCTCACCTTGCCTTGCCTTCCCTCTCCTCCCCCGCCCGCTCTCCCACCTGCAGGAGGCAGACAACCAGACCAACAAGGCCCTCCTCGCCGCCCTGCACCGCTGGTGGGCCCTACCCGAGCTGCCCAGCCACACCACCCACGTGGGGCTGCTGCAGACCTTCCAGCAGCTGGTGGAGCTGAAGGAGTCCGCCCGCATCCTGGTGGACCTGGCCCAGGCCAACGGCCGCCCAGAGCACATGTTCACCGACCTGAAGGAGATCATGGAGACGTGGCGACTGCGCACCCCCAACGACTGGGAGAGCCTGGTGCACTGGCAGGACGTGCTGGTGTGGCGCAACCAGATCTACAACATCGTCATCAACAGCTTCGGGTCCATGAGGGACCTGGCGCCCGCACTGCACCAGCTGGGGTACAAGGTAATGAAGATAATATCGGGCGGGAGGAGGGCCACGCAAACCTCCTACACACGCCGCCTGGTTTCCACCGGTTTGTTTGTTCGTTTGTTTGCCCACCTGGGCACGCACCGCATGCCCTTCACTTCACACCTCACTTCCTGAGCCTCTCCCATCCAACCCGCGTGTACTCTCCTTCCCCTTCCCCTTCCCCTCCCTTTCCCCTTTCAGGACAAGGCCTGGTCGGTGAACCGTCTGGGTGCGGTGGCTCTGAGGCACGGCCTGCCGGATACCTGCCTGCAGATGCTCAACACCATGTACGGCTTCAACGCAATGGAGGTGCAGGAGGCCTTCATAAAGATCAAGGAACAGGTGACAGCACAGCATAGCACATATAGGCGCATGGGTTGGAGGGGGCGGCGTGTGTTTGTTCTCCGGAGACGCGCCTCTGCACCCACCCATATTTTCCCGTGTGTTTCCAGCCGTGTGTGCATATGTACATACAGACGGGTGCGTGCATGTGGGCTATGTGCTCCGCGTAGTTTGTGTGTGTCTGTGTGTGCATTGTTTTACAGCGAAGAGGTTACCTGGCCCCCTCGCTGTTGAGGCAAGGTGAGTATAGCCCCCGCTAGTGAGGGGGTTAGGAGGGCCCAGGTGGGGTGGGGTGGGGGGTGGGGGCTTCCAGTGTAGAAGAGGAGACAGCAGTATATATCCAGAAGAGACGTGATTCGATCACCCGACGTAACTGGAGAGGTATGCCATTCTTAAAAGAGTAATTTCCCCGTTGGTGCCCCGCTTTCTCCTTTCCTCCTCCCCTCTCCCGCCGGGCCCCCACCCGTCCCCCCACCCCAGGCCGAGGCCTACCTCGACCGCGGTCCTGTTGAGCTGTGTGTGGGTCTGAGCATCATCAACACCACCAACCTGGACTACTTCCAACCCACACACCAGGCGGAGCTGTTTAGACTCAAAGCACTCATGCTGCAGGTGGGAAAGAGGGTGCCGGCGGGAAAGCGCCGAGTGTTGCATTGGGTTGGCAGATAACAACCAGCAGTCCATGGCGGCAGCAGTTAGCACACGCTACGCCACGCCATGCCACGCCCAATGCCCTCATTGCCCCCCCACTCCCCTCATTGCAACGGCCGCCTATCCCGCCTCTGCTTCATTCCTTCGTTCTCAGGGTCTTGGGGAGGACGAGAACGCCAACACCTCCTTCTCCACCAGCTTGTCCCTGTGGCGCGCGTGTGCGGACACCTGGCTCAGCTGGGGGGCCTTCAACGACCGCCTGTATGAGGCCTCCGTGGCGGCAGCCCAGCAGGCGGTGCAGCAGGCGGGAGGACCGCAACCCCCAGGACCCCAGCCGCAGCCGCAGTTGCAGTACCTGGAGTTCGCGGTGCACTGCTATCTGCAGGTCCGCGCGTGCGTTTGTCTGCACGTTTGTCCGTACCTCCATGCTGCTCTTTGTCGGTGTGTCTGTCTGCGCGTCTGTGCATGCGTTTAAAGTGTTTGGGGCCAGGCAGGCAAGCAGGTAGGACTGGATGTATGAAGCCCCACCGCATGGCTCTCCGTGTGGGCGATTAGGGCTGTGTGTGCTGGGGCAATCCTGGGGGAAGAGGGAGGGGGAGAGATCCTCCCCCCAACGAGTACGACCCGGCCCCACGTGCCCCTTCCCGCCCTCCTCGGGCCCCCTCCACACACCACGCCCTACCCCACTGACCCCCATCCCGGTGTGTGTGCAGGCCGTCCGCCTGGGCAGCGCCCCCGGCCGCGCCCTGCTCCCCCGGCTGCTGCACCTGCTTTCCTTCGACAACCACAACGGCGCGGTGGGGTCCCACCTGGATAAGAACCACGCGGAGCTGCCGCCCTGGGTGTGGTTCATGTGGATACCCCAGCTGCTGGCCTCGCTGCAGAGACCGGAGGCGCAGCACGTCAAACTGCTGCTGCAGCAAGTCTCAGCCGCGCACCCGCAGGTAGAGGCGGGTGTGTGGGTGTGTGAAGGGATTTTGGGGCCGGGTGGCCGCTGCGGGCTGGGCGGGTGGGCGGCCGAGTGGCTCCCGGAGTGGCTCTGTGGACTACACACATGGAAATAATGTTGTGCGGGAGGGCGGGATCCGCCCTCCGCTCCCTGACGGTGACATGATAGCCTGTCTTCCGGTGGCTGGTCCTCCTGGGCGGGGGGCCCCACCCTTGCACGTCCTCGCGGCTCCCATACCTTGGTCCTGCATTCCCCCCTTCTTTCCGCACGTCCCCCACCCGCTCCTGCAGGCTGTGTACTACTGGTTGCGGGTGTACCTGCTGAGTCTGCGGGAGGCGGCTCAAAAGGCGGCTCAGGAGCTGGCCAAGCTGAAGGCGGAAGCGGAAAGGAGGGCGGCGGAGGGGGCGGCGGGAGGAGAAGGGGACTCAGCGGCGCAGGCAGAAGGTGAGAAATGGAGGAGGAGAGACGAGAAAGAAGATGTGGTTGGAAGTGCTGTATGTGTATGTGCGTATGTAGGTGTGCCTGGGGCGCAAAGTGAGTCCGCCCAGAGGAAGGAAAGGCCGGTTATGTGCGGTCACGGGGGTCGAGGTGGAGTGGATTGCGGTTGGGAGTCAGTCGTATTCCGCCGGGCTGGGGCTGCTGGATCCCGTCTTCGCGCATACACCGCAGCAACCTCCAATGGCCGCCTCACACCCCCCCGCCGACTTTCCACTTTCCGTGTAGATAACTCCTTCCTGCCCATGCTCACCCACCCACCCACCCATCCCCGAACCCCGCTTGCAGGCGCTGCAGCCCGACTGGACCCTGGTCGTGCTGCGGAGATGCGGGCTTTTGAGGCGGGCAAGGAGGTGATGGATGTGCTGCGGGCCCGCTGCTCTGCCCTGACCCTGACACTGGAGGGAATGCTGCAGGTGGGGCAGGGGGCGGAGGTTGCGGTGGGGATGGCTGGGGTTCGGCGGCTTGGGGTTTGGGACCTGGTTTCATGCGAGTGCGGCGGTGTGAGTGTGTGTGGGTATGAGTTCGTGTGTGAAGGGGGGAAGTCGGGTCAACCGATGTACACATTGCATACCACCATTGCACCAATATTCGGGGTAATGCTGCGTCGCATATCCCCCCGCTTGCCACGGCCACCGCCCCAACCTCCCCACCATCTCCCCTCGCAGGAGATCGGCAGCAAGTTCGTGCCCAAGCCCGAAGAGCGGCTACTGGCGGTGGTGAACGCACTGCTGCACCGCTGCTACAAGGTAAGCTGCATGAGGTGCCGGCGTAGCGTGGCGTGGAGGCCGGTGCGTACAGGGCTTAGTATGCTTGTAAGTATGTGCGTGCCTGACACGTGCGCATGGGAGAATGTGTAGGGTTGGCTACCGAAGCTCGGCTTACAGGTGTCACCGCTAAGGTAAAAAAGTTGTGTTCCTCCCCCCTCATGTATTCCGACGTGTGGATGTGATTGGTTGTGTCCGCAGGTTCCCTTCGCGAACGGTGCCGAGGTGCCCGCCCTGCTGCGCAAGGAGCTGGCGGGGGTGTGCAAGGCTTGTTTCTCACCCGAGCAGGCTGCTGCTGCCAGGGCGGGGTCGCAGGGCGCCAGGCAGGGCAGTGGACCGCTGTCGTCAGGCGGGGCGGCGGGGCCCTCCGCAGCCGCCGCGGCCAGCAACAGCAGCAGCAACAGCAGCAACACGGTCCAGCGGGACATCCGCGAGGCGTTCGTCCGGGACATGAACCCCGAGGGCCCCGCCTTCCCCGCCACCCTGGGGGAGCTGTCGGAGCAGCTCAAGAGCTGGAGGGCCCGACTGCAGGTACTGTTTGGGGGGGCTGGGGGAGAGGGGGGAGAGGGGGCTACTGGGGCGGTGGGTTTTTACTGAGTACGGAAGCCAGGGTGAGAGGGGGAAAGCAATAACCCTCGCGCAGGTAGACGGGTGCGTGAGGGGAAGGGGCTGAACACTGGTGGCAATGCTAGGATGCGGTGCACGTCTGTGTACCCAGTGTGGGGTGCAGGAACGTAGCCTGGGCTCCGTGCTGCGTATTGCCCGACTCTGCCTTACGTGCATATGTGCGAGTGGGAAGGGAACGTGGGGAAGGGGTTGATCTGGGGTGCTGCACTTTTCGTACCCTGTGTGTACATAGAGGGGAGTAGAGAAAGTTAGGGTTCTGTTTGGTCACGTTCTGGGGTCTCGACTTGTCCACAAGAGCCGTACCCCCTATCGTAACACGGCCCTTCTCCCTCCCCTCCCTCTGCTCCCCTCCCCTTCCAGGCGGACTTGGAGGACAAGTTGCCCCCCTCCCTCCGTCTCGCTGATGAGGCCCGCCCCCTGGTGGAGCTGTCCCTGGCCGAGGTGGAGATGCCCGGGCAGTACCTGGGGGGCCATGAGGTGGCGCCGGAGGGCATTGTGCACCTGGAGTGCTTCGGGGCGGCTGTGGCGGTGGTGAGGCGCCACTGCACCAGCTACCGCCGCCTGGTGCTGGTGGGCTCGGATGGCAGGGGCAGGCACATGCTGGTGCAGACAGGGCAGAACAATGCGCAGGTGAGGAAGGCGGCGGCATTTGGGGGGGGATGCGGTGAGGGGTGAGGTCCTCCCCCCCACCCTCAGTAAGTGCTCCTGTGTGGGTCCTGTGGTGCTGTTCTGTCATGTAACCCTTCCCTTAGTACAGCTCGTCATCCTGGCCAGTTATTTGAGCCTCTTACATGAACCCCTCTTTAGCGGAACCCCTAAGCGGCCGTCCCCTCTCCCCGCCCTCCCCTGCCGGCCCCCCCCTCACCCTGTTAGGGTAACACGGACGAGCGCATCATTCAGCTGCTGCGGCTGTCCAACCGGCTGCTGGACGCCCACCCGCACAGCCGCCAAAGAGCACTGGCATGGCACACACCCGCCATTGTGCCGGTGTGGGTACAGGTGGGTGGGGCAGGCAGGCAGGGAGGGAAGGGGGGAGGGATGGAGGGAGGGGCCCAAGGCGCGGCCTTCCCCGTACAGAATATATCGTCTTCTCCTGATGCCCACCTTCCTGGGAATCTCCCCAACCCCCTATCCTCCTCAATCCCACCCCCGACCACCGCCCCGACCACCGCCCCGACCCCGACCACCGCCCACCCCCCCCCAGGTTCGTCTGATGGAGGAGGCTCCCTCCTACTGCACCTACCACGAGGCCTACGAGGTCAACTGCGCCCGCTACGGCCGCGAGCCCGACATGCCCATCATCGCCTTCAAGCAGCGCTGTGCGGACTCCCGCGGCCAGGTGACGGCCGACGTGGCGCAGCGGCAGCAGGTGTTTGGGGAGGTCTGTGCGCACATTGTCAACGAGAACGTGTTCAGCCAGTATGCGTACAAGTCGCTGCCCAGCTCCACCCACCTTTGGGCGTTCAAGAAGCAGATGTGCGCACAGACAGCCTTGAGCGGTGAGCGGGTTGGGGTTTGCGAGGGGAGAGGGGGAGGGATGGGGGAGGGGTGGATGCCTGCGTGTGAGGAGGGGAGAGAACATCACCCCCGGGGTGATTCCTTCCTTACTGCGGCCCATCATGTGATGTCGGGGTGAGGGTGCCTGCCATGCCGTGCAGTCCACCACCGTGGAGATCCCACACCTTCCCGGTCTCCGTGCCCCTTTTCGTGCTAAGTGGACTGACAAGCAATTGTCGCGAAGTGACGTCTCTGAAGCAACGTCAGCCTGTTTGCCCTACCACCCCACCACTTACCCCTATCGCCCGCAGCCCTGATGTGTCACATGCTGCTGGTCAGCGGCCGCTCGCCCACCAAGATCCTGTTCGCTAAGGACACCGGCAGACTCTACCAGACGGACGTCATGCCGGTGTGTGTGTGTATTTGTGTATGGGTGGGGTGAGGGTATCATGTGCGATATGTGTGTATGTGAGTATGTGTGAATGAGCCAATCGGCATGAATATCCGTATGCTTGTTTGTTTCTTTGTTTGTTTAAGCTGGCGCTGCAGCTCCTTGTACTTTCTCGCCTACCTACCTGGCCGTTTTGGACTCCGTTCACGTTTCCTTCCCCCCTTCATTCACATTCCTCCTTGATCTCCCCTTTCCGGCCCCCCGGTCCGCACTGCCTGCCACTCTCCCCCCGCAGGTGTACAACGAGCGAGGTCTGCTGGACAAGGTGGAGCCGGTTCCCTTCCGGCTGACTCGCAACCTGACCGTCTTCTTCACCGCCTTCGGGGTGGAGGGCGTGTTCACCACCGCCATGGCCAATGCGGCCCAGGCGCTCACCGCCCGCACCTCCAACGCCAATCACTTCCTGGCGCTGTTCTTCAGAGACGACATCGTGGCCTGGGCAGCGAGGAGGTCGCAGAAGCAAGGTGGGAGTGAATGATGGCGCGGGCAGGGACAGGGGGGAGTTGGAGGAGTATTAGGCACTCCGGAATAGAGGACCCCGGGTAGTGGAGTAGACGCCACCAAGGGTCATCCTCGGAGGTGGGGGCCCGTCAGGGGGGGTGCTGGGCTGCTTTATGGGGAATCCCTTAGCAGACGCCCCGGTCCCGGGGCCCGGTGTTTTTCTTTCCTTTCATACCTCCACATCGCTATGCGCACGTATCCTTTCCATCTGCGCCGGATTTGGGGTAGCAGCAACAGCTTTCCATCCTGCGTGCATTTAGTTGGGTGCATCTTACCAGCCCCCTTTTCCCTTCCCTTCCCCTCCTCTCCCCTCCCTCTCCCCTGCCTCTCCCCTCCCCCTCCTCTCCCCTCCCACCGCTCCCGCAACCCCGTCACAGCCGTGTCCATGAAGAACGAAATGCTCAAGCCGCTGGTGTCTCGCAACGTGCGCATGGTCATGGAGCGAGTGCAGAAGGCGTGTCCGGTGGTGCCGCCCGAGGACGCCGCCGCCTCACCCCCCGGGCCGGGCCGCCCGCCGCAGCCCCCGCAGCCGGGCGGTGTGGTGCCGCTGCCGGTGCCGCTACTGCCGGGTCTGGCGGAGCTGATCGGTGCGGCCACCGACCCCAAGAACCTGTGTCGCATGGAGCCCACCTGGCACCCCTGGTTCTGAGAGAGCTTGGGGGCCGGGGAGGGGCCTAGGGGGTGCGCGGTGAGGGCGGCCGGATAGGGGCCGCGGCCTTAGGGGTGGCTGTCGTCCAGCCAGCGGGGTGTAGAGCGGGATGTAGAGGGGAGTGGCTATCAGCGTGGGTTCCGACGGAGGCGGACCCCACAGGGGTTTATAGTAGGTAAGAGGGAGCTGCCTCTCGCCGGTGATTCGGGAGCCTTCGGCAGCGCATCGTTGTTGCAGCCGGTGGCGGTGCTGGCATGGTGCTGGTGTGAGTTAGAGTGTTGGGCCCGGAAAAGGGGAGGGCACGGGGTGTGGTCATCGAGAAATGGCGTTGCGAGGGAGGGGAGTGGAATGAACGAATGGACCAGGTGAGAGAGGGCGGCTGCCGGTGAGAAAGAGCCAGCCCAGCAACAGCTGATTAGTCGCACAGCTCCCCCGACTGACTGAAAGGACTAAGGACTGACTAATTGACGGGCTGACGGGCCGATGTAGACAGCGACCGCACCACCCCCATTGCGGCTGCAGATTAGGAGTTGGTGGAGCGAGTGGGGCTGCAGCCGGAGAATGACCAATCAATAACACAATAACGCCAGAGAGCAGTTAGCTGCCAAGTGGCGACAGACATTTAGATATCACGGACAGCATCAGGTGCCTGGGGTTGTCTTGTGTGGCGTTGAGGTCTCTCGAGGGAGAAGCATTGAGGAGACCCACACGTGGGAGATGTGCGCCTCTTCACCTACCTACTTATCTATCTACCTAGCTAACTTGCTACATACCTGTCTGTATACATACCTAACTGTATTCGTCGGACCGAAGTGCGAGGGCCCCGCCCTCTTACCCTTGTTGGTGCTGCTGCTTGTGCTGCTGCTGCTGCTGCTGCTGTTGCTGGTTGCGGCGGCGGAATGCGTCGTGGAATGTGGTGACGGCGATGGTGACGGTGATGGTGGATGCGGTGGCTCCCGGTGGTATTGGATGGTGGGGGAACCGAGCACTGGGAAGGGATGCCGGAATGGGCCTGCCCTGGGAATCCTCTGATGCACTCAATCATGTGTTCGGTTACGTTACTGGAAGGAAATGTTTCATTGGTGCGCGCATGTACACTCTGAGTGGGGTGGGGTGGACTGACCTTCGGACTGGTTGGGTTGTCTTGTCTGCTCGGGGGCTGCACAAAAGATTCACTCGCTCAGACGGACGGACGGTGACCACCCTCCCTCCATCCCTCCCGCTCCGATGAACCGGGGCTGGGCGGCGACAGCGCAGTGGCAGGCGGAACTTGGAGTTGTGTCTGTGTCTGTACTGCTAGGGTAGGGATGGGAAGGGTATCCTACGCTGGGCTTGGTGGCTCTTGCCGGGCCCTGTGTCGTATACGTCGACGAATAGAGGAGGTGGAGCCTTACCTCACATGCCGTCAGCACGTGCTTAACTGCCTTTCATCCAGCGGAAGAAATCGTCCGTGGTCGCGTGTCATGGTTGCGGTTGAGTGAGGGAGGCGGTGAGGGAGTGGCAGGCGGCCATGTACGTGAAGTCAGCAATCCATTTGGACTTTGAACAGGGCTGGCTGCCCAGCGTCGGTCGAGGACCTGGCAGGTCGGTCAGGTGGCAGGTGGGGAAGAACCAGACCGCGATCACGTTGCAATAATTACTTCGACTTGCTTGACCAGACCAGATAGTCGTTAGGGGGTGTCGCCCAATGCGCCGCTCAGGTTCGGATGGTTTGTTGCGTAACGGACGGCGTACCGGTTCTTATCAGGTACTTCTCAAAGCCGCATGGAGATGCGGTAGCTGGCTACTGCAGCTGAACATGTGCCAGGGTGCCTATAGTCCAGGCCAGCTGTGTTGTACGACGCTGCGGGACTAACCCAGGCAGATGGGACGTGGCAATTGTTTGTCCCAGCTCCAGAGTTACATGGTCCCACTTGGAGAGCCACATAACTTGACGACTATGTGCACAAATTTTCGTGTGGCTCCGCCGCGTTGCATGATGTGAATTTCATATTGGTCATATCTCCGTCATCTTCGAGATTGCACAAATGTTTCGCTCTCATCGACTCCCCTCCGCTGTTCTTGGATGTCGCGGTCAGCGGTCCGATGGCATGTTGCGTTGTTGCCAATGGTTTGAACGCGCCATCTCATAGTCTGCCGTGAATTACAAAGAGTTCTTCATTATGCATTGTAAGATCTATAATAGGTGCTTGCATTACTCCGAGTAGGTTTTCGAGCTTACTAAGGCCGTTCGCAGGTGAACAACCAGCCTTGAAAGATTAACCGTCAGCGACGCAGCTATTTCTCTCTAACATAATCATTTTTACTTTTACTTGTCGGTTTTGTGCGCAGTTGACCTAGGGAGGCTGAGGCGAGGAGTTAGCGACCCCCGGAAACAGCCCAAGGGCCATGATGCAACAAGGATGGCGCATCAATGCATGCTGAAAAGCTCACCAGTTCTAGAAAATGCTGTGGAACCCGATGTCTTGGGGCTGGCATAAGGGCTGCTGTACCTGTACGACGAAAGGAAACTGCACTTGCAGGTGAGCGGCTTCGATGCTTTGACTCTGCGCATACGAAGCAATAGCAGCTACTAGCTCTTTTTTACCTAACTTTGAAGATAACACAGATTACAGTTTGCGCGTCGTGACGGCATCTGCCCTGCTTTGAGGCACTCATTTCGGTCGAAATTCGGGACAGAAGGTGCTTAAACATCGTTAATATCACGTATGTTTAAACGACGAGACTGGCTTCATCTTCATGGAAAGGCTGGCGGCGCCAGCTCAAGTGATGACGACACGGACGAAAGCTCCAGCGGTAAACTGACAAACCATCGAGACTGCAACAAACAGAGAATGCTCCAAAAGGCTCCTTCTCTTTGCACGTAGAGACTGACGAGGAACGTACGGAAGGCAGTGACGACGGTGAGGGTGAGGCGCCCGACAGTGACGACGCCAGTGGCGAAGAGGGGGTTGGAGGTCCTCAGAGGCACAGCCCCTACGGCGGTGGCGAGGATGAGGCTGAGTCAGACGATGACGATGATGACGATAGGCCACGCAAGCGCATAGCACGGAGCTTCGACGACATCAGCGACCCAGACGACGACGATGAGGAGCTGGACGGCAGCGAGGACGACGTATCAGCGGACGGCATTACCGCTGAACACGTCCTAAAGTGAGCCCCCCTCGGAGGGCCCCTCGTGGAACCCACCTACACCCCCACGATGTGCGAAACAGGGGGGTGTTTCTTCGCCCGTGGCAGCTACCCTGCGAAACCCTGCCTTCCCCGGTATTTCGGGGCACCCTCATCGAGTCACCCTAGTCAACTTCTCAGTGGATCGCTCAGGTTCCGCACCCACCACCAGCATCCAACGGAATCTGCCGGGTCGACAGCGGCCCAACTCCATTCCTGGTCGGCTCGCAGGTTAACTTTATCCCAGGTCACCACCGTCCATCAACTAGGGGCGCAATGCCTCCCACCATCGGAAGGACTTTTGACCCTAATGGGTATCGATCCCGGGATCTCCCGGGGGCAATGGTCGCGCCTTACCAGTAGTGCCAAACCCTGTGTAATGTAACCCACGATGATATGTTCCCCTGTAAACCCAAGTTTCCAAATCCATTCCCCCACAGAGCCTGGGAAAGCGATGACCCGGAAGTCAACAGCTTCAAGGTGGGCCCGGGGATGAGGGTTGGGAGTTCGACACAGGGACCGCTTTGGGGCAAAGGCCAGATCCCCTCTTCAATGTGTGTCTGCGTGGAGGAGAGTTGAATCCGTAGCGCGGCAAAGCGTAAAATCATCAACTCGACAGCAGCAGTAGAGCAGTAGCAGTAGCAGTGGTGAACTCAACCCCGGCGGGGCTCCCTCGGGTCGGGACAACAGAGGTCCCTCACCCGCACGGAGTGCGCAGGCCCCGCTATCCACCTCACTCGCCGCGGCCCGTCTGCGTAAGCGATTCCCCGCTGTCCTCCTTCCTCCCGTCCCTCCTTTCCCTCCTCCCTGCCCCGGCCCCTGCGGGCCCTGCTGCTGCTGCGGCTGCTGCTATCGTCCGGTGCTTCCTGCCTCCCGAAGGGCTTACCGCTCCGCTGCACTTGCTGCAACGTGTTGTTGCTCAACCGGGGCACCTACCTCAGCCACGTAGCGTCCAAGGTGGGGTGACGGGGTGAGAGGGGGCATTGTCCGCCGAGGGGGGAGGGGGATCATGAGGGGTTGCGGAAGGGTGGACGGCAAACGCCTTTCCGCTGGGTTGGGGTTGAGAACCTACTTGTCATTCTCTCGGGAGACGTGGAACGGGGCTCACTGCACCGCGTGTGGGTGTGGGAGGGGGTGTCCATTCGGTTGGTGGCGGTGGTGGTCCGGGGGGACGGGAGGCCCCTCAGCAGTGGACAGCCTCTCACCCCTAACCCCCGGAGGTAGGGGTGGGGTCAAGTTCGCGTAACAGCCCCCGTGCTTTCCAGGCCTCCGTGCACCCACCCCACCCCCTCAACCCCCCGGGGTGGAAGTCCGCTGCTGAGAGGGGGCCCACCTCACTCCCTCACTCCTCACCCCACTTCTGGTTGTTGCCCAACCGCCGTCCCGGGGCGCGGCGGGGCGTGCACCTCCACAGAGGCACCGCGGGCGGGTGAAGCAGCAGGCCCCGGGGGGAGAGGGACCCATCCGGCTCGCCTCGGAGACCTCCAAGAAGCAGGTAGGGTGGGCGGGACGGCCGGCAGGGGCGTGCGTGTGTCGAGGACGTGGGGGGTGAGGGGGGGGCTCTGGCGCAGCAGGCGCCACGTGGCTTGCTTGGTGTCAGTTGTGCGGGTCGGTTGTGTACCCCCCCCCCGGCCCTGGGAGCTGTCCCGGGACGTACCGGGGTTTCTCCTGGCCTTACCGACCTCCCCCGACGGGGGTGCGTGCATGTCCCAAATAGACCTCAAAGAGACAGACATATGGACTCTGCTGCTGCTGCTGCTGCTGCTGGGGACGGGGGTGGGGACGGAGGCACGCAGAAACCGCACTGTAGTACCGGTAGTGGCTTTACCACTTTTTTCCGGGCGCTAGCTGCAGCGTGTGCTCTGATGATGGTGGCGGTGTTGGTGTTGGTGTTGGGCTGCTGCTGTGGATGTGTTGGGCCGGTGATGCGACGGGCTCCCCACTGGGGTGGCTCGAGGGTGCTCGCGAGGTACTCTTGTTGTCGTATCTGCTGATGGGGTGGTGCTGCCGCTTCTGCTGCCGCCGTAGGAGGAGGAAGAGGAGACGCACGCGGAGCGGTTGGAGCGCATTGCGAGGCACCTGGCCCTGGTGGCCGCCGCGGGTGGGGGTGGCTGCGGTGAAAGCAGCCGGGCGCGGGTACCCTGTGGGGCGGGCAAGTTGGGTGGTGGCGTATGTATTCGGGATGGGCAGGTCGGCGTACAGCACTACAGTACAACACCGTACACCACCGGCGGAGCAGTACCCTCCGGAGTCATTGTCGTAGGGCCTCACCCCTCCAACATTATTATTACCGCATGCCCTCCGCAAGGTCGCGACTTCCTGCTCCCCGCCGCCCCCCCCCCCCCACACACACACACACAACTACATCCGAACCGCACAACAGGGTCATCCGGGGGGCCGGCAACCCTGACAGGTACCCGGGCGGCGGCGGGTGGCAAGGGCGCCCCGGGTCGGACTGGACCCTCGCGCCCGGGCCCTTCCTCTGACAGCGGCGGCGAGGAGGAGGAGGACGAGCACCGAGACGGGGGCGGTGGTCGAGTAGGGGCTCGCGGGCCGGCGACCAGTACGTCTGACGATGACGACGATGTCGATGTTGACGGCGACATGGACCTGCCGGGGTGGGGGGCGAGGGGCCCGGGGTGGGGCAGCGAAGACGGCGACGGCAGTGACGGAGGAGATGATGATGATGATGATGACGATGAAGATGAGGAAGAGGACGATATAGCCGGTGGCAGCCGGAGCAAGCGCGCAAAAGTCGCCGCAGCTGCAAAGCCGGCAGCACGGGCGGCGGCAGAGCCTCCGTCGGCACCAGCGCCCGGGGGTGGCGGCGGTGAAGGCGGCGGTGGTGGCGGCAAGCGCAAGCGGCTGGGCCGCAAGCTGGGCAAGCGAGAGCGGCAAGCCCTCAAGGCGGCTATCGCTGCGGGGGAGGTGCCTGCGGGGACGAAGCCGGTTGTGGACAGGAGCAACAGCAAGAAGCGCAAAGGCACGGATAAGGACAAACAGGGCGGTGGCGCAAGGCCCCAAGGCCAGGCTCCTCCTAGCAAGCAGCAGCTGCAGCAGCAGGAGCAACAAGGGGGGCTAGCTGCTGCCGCTGCTGCAGCAGCAGCAGGAAAGCGGTCGTTGGGTGGTGGCGGCAGGGAGGCGGCCGCACTCAAGAAGCAACAGCTGGTGGGGCCTCTGCCCGCAGCGGGACAGGAGGTGAAGGGGAAGGGCGGTAAGGAGCTCCCCACGCAGGCAGCAGCAGTAGCAGCAGCAGCAGGCGGGAAGGATGGAGGTGCGGAGAGGAGGGCTGCGAATCCGGCAATTAAGTGCAGCAGCAAGCAGGGCTATACGGCGGTAGCGGCTACTGCTGCGGGTGGTACGGCAAACGGTGCAGTGAGCGCCAAGGTCCCGGCTAATAGACCAGCTGGCTGGTTGGGGGTCGGTGGGTCGAGGTTGGGTCGGAAGGAGAAGGCGGTGGACAAGTTTGGCGGTGTGAAGAAGGTCTGAAGCTGCTCTTTGCCTGGGGTTGTCCAAGGTGTGGGGGTGGTAATGCCTAGTGATGTGATGTGTTTGAGGGTTCGTGTTGGTTGGGGGGCATCCGGTGATACGGGGACTGTGGAGCTGTATGTGTGTTATGGGGGGGTCTGGGAGCCCTCGGAGTGGCTCCTTGTGCGGCCCTTTTTTGAAGTAGAAGGGTACCAGCTGGTTCGTGTCTCGCAGCTGTGTTGTGAACCCCAGGGCAGGGCAGGTGGGGGGGGGACTTGTCCTCTCCTCTAGGGCCCTCTCTTGGCGAGACCACCATTGGTGAGAGGAGGCAGCGCCACATACTGCGGGGATCGAGCCTTCCTCGTCCGGGGATGGAGATGGGGATGGGGAGGCGAACTTTTGGCTGCAGGCGTGTTTCACCTAGAGCAGCATTAATTTGACAACTGTGTCCAGTGGCGCTGCTAGCGGAGCGGTTCTGCTATGTGCGGGGGTTTTGATAGCGGAGATACAGCACCGGAAAAAGGCTCTCCTGCAGCCTTTGGGGGCCCGGAGTTAAGGAGTGAATGCCAGGGGTCTAGAGCTAAGAAAGAGGCGCATTTCCTGCGGAAGCGTGTCCTCGGGCGGAGACAGGAAAATGGAGAGCAAGTTTGGACAGAGAGAAGCGCCTGCGGAGGAGAAAACTTTAGTCGGCTTGTAAACCGTTTCACTTGGCACTGAGGTTCCCAGTACGCCACGTGCAGCAGTGTGCAAACCCTTCGCCAGTTAGTGATCAAGCTGCCGAACGCGGCTGAGCGACCGTGCACGTGGCCGGCGCGGGTTATCGGCGTAGAGTTGCTCAGACAGGTTGACGTGGTGCCAGAGCTTTGCATGCGTTGCGACAACTTAGTTCCCAGGGGAGCAGACCCAACGGGACGGCCGTGTGGCTTAAAGCGAGGAGCGGCGAGGTAATTCACAGCAAAAAATGATTTGATTAGATGGAGAAATCGCTTATGCAAAGGTCAGCTGCGCAGTAACATCGGTAGTGCTGTGACGGTGAAATTGCTTACGCAACGGTCAGCTGCGCAGTAACATTGTTAGTGCTGTGCAGGTTAAATACGGTAACATCCGTACAGCATTTCCGTTCAGTGAGCAAAGCTTCAGCTGTTAGGGACTGTAATTGTGTTAGGTATTTAGCTATAGCTGTAGATGCTTTGGACCGTCCGATTATCCAAGCACCTGGCAACTTTGGCCGTGGATCATCAACTCCCTTGAGGCTTTAGGGCCCGCTGTTAGAGAGAGCGGCGCAAAATGGTTGTACTGGCTGCGTCGATCGTCTCTAAGACGGGCAAACGTGAGTTTTGCGTCTGGTCGCGGCAGCAGTTGCGCGCGCAGCCTCGACAACGGATGCTTCCCACTTTCTTGCAGCACTCGTCTCGCGCCAGTACATGGAGATGAGCCGGATCAGGATTGAAGGCCTTTTGGCAGCGTTCCCGAAACTTGTGGGGACAGGCAAGCAGCACACCTACGTAGAGACGGAGAATGTGCGCTACATTTACCAGCCGTTGGAGGTGGGTCAACCTCTGTTGCTGTGGATCATCGCACGCACATTGACAATTGCGCCCATGAGTTGCATGCAGGGTCTGTACCTCCTGCTTATCACTAACAAGCAGAGCAACATTTTGGAGGACCTGGAGACACTCCGCCTACTTAGCAAGCTTGTACCAGAATTCAGCCAGAGCCTGGAGGAGGAGTCAGTTGCTGCAAAAGCTTTTGAGCTAATCTTTGCCTTCGACGAGGTCATCTCGCTCGGCCACAAGGAGAACATCACCGTGCAGCAAGTAAAGCAGAACTGTGAGATGGAGAGTCATGAGGAGAAGCTGCACAAATTGATTATCCAGAGCAAGATTAACGACACGAAGGATATCATGAAGAAGAAGGTGGCTGATATAGAGAAGTCCAAAATGGAGCAAAAGAAGATTGGCCTTACCTCAGCTCTCTCTGGTTTTGGCAGCAAGGCGGCCAGCTCTATCATGCAGGAGCTGGAATCGGCAACCCCGGCTTACCGGATCGACCCTACCCCGGTGGCCATCAGCAAACCCTCCACGGCGGCCTCGCTCAAGCTCCCGAAGGGCATGCAGCTTGGCAAGGCAAAGAAAGCGAACGATTTCCTGGAGACTCTTGCGAAGGAGGGCGAAGTCGTAGAGTTGGACGTGCCGAAACCCACGGGCGGTGTGGCAGCGGTCACAGCGAACGTCGCCGCGGACCCCGTGTCCTTGGCGATTGAGGAGAAGGTCTCAGTTTCGTTGAACAAGCAGGGTGGTGTGGAGAATCTGGAGGTGCAGGTGCGTGAGACGGGAGTTGGGCATCATGGGGACAAGTGGGAGGATGTGATCGAACGCGTTGGCGTGCAAGGGATAGATGGGGACAAGATGCGAAGGAGATTGTCGGGCTTTATGCTCATAGCAGGCAGAGTTAAGGGCTTCAGGAATGGCCCTGGTTCATCGTACGACCATAGAGCGCACCCTGGGGAAAACAATGTGGTACAAATAGCTTGCCCGCCAGTTTGGGAGTCTTTTTGGATTGCGTAGCACCGAGTGCACTGCGGGGAGAACCTCCGCACCTGGGGATCATAAATGGATTGGATGCTTGACTCGCGTGTATGCTGGGCTAACCCGCTGTGCCTGGCTCTGGATGACTGCCTGTGTGATGCCGTCTATCAGGGTACGATGTCTTTGGTGGTGAACTCGGATGAGGATGCGTTCATTCGCATCGCCGTCGTGAGCGGCCCCAACAAGGGCTTTCAGTTCAAAACCCACCCCAACATCGACAAGAACCTTTACGGTTCCTCCAATGTTCTTGGGCTCAAAGACCCATCACGCCCCTTCCCCACGGGAAGCGAGCTGGGTATCCTCAAGTGGCGCTTCCAAAGCAAGGAGGTGCGTCAATCCTAGTAAGGGCATGCGTGAGCATATGGGTTGGGTCGGGTGGCTACAAGGCGACAGGAGATTTGGATATAGTCAGGGGGTTTGGATTGTTCCTGTCACGAATTGCCGTACAACAGCCCATGAGGTCTATGGAGCCGTCCTGTGCAGGCCATTCCTGATCAAGCGTGGAAGCGGAGCTTATATCTTTCGTTTTTCCGTCCCAACAGGAGAGCCTGGTCCCGCTATCTATCAACTGTTGGCCCAGCGTGTCGGGTGGGGAGTCTTACGTCAACATCGAATACGATTCTACAGCAAATTTTGACCTCCAAAATGTCCAAATTATAATCCCGGTGCCAGCGGCGAGCCATGCGCCAACAGTGAACCAGGTTGGTGGTGGTTGGAACAGCTGCTGTTCCTTTGGGCCTGTGGGCAAGGGCTATGTGGCAACCGTATGAGCTCGACGGGCGGTATCAGCTTTGGCCCTATGTGTCGTCTCGCATATGTCGGCCGGGTCTTCAGGCACCATGCTGCGGATTATTGTCGGTCACGCAGGGCATCCGCCCCTGGCCAGTGCCTTGTTCGGTAGCTGCCTCGGCCAGTGTCAGGCCCGGTCAGATGATGTAATACACACACACCCTTAGGAATTAGCCTGTACAGTATGGGGGTATTAAAGCAGGTTTGTTTGAAAGCTTGGATAGTATTGGGGATATGGGTAATTGGAGGTTTCTTGATCCTTGTCTGTATGTACGCGGCACATGCGAACCCTCATAGTCCTGTGTAAATTGCAGCGGGGGTGGTAGCCTAGTCTAACAAAGAGTGATACTTGACATCTGCCGCCCGTTCTCCTGCACGCTTGAAAGGTTGACGGCGAATGGCGGTATGACTCACGGCGAGCGGCGCTCATATGGACCATCGAGCTGATTGACGACACCAACCGCAGCGGGTCGCTGGAGTTCGTCACGTCGGCGGCGGACGCGGATGCGTTCTATCCTGTTGAGGTTACGTTCTCGTCTAACAAGACGTTTTGCGACATTAACATCACGGGTGTTGAGCACACGCAAAAGGGCGGCCCCGTGAAGTTCAGCCTGAAGAAGGCGTTGGAGACGGCGGAATACAGCGTTGTGTAAAAATGCATTTTACGGGGACAGGGTCCGTGCTGGGCTTTGTGTGTGCGTATGTGTAATGGACGGGGCAAGCAAGGGCGGCTATGTGTTAGCCGCCATTCGCAACCTGGGCTCGACAGCTGTGTCGCCAGGTGGGGGAACGATACGCGGCGCTGGCAGTGGCGGCAGGAGGTGTGAGAACTTGACAGATAGGCGCCAGGCAGCAGCCAATGAGGAGCACGCCTGGTGATGTCATGCACATTGCGTGCATAAGGAAGAATGGTCGTGGATGCGTTATGGAACGGATCGGTGACCAGTGGTGTCGCACGACTGCTGCCTGCGAATCTAGGTGGACGTTATCTGTACTAAATTTGGCTTCGGATTAGGCAGGTTTGCATGGGGCAAACCTTCCAAATCGATCTCGCATTCATGTATATAGGCTTTGGGGCTGATCCATGTAAGGTTTCTACACCCACGACCCTTCCGCGGACGTTGTTAGACTTTAAGGATTGTAATGATATTGTCGCTTATAAGCAAAGCATAAAAAGCTTCAGCTTTGGGGACAAGCTACATTTCGTGAATTTGGATGTCTGGTTAATATGTCCGTTGCGGTTATGGTGGAAAAAACCGTTGAGAACAGGATCAGCAGGTTAAACATAACCGGCTGTATGATAAAAACCGGACACGTCCAAAACACATTTGACAGGTCTATGTCATGATTCTTAGCGGCAAATGATCTTGGATGCGTGCTTGAGCTTCCTTACTCTCTGGGGTTTCCAGTGTTTTTGCAGATGCAAACAACTCAGTGACGAAATTAACCATTAAAACTTCCACACAATGAAGTCGTCATGACTTTCGTGTAAGGAGTTCCAACGATGGACTCTGCAACCGCCTTGGGGGCGAGCGTGGTTGGGCTGAATACCACCGCGCTCTTACTCTTATTCTATGCTATTCGCCCATCGGAGGCAGACGCCCGGAAAGAGCGGCGGTTGCTGAATTTGAAGAGAATACGCATCGGGACTTTCGTCATTGTGACCCTGGGCCAGGCTGGCATCGGTGCATGGCGAGCAATCCAGGGCAGGTTCATGCTGGGCATGTACGATGCCCAACTAGTATCCACCGCTATCCTTTGGGCCCTGACGGCGGTACGTGTGTCGGGTTAGTGCTGGACGGCAGTCACTTATGGGTGGCGGTTTGGTGATGCGTTTCACGACCCAGTCAACCTTCATGGCCGCTCTTCCGCGCACTGCAGGTATCCCTGATCGCGACATGGCCGCGGCAGGGGGCCGTATCTCTGCTGCCGGTGGTTCTGATGTCGTTGTTGGTGGTGGGACTGCAGATGGCCGCAGATTGCCTCCATAACACCGCTCAGGACTTCAACCATGATGACCGTATCGCGGGGTGAGTCACGGCGAGGGGAGACACTGCCCTTCCACTGCCCTTCTGCTCCGCATCTGTCACCAAACAGTCATACACCCTCCACCTTCTTCCCGTACCCGGCCCACACACCCTACTCAATGCACTGCCGTACGTGCCGCCCGCCACCCATTCCCTTCTCCCCCGTGGGCCATCTTGGTAATGATGACGACGGCTGCGGCTGCGATTGCGGTTGCGGCGTGGCTGGGCCTACACCGCACGTCGGATCTGGGTTGGTGCCTCCGTGATCTGCCGTAAATGATTGTACTGCACTGCCCCCCGGTGGCTTCGGCAGTGCTTCCCTGCACACTGTGGAGCTCGGGGCGCTGCTGTTCGTGTGTATGGCGGAGGCGCTGTACGGCCATTTCGCCTCCTTGCCGCTCTCAGAGCTGGAGGAGCCGCTGTTTGACAAGGCAGGGCGGGGAAATGGCGGGAGGGGACCGACAAGCGGGGGGAAGAGCAAGGAAACCTCCCCGGGGCAGTCGGTGTTTTGCACGTCAGAGTAGGCACGTCAGGTGTTTCCCCCTCGTTGTGACTTGGGCTGGGGGGGAAACCACCGTTTGACCCCCCTCTGCATCGCCGCCTCCCGCCTCCGCAGACCGAGAAGGAGAAGGCCAAGGAGGCGGAGAAGCGCGCGTCCAAGAAGCGCCCCGCCTCCCGCACCCAGAGAACTGCTCGGGCCTTCCGGTATATGTGGCCAGAGAGCCGACCTCTCAGGCTGAGACTGGTGGCCTGCTTCATGCTCGTACTGGCGGAGCGTTGCGTAAACTTGGCCGTACCGGTGCTGTACAAACACATGGTGGACGAGCTTAGCGGTACGGCGACAAATGGCGGTAGCGGCGGGGGAGATAGCACGCTGGTGGAGGCGTCTAGGAGACTGGCGGGCGCGTCGTTGCGGGTGATGGCGGCCGCCGCCGCCGCTGCCACGAATGGCGGCGGCGATGGCGGCGGCGGCGTCGGTGATGTTGCCAGCAGGCGCAATACCGATGGCCGTGCTGTAGATGGCGCAGCGATGGTAGGCTCTGCAGGTGCTGGTGCTGTTGGAGCAGATGTGGTGGTGGATGAGGTTCATCAGCAGTTGTTGAAGGCCGCTTACGGAGTTCTGAAGGTGCGGGGACCAGGAGAATTCTGTAGAAGGTTCTTTTGCGGCACAGCAGCAGCGGGAGGAGGAGGGCGGTGTAAGGAGGGGGGCTCCCTGATGGGTCCCGACTGGGCCCCTGGGGGGGAGACGGAATCCGAAGGGGATGGGGAAGGCAGCTCTCGGGCGTGGGGCTGAGGGTGCCCTCGGACAGGAACCTGGGCCGCGATATGGAGCCCGGGGTAGGCTGGCCGAGTGTGTGTTTGTCTGTCGAGGGGTAGGCGTCGTACTTGAATAAAGTGCCGCGGGGCGGGGCGGGGAAATAGTCGTCGTGTGTGTGTGTGTGTGTGTGTGTGTGTGTGTTAAGCTGCTTTCCCCCAGGGAGTGAGGGGGAGACCACAGCGGCTTAGCGCGTGTGTTACCCCCCCCCCCGTGCCGGCGAGCGAGTTTATCCCAGCTTACGTCACCTCCTCCTCCTTTACTCACGCCAGTTTTCATTGCTCTTCGCCGCTTTTACACCCACCTCTAGAATATTACGGTTGGTTGTCCTGCTCTCTTTCCGCACTTAATTTAGTCTTGGCGGCTAGGTAGGTCGTTTCCGCTATCGTCATGATTACTAACATCATCGCGACTTGACTTCTTCATCGCAACCGCCGACTGGTTAGTTATGCCCTTGTTCTTTACTTCTGGCGCATCAGTCTTTCCGTGGCATCACCTTCACTCGCTCGTGGTTCGTCCCCACCCCCCCGTGCCCGCCCCTGGGCCAGCAGTTGGACGTGTCGGCACCAAACCCCCTGCTCCGTGTGCCTCCTATGATATGCCCTACCCCCCCCTTCCCTGATCGCCAGGCCGCCCAGCAGCTCAGTTTTTGGAGTGTGTTCTACCCCTGGGTGTTCGCCTACCTGGTCTTCTACTTCCTCAGGGTGGGAGGGGGAGGGGGAGGGGCCGTGGGGTGGGCGGGTAAAGGGCAAACCCCCCAAGGCCTCCTCCGGCCTGCGGAGTGGGGAGTGGGGCCCGGAGAGAGCTAGGAGGGGAGGTAGGGGAGGAGGGGAGGTAGGGGCATGGGGCGTGGGGAGATCTCCCTCGTATGTGGAATGAAGAGAGTGGAGACTCTCCTTTCCCCTCCCCTACCTTTACTCCCCCCCCCTAACTCCCCATTCGCCCGTGGTTTGGACTGGTGTGGCAGTTGACCTTTGCTATTGCATGTAATATAAGCCCCCCTCTCCCCCCTCCGCTCCCCCCCCCTCTCCCCCCTCCGCTCCCCCCCCCTCTCCCCCCTCCGCTTCCCCCCCCCCTCTCCCCCCTCCGCTCCCCCCTCTCCCCCCTCCCCCGTGTGTGCCGTCAGGGCGGTAGCGGCATGGAGGGCCTCCTGGCCAACATGCGCGACCTGGTGTGGATCCCCATCACCCAGGCCGCCTTCCGCCGCAC